TTGGTCCTGTCACCTGTTTCTTTAATGAAACCATCTGAGGGGACTTATTAGGAGATCTTAAGATCGGCTTGACATTCTTTTGGAGCAACTCAGTCACTGGTTTTCCCATAGGCGAGCTATACGAAAGGCCCTCCATGCTATCAGGTAGTGCAAGTGAAGCATCCTTGTTATATCTACATAGAGGTACTTTCCCTGTTTTAGCACTTTCAGCAGATCCAGCTAATCGCTTCGCTTTAATAGAAGTATCATGGGACGCATTAGCACTTTTAGGATATTCAGTAGAAGTTGACGTAGCTTTGGGAACATTGGTATGTCCTCCATGCACTGGAGTCTTTGGATCTTCGTCATCATCTTCGTCATCATAGATATAAACCGCCCTACGTCTCTTGGGCAGCTGAGCAGCTGGATCCTTCACATCACCAGCAGAAGATGAACTAATCTTCCGTTCTGGATGATTGGTCACCTCTTTATCACGAGACCCAGAAAAAGGGGAAACACTTGTATGCTCCACTGTCTGTTTGCGCCGCTTTGTATAAGCCACCACTTCCTTATCAAATTGAATTTTTCGTCCCCGGGCACTTTCCCCTACCATAATCTCAGACTGAAGAATTGATACAACGCCAGTAGAATCAGATCCTTCAGCTTTGCCTACACCAACAGGAAGAAGACGTTTGCTCTTACATTGTTTTTGATCCTTTGCATCTTCAGACCGTTGCCTTTTAGCGGCACGTTTACTTTCATCTGCTCCTGATGCAGACTTTCCGAGTTCACTTTCAAACCTCTTGTTCTTCCCCAAAATCCCAGTTTTGGAGCCAATAGCATACTCATTCTTATCACTACCGACTCGAGCGCTAGGTTTCTCTTTCAGCAACTCCTTTGACTTTTTAGAACCACCAATGTTAAGATCTGAAACCCCCTTATTGTCACAAGATTCCTTTGTACTGCCCTTTAATTTCTGGTTAGGACCGACTAGATTATTATCAGTAGCAGCTCCACTATCAGGCACACGTTTGGCTCTATGAACCTCATCTTTACATCTTTTATCTGAGTCACCTGTTACCTTCTTTATTCTTCCCTGACCGTTAACCGATTTCTTTCCAGCACCATCACGATGTTCATTGCAAGTGACACCATCAATATTTTCATTAAACTCTGCTACCTTCAAAGTACGGTCAGGTGATCCACCAACAGAGGATGTGGTTCTGTTATTTGATTTCAGAAATGGAGATGAATCTTCCTCTCCTATGACAGGCTTTGTCTCTGCACCATTATTCTCAGGAAATTTATAGAGATAATGATCCGCCCTAGTGTCGAACTTATCAGAATTTCCATCATTACCAGACTTTCTATGATCTGTTGTCTTAGGCTTGGTTAAACTAGGCTCAACAGCATCCAAACGAGCCTCACTGCCCAAAATATCTGACTTGTGTTCCTGCGACTCTTCAAATGCAGCGGATATTTCCTCCACGGCTTGTGCAAAGTACTTGACTGTTTTGCCTTTACATCTTTCTAATAGTTTTTTCTTTGACTCACTAGTGAAGGCTTGAATATCAGGTGGTGTAACAAAAGCTCTGCAGTAGAGGAAGATAACTTGGTAAACGACTAATAATGAGACTCAAATAACAAGGGTAAACAAAAAAGGTGCTTTCTAAGTCATGATATGATACATCTCAACCCATTAACGATCAGTAAACAGAGAAGAGGCCTGCTTACATTTCCTGTGTTCCGAAAAACTGAACAAAGTGTTTCTTTGGGTCTGGAACATGATCCCAATCTTCGGGCCGGCCGATCTGAAACTCAAACCATTTACTTCACAGTAAAGAGCCAAGTCGAAATGAACAATCCCACGCGGTTCAATCGAAATTAACAGTAACTCAAACACTCTGAACATAGAATAACATAGCAATAAGCTAGAGGACTATACTGATGGTTTCACACTTCACTTAACTCCAACACAACAAAGAGGTTGCTTTGGCATACTATAAACCAGCTTTAATATGAAGCCTACTAAGTTGTGACACTCAAGGAGGGAACATAGAATTGGAGCTATCCAGAAAAACCTTAGAGAAATTCATTATGTCCTTCAATAGAAGAGCATAAACTAAACTAACACAACGAAAACACAATAATCTAGAGCAAACTTAACCCAACAACAACGGAAAAAAAATCATGATCGTGAATAAAAACGTCACGAAGCCGAGCATCAACGCCGAGAGAGAGAGCAGAACACGCACCTTAGCAGGCCAAGCAGGGAAGCCTTTGACTTTGGCAAGAACTAGATCACCCAGTCTCAACTCTCCTTTCGCGATGGATTTGTTCGCTCCTCTTTTACGCCCAGGAGCCATTGGCGAGACTGGCTAGAAACCCTAATATTGAGTTTCAAGTTGAAACAACGAACAGAATCGCCTATTCCAATCGAACCCGGAGAATCAATACGAAACTCCGACTCTTCACCGGAGATTTTCCGCCGTAAGAAGCCCGCTGTGAGGTGGAGATAGCTAGGTCTTCAACGTAACGACTAACGAACAATGGCGAGGAAACGAGCGAAAGAGAGAAGTCGAATCGGTGAAGAAAGACAGATTAATGAAGAGAAACGAGGGGATTTAGGGTAAAAAGGTGAACATGTTCGTCGGAGTTTTTGTGAGATGAAGCAACTGAGAAACGGGTTTACTCACGTCGCCGCATTTTCCTCTTCCCCCTTTTTCACAATTATCAAATGTACGTTCGAGGAGTTCACTATTTGTTTTCCTTTTTTAATTAATTTATTTATAAAAATCGAACTTCTAAAGAGGTTTTTTCCTTATAGTTTAGTAACTTTTTTTATGCCTAATTTTGCCCTTTTTCAGAATCTCAAAACACCAATGGATAAAGAGTAAAATCACTTTATGAGTCTCGAGATATCACAATTCAAGGAAACAAGAGATATGTAAAGGGCTATGCAACCAAACAATGTCTATGAGAAACTGATGGTGGTCACAAGAAATGATTTTAAGAGCTTTACATAATGGCATGGAGAAGAGATAAGACTGCAATTTGAATTGAGAACCCAAAGCCATTCTTAATCCACTTAAGCATTTTGCTAAACCGAGAACAGACAAAAAAATGGATTTTGATATGAGAAAAGAAAGAAGAAAAAAAAGGGTCTGCAGAGCTTATCATCATCAACGGTAACATGACCAAAACAATAAGGAGAAAAGAGAGGGAAATTTTATAACTTTGATTACCAGTTTCTTTTTCTCTAACTCGAACTTTTATCATTGCTTTCATTTCCGATAGCATCTTTGACCAACTCCATCGGCCTTTCATCAATAACTTCATCGATGATTCCAAAAGCCTTAGCCTCTTGAGGAGTCATGAAATGATCCCTATCCATGTTCTTCTGAATCACACCGATGGATTGACCCGTGTGTTTCACATACAGCTCATTCAAAGCATCCCAAACACGAACTATCTGCTTCGTGTGGATTGTCATATCCTTGGCTTGTCCGCTATATCCTCCTGAAGGCTGATGAATCATGACGGTTGCATTTGGGAGTGACCGTCTTTGTCCCTTGGCACCTGCTGCCAATAGAAGAGACGCCATGGACGCAGCTTGGCCTAAGCAGATCGTGCTTATGGGAGAACGAATGTACTGCATAGTATCATAGATTGCAAGTCCTGCGCTCGCAGATGACGATAATGGATCAACATTTTAATATATCTATCTATCAGTGAAATTTCATATCAACTACTTGGAACATTCTATCAATAAAAGAAGATCAATTGGAAAAACCTTCAAAAACTATCCAACACTACAGAAATTTCGATCTATGAATCCACTACTGAGTTTTACTAATCCGTTATTCGCATCATCTTCTTACAGAAGCCTTTGAAATGCGAGTAAAATCCAATTTCTCAGGGAACAGATTACAGATCAAGCAGAAGATATTAGCAAATCAAATTCATGGTCATTCCAGAGAGATGATAAGTTCATAACCAGAAATGGAAAATGGTTTAACAGATAGAAGGAGATAATAAAACTTACCGGCAGTGACATGTCCGCCGGGTGAATTAAGGTACATATGAATCGGCTTTGAAGGATTCTCGGACTCGAGGTAGAGAAGCTGAGCCACGACGACGTGGGACGTGTCGTCGTTAATGGGACCATTGATACAGATTATACGCTCCTTGAGCAATCGGGAGAAGATATCGTAAGCTCTCTCGCCTCGGGATGAATGCTCAATGACCATCGGTATAACACTGTAGCTTCTGCTTGCTGTGGCGGTGGTTATCGCCATTGAAGATGGGGTCCATAGCCTCTTCGCGCCGGAAATTAGACCCCTCATGGCCCCAATTTCTAGGGTTCCGCTTCTCAGAAAGAGGGGAAGAAGGAGGAGACGAGACGGCAAATGGCGGATGCATTTTTTTCTCTATATTTTGTTTTTATTTCAATAATTACTTTTTACCAAAAATTATTGCGTTTGTTTTCAATAGTCATTTACCCAGTCAGAGGACTGTGTATTGCTGCGTATATATTTCGTGGTTAGTAGGGAAGAGTAAACAAATTTAAAAAGGTGACCACGAATTATAAAATAATTGTACCGTATTAATATTGTTCGTCAATTTCACTAACAATATCCCAATAAAAACTGTCATCAGACGGCAAAGATTTTAAAATCTGAAACTTGGGTCCCATGATGTATTATTATACAGTTTTATATTATTTGTTTGACTTCAGTATGTAACTAATAAACTATCATAATATTCACATCTAGTGTTCAAAGAACGAAAAAACGTGGGCACCAAAGCACAAATATAAAACCAAACAACGTTATTTGTGCTCTAAATAATTATTGTAATTTTAATCCCCACGAAGAAAACTAGTTACTCTATCGACAGTCGTTGGAACTCCAAGTTTACAAATTTCTCAAGTAGCTACGAAAAAGGTTGACCCTGGAAAAAAAAAACTCCTGCACGTGATATTTGATTTGTATCACGTAACATCACGGACCAAACCAAACGATGTTAACAGAACCAAGAAAATTTATAGATTACAAAAATATGCTGCTATATTTTGACGGGTACAAAACCACAGACAATATATAACACTTCACTTAGATGCATCCATTCACAATCGGTCAATCATCGTTATTAAACGGAAACACGGTTTATCCCTGCGTTTTTTAAAAAACAAAAATATGACCAAACCATTATAATATAGAAACAAATGAAAAAAAAAAAAAAAAAAAGAGATCGTCACAACAACGAAACGCGATTTTGCCGTCCAAGAAACCCATCCAAAACGACTTTTCTTTTGTACAACTCTGAATTCAAATCCGGCACATACGCAGAACCGTCACTACTGCTGCGTTTGCGTTTTGCTAACGCGGCTGCGTCTCTAAGACGAGGTAGAAAGTAGCAGCAAGCGGATGTACAGAGAATCGCGCAGAGTCGTCCCCAAATCAACATAATCATTAGCGTCAATATAATGATCGATATCCCAACTACCGGGTCAAACTTTTCGACCCGTGACCCGTTTTTCGCCCGAGACGGCTTCGAATCGGGTTTCCCGTAACGCGTTGATGAATCGGATATCTGCACAGGACACGTGTCTTCTTTAGAGGAACCCAACGATTCAATGGAGTTTGATCGGTCGGTGGGTCTGTCTCGTAAGTCCTTCGGTTTGGTCTGAAAAAAAGTAAGAGCAAGGGATCAACAAAAACCAACAAACGATTGAAATGGCACATCGAAAAATCAAAATAAAATCCACAAAAGATGCCAAATTTTATAAAATGGATCATCAAGAAAAATCAACCATGTTGGTCATGAAAGAAATTTAATGGTCTCGAAATGTTTTTTTTTTTTTTAACTTTGACATTAAAGTGAAAAGGCTTTTGAGATTCTACGAAAGATACGTACCTCTTTGGTTTCCTGGTTCACGGCTTTCTCATCAACCGGAATATTCTTACGATCAGTCATACGACTTATCATCGGGACGGGTTTCTGGTTATCAGTTTCACCTTCTACCCTCGAAGCCGATTTCTCTGTTTGCTCGATCGGCGCCGGTTTGATCTCACCGTTCTTCAGGCGAAACTTGGAACATAAAAGCCACCTACTTCGCTTCTTTTTCTTCATCTTCTTCTCACCACTGTCTTCCGCCTCAACCACCGGCTTGTCCGAGTATATTTTCCGGGAAAATCCGAAACATGCGAGAATATACGAAGAAGGCCCGCTCCTCTCTCGGGCTTTCTTCTCTGTTTTTGCCATTGAGATCGAAATTGAAAGAGAGAGAAAACTGCGCATTCGTGCGAAGACTTTGAAATATCGCTCGGAGCGGTTGGATTTTATCCCTTTTTTTTCATTTAAAATAATTTAGTAGTTACATTACTGTGATACAGTTTCGAAGGTACGACGTGAATATCACGGTGACTTACATTATTTTATCATAATTTCAAAAATGAACGGGTATATATTTTTGTACAATAAAGTGTATGAGAGAGCTTTTCATTTGGTAATATATTTATTTACTGTAATTCTAATAAATACTATATGATATTACCAATTTTGTGTATTCTTCCATTTTAAAAAAATTATTCAGAAGTTTTTATCTTGATTGATGAGATATCCCATTTATTCTCTTATCAACATCATATTAATATTCCAATATAATTTAATTTCAACATAATGTCAACTTGTATTTTAAATTAGAGGATCTACATTAATAATTTGTAAACATATCAAATTATGTCTTAAACATATTTAATTATATTAATTAATTTTATTTATGTATATTATCTATAATAGTAACAGATAATAAAACCTTAAATATTAATAATCTTAATAGAAATATTAATAACAAAATGTACAATATAAATAATATAATCAAAGAGTTATATAGTCTCTTAATTAACACAGTTAAACATAAAATTACATAGTGTAAAGTTATAAGTTAAGGGCATTTTCAAAAGATTAAGATTACAAAAGTACAATATATATAGGACATGTTAGATTAGAATTGTCGTTTGTATAAAGTAGAATATTCAGAAGTAGCGACAATGCAAAGTTGTCCTTTATTGCAATACTCACACTACACCAGACAATAAAAAAACGCATACAGTAACAAACCACGTTATTCAATACGGTGGAAGGATTAGGATGAAGGATTCATTGGCATTAAATTTAATAAACTAAAAGTGAAGTTGAAACGAAGAAAATAACTAAGTAAGTATCGTAGTCTTTTAACCCCAAAAAAAAAAAAAAAAAATGTATCGTAGTGCCCACGTACGTTCCCCAACTTCTACGTCGGACATCTTCGTTTAGCTGATTTCTCTATGACCTATTCGAATTGGCAATTTGCAAAAGTCATACTTAATCCAATATAATACGTGGTGATTATCCTTCTTATCTCTTTTCGTATATACAAAACTATGTATGAAATATTATTTTCGCACCCCAAAAAACTGAAAATTATTATAAAACCTTATACTATGTACAACCACATGTAAAACCAATATTAAAAGTTCATCAAAAAAATCACCCAACATACAACAATCACTTAAAACAAAATCATAAATCCCAAAAAATCAATCACCATTATTATATTTATACCCTTTATGGCATTGATCATAGTAGTTGTCTATCTCAGGGACACTCCTCTTAATCATATTCACCTTCAAGCCATGCTTCATGTACATAGTTAAAGCCATCTTTGGCTCAACCTTAGGACCACTCTTCACATCAATCCTAACTCTGTACCGGTAAATAATCGCGGCCGCCACATATTTCATCTGGTAATATGCAAAATCCTTGCCTAGACAGAGTCGAGGACCGCCATTAAAGGCAGTGAACTTATAGGCCGACTCACTCATGTACCGACCGCCTCTTAGCCACCTCTCTGGCCTGAACTCAAGACAATCTTTTCCCCATATCGTCTCCATACGTCCCATCGCGTAAATTGCATACATGACTTTTTCTCCTTTCTGTAATTTTGTTCCATCTGGAAACACATCATCTTCAAGTACCTGAAAAATTATACAAAATTTCAGCTATATACATATAAACCAAACATAGTTAAAACGGAACTAAACCTGTTTTTTTAACCAAAACTATTTATCATTTGATCATCTTGACTATTTCTTGGAAAACAATTAAGTGAAAACAGAGTTGATACCTCTTTGTGGTCAACTGGAACAGAAGGATACAATCTGAGAGTTTCAGACAAAGCAGCTTGTAGATAATCCATTTTCTTGACCTCTTCTGGTCTGAACACAGGCTCATAGTCCATCTCCTCCTCTGTATATCCCTGATGATCTCTCTGTTCAAGAATCTTGCAAATCTCCACCATGATTCTCTCCTCCACCTCCGGATTTTTCTCGATTAACCAGAAAAACCAGCTCAGAGCCACAGAGGAAGTGTCTCTCCCGGCAAGTATGAAGTTCACACAAATATCGCGCAAGAACTTATCTGAGAATTTGTCTCCATTGTCATCTCGTAGGCCCATAAAAATAGTCAAGAGATCTGATCTTTTCTCAATTTCGGTCTCTAGAGACAGCTCTTTCTTCCTCGTCCGGATTACTTCATCAGCGAAATCATCCACGCCTTTAATTGATTCCTTTAGCTTCTTCTCTGCTCCTAAATTAAGAGACCTCATGAGCTTCCACGCGAAAGTAGGCATCACAAATCTCAAAGCTGTTGCTTCTGTTGCATCCTCAAAGGCCTTTGCGAAAGGTATTTCTGGTAGATTTGGACCAAGACAGCCTGGATCGACCCCAAAAGCAATCATACATACATTGTCGAACGTTAGCCTTAACAAGATGTCCTGAAGATCGATCGTCTCGGAAGTTTCTAGAACCGGCAAGAGTCTATCATGCACGAGTTCGTGCAAAGATTGACTGGTTAATTGCCTGAACTTAGCCGAATGAAACTCGACGCTCGCTGTCTTCCTTTGCCGCTGCCACTTTTCCTGATCGGCGTTGAATATTCCGTCTCCGAGTAGGTCTCTGAGGGTCTCACGGAAGTAAGAACCTTTAGGGTAGATAGAAAAACGGGTCTTGAGAAGATGCTCGATGTTTCTCGGGTCACAAGTAATGACACTGTTGAGGCTGCTAAACCAAGGGCCTCTAAACCGGAAAGTCCCGTCCTGGTGTATAAGAACCTCCGATAACCACTCGTAGATGTTGCTTCGGACTGCGAAAGCCAGCGAAGGAAGCATCCCAAGAAACGGCCAAACGGGTATCCCTTGATGTTTCTTCTGGCGCAAGGAATGTATCGTTACAAACACGGAAATGGCAATAAGGAGCTCAAGAATCTGAACGTCTCTCAGGAACAATAGCCTCCTGGAAAACAGAGGCTCGTCGCTTCCTGAATAAGAAGAAGAGAAGAAAACGGCAGTAGCCGTGAGATTATAAGAAGAAGAAGAATTAGGGTTCATAGTGACAAAGAGAAAGCCAAGAAACAGAGTGTGAATGTGAGAGATGAATGATTCGCAAAGAGAGCTTACAAATAATGAAAGATGTTAGTTAATTAGTGGGTGAAGAATGTGAAACGAGAGAAGAACGAATTAAGACGCATGAGTTTCGTGTTTGGCTTTCAATGTGTGGAATTGGGTTTGATTTGGTGAGCTGAAAAGTTTGTTTTTCTTTTCTAACGGTATTTTGATTTGTGCGGCTCTTGATTCTCGTGTTTCGGTTTGGAAATTAAAAGGGACGAATCTTTTTGAGGGTTGATTAGAAAAGTATGATCAAAATATTAAAACCAAATTTAAATTTTAATTAGGTTTCTACTGGGGATAGAAGAGAAGTTGACAGGTGGGTGTTGACGGATCACCTAATTAAGTTCTTATCTATCTAGGGTTTGTTTTGGTTTCGTCAAGTTGGACACACTTGTTTATTTGTCAGTAAATACGGATGGGAGATTAATATTTCCAGTAATTTGGGTCAACAGAAATAGGAAAAAAAAAAATACTATATATGTCATCTGTTAGTATAGAAAAGGTGTTCTTTACATCAGTATGAGAAGTTAATACTTGTGTGTATCTTTTCTTTTATTGCTTCGTTTTGAGATTATACATGTTAGGTACGGTGTGTGAGGAGTATGAATTGCTCTTCCTAGAATACAATGTAGATGCATGTTAAGATCAATGGAATATAACATAGAACTGCTTTGAACGTTTCTGTGTTTATGACAATGCTGTTGTTTTGAAACTCTATATTTTAGTACTACACGCAATTAGTTTACAGAATTTTAAATATTCTATAAACATTTTTGAGCATCTTGTGTGATTAATTTCATTTTTATTTATATGGTTCGTATAACCTTGTTCTGCGAGATGAGATTCCTAAGAAGAGGAAGAAGAATCCATACATGTGTTGTTATTAAAAAAACAATGGTTTAATTAAATAGCTAAAACAAAATATCATCTTAATTTCATATGGGTCTTGTGCTCTCGTTCCACTGAATCATTTGGAACAATAGTTTTTATTTTTAAATGGGGAGAGGGGAACTGATGCTTGTGAATGAGGCCCATTGAGGCCCATTAAGACATGTGAATGACTTTGTCATATGAAGCTTCTCTCATGTTATTCAAATTTTAAAGGGCCATAGATTTTAGCTTAGGATTATTCATTACCAAAATTCCTAAATTTTAGCTTAGGATTATTCATTACCAAAATTCCTAAACAGTAACCTTTTCTTATACGTTTTGAAAAACTTGTTTAATTCATTTTTTTTAAAAGATCAATTATAAAATGTTTTTTTTTGTTGTTCTAAAATACTCACGTGAACTCGTGAAGTATATATATAACGATAAACGAAAATATAAGATCTAAGGTTATAAAAAACACAGCACTATAAAAAAGAAGAAGTGGGGGCGTTTTGTTTTCTCATCTACTCTTTTTTTCATTTCTTTTTCTTTGTTATATACTCTTCATTTGGAAAAATAACAAAAATAAAGGAAAAAGGTGAAAGCGTTTGGCGATGAAGAGGAACGCACTTTGGCTACTGTGCCTTCTGGTGTTACCGGCGATAGCCTGTGGTAGGAAACCGGAGAAGAAGGTGACGGCTTCATCCGGGAGGAAGGAGGATGACCTTGTGACCGCTTTGCCCGGTCAACCACCGGTTAACTTCAGACACTACGCCGGTTACGTGAATCTCGGGCCTCAGCAGACGCAGAAGGCACTCTTCTATTGGTTCTTCGAAGCCCAACAAAACTCTTCTCGCCGTCCTCTCGTCCTTTGGCTCAACGGAGGTCAGTCTCACTCTCTCGCACACTTTTATTTGACGAAATTTATTAAAATGAAAATTTCAGTTGTTTGGTCTTTTGGTCAGAATATCTAAATTTCACTGTTTTGTAGTGGCTTTACTAACCAAGTAACCCATACATGATTTTTTTTGTATAAAAAATACAGTACCCTTAGACTGAGAAACTATATTACAAAAATCCTTCAAAACTCTGTGCCTTGCCTCTATCTCGGAAAATAAAAACAGACGAAAATTACACGGAAAAGAAAAAAACTAACAAAGAGTTTGCTTTTGGGCTGTTATTTCTTCTCTTGGATACCATTTTGGTTTTGTGACTGAAAATTTTATTTTAGAAGAAAAACATCAAGTTGTGCATATTGCCCTACCAAACTTCATCTGTCTTCTTAGTTTCTCTTTTTGTAGACAACCCATCGAGAGTGCCTTCTAATACTTGATTTCTTACTACCTTTTGTTTCAGTAACAGTTCAAATATGAGTAGTAACTATTTTGATGCTTTTACCCAAAAAGAAAAAAAAAAACTATATATCGCAACGAGATAGTAAATGGTCGTTTCGATGGAGTTGGTCTTTAACAAAAGTCTATACTATAGCCAAACTTTAATTAGTAGTGTATATAAGTTGTTTGGTAAATAATGTTATTTTTGATAAATAAAATAGTGTATATATATAGTTTCTACGATTATTCCGCTACTCCTTATTTGATCTACCTTAAAATTATTTTAACCAACTTCCGGTCATGATATTAAACTTTTTTTTTTTTACTTTTTCTTACTGGCATGCGTGGTGGAGAAGTGGTAACAAATGTGATAGTATGGAATGAAACAAATAATTAATTGTTTTCAGAAACGCACTTTAATGATATTATAACAAACAATTTGTACGGTGGATCGAGTAGGTTCTTGCCTCTTCATCAGGACAGTAGTGAATTTTGTATACTAATTGTTTGATCTTAGGGTCCACGTTATATTAATGTGAAAACTGAAAACCATAGAGGCATAGACCATTATTTTTTATTATTTTTTATTTTGTCACAAGGCATTATAAACCATATATATATTCATAACTATTGTGAGAACATTGCAAATAATTTAAAAGCATAAATGATCTACTGTCATGTTGCAATCAGTAGACCAATAGTTTAAATTCACGGATCTAATTGTATAATTACTGCTATAGTCAATAGTCATATGATATGATTCGACATATTATTGCACACATGGAGCTTTGTTTTCCACTTGTTTTGTATGGTGACACCAGCGGCGGATATTTTGGAAGGTGGGCGGGGGCATTTTTATTTTTAGTTTTTACTTATGCCATGTTTATTATATATAAATTAAAATATAACTTTTCTATTCTAATGAAAAATATAGACCCAAAAAAAGTATTTTTACACTAATTTCAGTTTCGGTTAAAAAGATACTGGAGACCGTAATGGTCGGGCTCTCTGACAGAGGTTGGAATTATATCATTCAATGTTTCTTTGTATAATGAACATTTAATGTCCAAAACTGATTTCTAGACTGTTGACGTTTTTGTCTTCTTCTCTTTTTTCTCCTCGGTTTTTGTTCATTAGTTTAACGAATTTTACTTTAATACTGTTTGTCTTTTTCCGCACACGGTTCACATTCCAATATCAGGATATTTAGAGATACGAGATAAATATATGAACCTCGTCTTTTTAAATTGGTGCTAGTAATCGGATAAGATGTTGAATATTCATAATAAATACATGCTGTTATTATCAAATTCACTCTCAAATACTATAGAAAACAAAGTGTCTATATGTCTCTAATAGTTATAAACAAAACAAAGTGTCCACGTCTAACTAATAGTTATTGGCCATGTCTAATATTCATGGGGCCATTGCCTTTTTACGCATTGCGTGATTAATGGCTCAAGATGGATACACGAATCCAATGTATTTAATAGCAACATTTATGGTATAATTTCCGTATACAGAATTGATCTCTGATTTCGTTCGCTAACCCGTGACAGTATATTGACGTCTAGTCTTATGCAGTCCAAAAAAACAACAAATTAAGTACTTCCTCCATTTTAGTATTTTTTTTTTGTCATTTTAAAAAAAGATCGTAAAAATTAATTAAGCTTTCGCAAACACATGTGACTTTTGGAATTCTATTTTAGTTCATTATTTTTGACATTTGCAAAGACATGTGACTTTTGAAGTTCTCTTTCAGCTGTTGAAAGAAGAAGATTTACGAATTATATAAGCCACGTATTTACAATACTAAAACTAAATTAGATATTGATATAATATAGGACCTGGTTGCTCATCGATCGCGTATGGAGCTGCTCAAGAACTGGGCCCTTTCCTTGCTCGCACCAAAGGTCACAACCTTACCTTCAATCAATTCTCTTGGAACAAAGGTACAACGAACGAAATTACTATTTTTAATACGATTTTGCATTTTAACATAGCATATACAAAATATTATTTGTGGTAAAAAAACAAAAAAAAATGTTTATGCAGCGGCCAATATGTTGTTCTTGGAAGCACCGGTTGGGGTTGGATTCTCGTATACCAATAACTCCATGGATCTTCAAAAGCTTGGAGATCAAGCTACTGCTGCTGACTCTCTTGCTTTCTTGATCAACTGGTTCACGAAATTCCCCGAGTTCCGATCCAATGAGTTTTACATCACCGGAGAGAGTTACGCCGGTAAGTGCTTATTCCGGCTTAAGTTCGGTCGGTTTTGATTTTAGGTTTTCAATTTTGAAAACCAAAATATAATCGAATAATCTTGTTTGATTTGGTTTGCTATGACTTTAAATGATTTATTATGTTTTTTTTTTTAGGTCACTATGTTCCACAGCTTGCGGAGCTGATTTACGACAGGAACAAGAAGGTTACAAGAGGGTCGCAAATTAATCTCAAGGGATTCATGGTAAGCATCAAGTATAATGGGTTACTTGCGACACAACGAAATGTCGTTTCTTGCGATATGTAAACATAAAAGGAATTCGTTTGGTGGCTGCTTTTGCAGATTGGGAACGCCGTGATCAACGAGGAAACAGACATGGCAGGACTAGTGGACTACGCATGGAGCCACGCCATTGTATCAGACGAGCTCCACAACAACCTCCATGGCTCGTGCCGTTTTGATGAGGAGGATGAGACGAGCAACAAGACCTTACAATGCTATGACAATTTCAAAAATTTCATGGAAGCTTACAGCGATATCGATATATACAGCATCTATACCCCCGTTTGCCTCTCCTCGTCGTCGTCTTCTTCTCCAAGAAAACCTAAACCCATCGTGTCTCCTCGTCTCCTTACTTCAGACGTACGTATGCAAACTTACGACTAGATTTCTGACAGATTAGTTTGTTGTAACGTATAAATGTAACATGACAAATGTTGAAATGGCCAGGACATGTGGGATAGGTTACCGGCCGGGTACGATCCATGCACTGAAGGCTATGCCGAAGCCTATTTCAACCGGAAAGATGTGCAGGTCGCGCTTCACGCGAACGTTACAAACCTTCCGTACCCGTACACTCCTTGCAGGTTGGTCCTACATTACACTGCGTAGTATTAACATTTGTGTTTACTTTTAAATGTTAAAGGTTATTGCGCTAATTATATAGTAACATTTTAGTTTAGTAAGTTTTACCATGTTTCTAACGAACAACGTTTTTCTATAAATGTGTGAATCAGCGGGGTGATAAGGAAATGGAATGATGCTTCATCCACCGTGATTCCCATCATCCAGAAGCTTTTGTCGGGCGGCCTCCGCATCTGGATCTATAGGTCTATATGTTTTTCTTTTATTGTTCAAAAACTTTACAAGAAAAGAAATATATATCTCATTGATAAATTCCACTTATTATTGTCAATTATATTTTTAATTGGTTTGTTTTTGGTTATATATATAGTGGAGATACAGATGGGAGAGTTCCAGTAACATCGACGCGTTATAGTATAAAAAAGATGGGACCAAAGGTGGAGTCACCGTGGAGGTCTTGGTTCCACAAGAGTCAAGTGGCTGGATGGGTTGAGACTTACGCCGGAGGGCTAACTTTTGCCACCGTGAGAGGAGCTGGTCACCAGGTTCCGGTCTTTGCTCCGGCACAATCTCTTTCTTTGTTCTCTCACTTCCTTTCCTCCACCCCATTGCCTTCAAAACGCTTCTGATCACTACCGCCCAAGTCGTGGTGGCAAAAGTTGTCGTTTTGAAGCCGTTGTTTTGGTACTACTTTGCCAATTGATAGAATGATTTTCTATTGATCAATAAAAAACATATCCAACTTTTCGTTTGTTGCAATCAATAATACTTTCTATGGTCGCCTTATATCTAATGCTTTTGGAGGTTAAAATAGAAACCCATTATTTACTTGGAGGAATTTTACATGATAAGTATCATTTTTTTTTTTTTTATAAATAGAATGCTGAAATTCACTTCTAACTCAAAACCGAAAATGTGAATGAACTGACACATGTTTTGAAACCAGTTATTTTTTTCTAATTTCAATTCGGTTTGATTTGAATAGAGTGATGCTGAAATAATTATCTAAATAAAGGCACTTGAGAAATTAAAACTTTAGACGGCCCATTGAGACCCATTAAAACGAAATCAACCCAGCCATGGAGGACATGTTGACTTGAGGCAGCAGCCCATCACTTGTAGAGATCTTTCAACTGAAGCACTTGCGATTCAACATCTTCTCTCCCCTCGATTCAAAGGGAGAAGACAAAGAATGGCGTTTGCTAAAATGATGTTTCTTTTCAGCAAATTTCAGCAGGTGAAATGAAATCTCTCTTTCTTCCAATCCTTTTCCGATGATTATTTTTCTTTTCTTAAATTTCCTCTTCGGTATGGGTTTTTCGATGTTGGGTACGAAGAAAGTTCGAGCCTTGTGCATGGTTTAGTCTTCACTAGAAGATGCTTCCTTTGAATTACCTATGTGTCACTCTGTTTTGTAGGTTGTGTGGCATTAGAAAAGATAGACTTAGAACATATGATTCTCAATTGGCATTGTCAATTTTATGTTAATCCAAGAAGTTTTGATGCAATAGTGTGACTGAAAAACTCATCAAGATTTGTTTTTCTCATTGTGAGGTTTCCAGGGTGTTGGTGTTCTAGCAAAGAGTAACACTTTTGCTAAGAGTCCAAGGCAACTCCAATTTGAAGCCGACATTAACAAACTTTTTATGTTTACCAGGTTGGTTTTTATAGTATTTTAAAAGAGGAAAATCTGATTACTAAGTATTAACTGCTCTGTTTATAGCCTTATCGGCCATTATTACTCATGGGGATATCTGTTATATAGCTATAATCGTCTGGGACGAGACGCTGAAGAGGCTGATGCAGAAGAGATCATTGAGATGGCCGGTAAAGCCACTTTATCTGAGCAAGAGAAGCAAGTTCATGAGAACATTCACTACCAACTCCAAAACTTTTGTGCTTCCATGGACGAGATTCTTCTTCCTGATAGCCACAGAACAAAAGAACTAAACGGGCCAGAATCAGAATCTAAAAGCGGACTTACTTTTGCCATCGGTAAAGACGATGATGTTCCAACTGCAGACAAGCCAGGTGAGTCTTAATAATATGTGTAGTGAACTTACGCATATCCAGTTTCTTGTTATCTTAATCAGTTCTCTCACTGGTTCTTCTCCAGCACAGTTGTTCCTGAGACTAAGCCGCTCAAACTCGCTGAAGTCTCGCAACGGTTAAAGGATCGAATTGGGTACACCCTCGAGATCAAATCATCCTTAATACCTCACAAAGACGCGGGTCAAGGTTGTTTCATTGATGGTGAAGCAGATGTTGGAGCTGTCTTAGCCTTTTACCCTGGTGTGATCTACTATCCTCCTTTCCACAGATACATTCCCGGGTATCCAAACGTTGATGCACAGAACTCATATCTGATCACTAAGTATGACGGGACGGTAATAAATGCTCAACCTTGGGGTCGTGGAGGAGAATCACGAGAAGTATGGAACAGCTCTTTTACAACGCCTGAGATCAGAGCAGATGCCAAAACCCCGGAAAACTGTTCAGACAAGGTCTGGAAGATGCCGAGTAGGCCGCTTGAAGGTTCGGGTAACGTTGAAGCGGTTCTTGAAATGAGAAACCCTTTGGCGTTTGGTCATTTTGCCAATCACCCGAGTAAAGATATGGATCCTAATGTCATGATTTGCCCGTATGACTTCCCTTTGTCAGAGAAAGCGATGCGAGCTTACATTCCAAATGTAGCTTTTGGGAACGCAGGAGAGGCAAATGTGATGAAATTTGGAAGCTTATGGTCTAGGACCGGGAGCAGTAGCAGTTTGGATGCTCCTGTACTGAAGACGCTTGTTCTAGTGGCTACAAGAGCGTTGTGCAATGAAGAATTGATGCTGAATTATGGACTGAGCAAGTTCGAGAGAAGACCAGAGTGGTATACTACGGTTGATGAAGAGTAAGATCGAAGGAGATGAAACAAAAGTCTTGTTTTTTTGTTGCTCTAAATTCTTGGTAACGAGTTTCACAGTGGGATAGAGAAAAGGGTACAATTGCAAGATAAAATTAATCTAAATAAATCAATACAACAAGGTTATATCCATCTTTCTCTCAAAATCAAAAAAGTTACAACAAATTTAGGAAGAAGAAAAAGGAACCATGATGTTGGAAAACTCCTAAACCCTAGACTCCGTCCATCTCACAACTCTTCTTCCTCCTCCTCTTCTTCTTCTTCTTCTTCTTCTTCTTCCTCCTCTTTTTATTCGAATGCTTAGTTTCCAAAGAAGCCAGGACCAGCTCGAGAAAGCAGTTCTTGCCCAGCGTCTTTTCCCATCTTCACCATGTCTTCATACACGTATGGACCTTTTCTTGAGGTCTCAAGAACTGTCACAAAGATTGAACAGATTAGAAATGAATGATGTTTCTCAGATGGGAATGTGTATGGTATAGTGTACGAATGTTTTCATACCTCGAGTACCATCAGGGGAAGCAACCAATCCTCTGAAAAAGCAGTTGCCTTCTTCGTCCTTGGCTGCGTATCCAGCGATAGGAGTACGGCATGAGCCATCTAGCGTTTCAAGGAACGCTCTCTCGCATGCAACCGCTAGTCTTGTTTCCTCGTGGTTCAATGACGCTAAGTAACTTGCCTACAAATGTAAAACACAATTATATTATAGCAAATCCAAAGATCCCATGAAAGGGAACCATCATCAGATAAAGTTATAAAAAAAACCACTATCTAGATCAGAGGAATGGATGTTCAAGAACATACCATTTTGTCATCATCGCTTCTACAAGCGATTCCGATTGCTCCCTGAGCAACAGCAGGAAGCATTTCATCAAGTGACAGGATAGATGCGACATTCTCTGTCATACCCAATCTCTTAAGACCAGCTAATGCTAAGAGAGTTGCTTGGACATTTCCTGCTTGAAGCTTTGATAGTCTTGTCTGCACATTACCCCTAAAGTTTTCCTCAACCTGCACAGACAATTGAAAGAACATTAAACCGATTCATAAGAAACTACAAATATGAAGTGGCAGTCTCTAACTCTCTATGTTTATATATCCCTAGATAGCGCATGTAAAGATGTGAAAACTTACACTTAGTGAAGGATACTTGTGGAGTATCTGCGACTTTCTCCTGAGAGAAGCTGTTCCCACAACGCTTCCGGCAGGAAGCTCGGCCAATGAGGCTGCAGTCAGACAAATGAACGCATCTCGAACATCCTCACGCACAAGGTTGCAAGGTAGAATCGTTTTTTCAGGTAAGTAAGTCGGGACATCTTTCATGGAGTGAACAGCTATGTCAATATGACCGTTGATTAAGGCCTCGTCTATCTCTTTGGTGAAAAGTCCTTTCCCACCAATATCAGCAAGCGGCTGAGAGAGAATCTTGTCGCCGGTGGTTTTAATGATCTCGATGTGAATAGCTCCATCTTCAGTGAGCTCTGGGTGTTTTGACTGGAGCTTTTCTCGCGTCTGGTATGCTTGAGCAAGCGCTAGAGGACTGTCCTACATAGTGAGAGTATATAAGCAGAGAGACGAAGATGATAAAGTCGCATCAGAGGCTAAACTCAAATTCACCACTAGAGCAGAATCAATCGCAAGACAAGATCTTTCCTACTAGAAAACACAGAAGCAATGCAGCGATTGTCGAATGAAGAACCAAAAGAACCATATTTCATCTCTAACCAAAAAAATTATACAATTTTTCATCCGACCATCTACATAAACGCGACAAGGGATTGACATTGTCCACTATAACTCCCTCAAACCCAGGAAACGGATCAGAACAGAGGACCGGTCGAAATCGGTAATTGGAATCTGAATTAAGGAAACCAAGACCAACCCTTTAACATTCAAGCGGTCATAGACCCAAAGAGAGTTCACGAAACTGCCGAGATCGGCGAAAGCAAAAGGAGAGAAATGTACCTTCCCCTTGTGCCAATTCTGATGATAGCTGTTCGGGTCTTCTCTCCACCAGCAACAGCAGCTCTTACGAAGCCAGAAGAGCTCCGTTTCCGGCGACATTTAGCTAGAGACGGGGAGCTGATTTGCGGAAGCGAGAATCCGATAGCGGATACCGAACCGAGGGAGCAGGTGTTGACCCGAGAAGAAGGTTGACGAGTGAGAATAACCTTGTGAGCTTGACAGAGAGAGGAAGACGCGATATCCATGGATTCAGGTAGAGCAAGTGCGAAAGAGAAGTGAGATTAGAAACCTGTAGAGAGATTTCGAGAGGAAGTAAGTATGAAAAAAGAGATCAAATATTTCGCTTCGAAATGGAGAGTTGATGGGGAGAATCAAAGCGCTGAGCTCAATGAGGATATTGGATAGGATAATTAGATTTTTGGGACATAATCTCCTACAAATGAACCATACCAGATTATGGTGCTCCATAACTTTAGTTGGGCCCGAACGAAATTATCTTATGGGCCTCACTTAAACGTGCTATCCCGTTGGGCTATCGCCCTAATCTTCAACGGAATGCACGGGTCGGGTCGTGATGGGCGGTCATCGTCGATAATATTAAGATTAGGGCGAGAAAGAAAAAAGAGTGAAATCGAAACAGATCGGAATCTTCGAGAGAGACGAGAGGATGTCGTATCTTCTACCGCACTTGCACTCCGGTTGGGCTGTCGATCAGGCGATTCTTGCCGAGGAAGAGCGTCTCGTCGTCATTCGATTCGGCCACGACTGGGATGAGACCTGTATGCAGGTATGCGAAACTTCTCTTCCTCTTGCGTTGTTATTTTTTCTCATCTTGAGCTCGATAGACGTCTGATTCGGTTTATAGCGCCTAATATTGAATCATATCCTTTCTTACTGGAAAATCGAGATATTGTGTGTCGATTGTTTCAAAATTTTTAGCTAATTCGTGTGTTCTTTAGCTCGGAACTGATGAAAATTAGGGTTACACTTTCAATCGCAGTGTTCTGGAGCTCTTTCTGTTTGTTCCCTATAGAAAAATGTTCAGTTGTGATGATTTGGTGGTCTCTGCTTCGATTTGATTTAGCTGATTCGGTGATTTTGATGTGTTAGATGGATGAGGTACTCGCATCTGTTGCTGAGACGATAAAGAACTTTGCAGTCATATATCTGGTGGACATAACTGAGGTCCCAGACTTCAACACCATGTACGAGCTGTATGATCCTTCGACGGTGATGTTCTTCTTCAGGAACAAACACATCATGATCGATCTTGGAACTGGTAACAACAACAAGATCAATTGGGCTCTCAAGGACAAGCAGGAGTTCATTGATATCATTGAAACCGTCTACCGAGGTGCAAGGAAAGGTCGTGGGCTTGTGATTGCTCCCAAAGATTACTCCACCAAGTACCGCTACTAATCACAATTCAACAAGTTCAAGTTTGTTGAAAACATTGATCAAAAACTCTTTATGTCAGAGTGATTCTGGTCAGTTGAAATATCCTCCAATGAACGTGTTACATATATGCTTTGATAATTTCTGATTCTGGTATGCCTGCTCTTTCGGGATGTTCGCTATTTGTGTCTGTAAGTGCTTCGAACATCGTTCAATGAAATGAAACTTGGAAGCTAATATCGGGTTTATGTACAAGGTTCTTCTTGATCGTCTTACTTGTTCTGGGCAGTTGTTAAAATGATTCTTCTCCGAAGTAACATGTGTAAACCAAGATAACAAATATGCAACAAAGGACTAATAATGGTTAAAGCTGATGAAAGAGTAGACCGGTATGGTTTTGAACCTGGAGAGGCTTAAACTGTGAATATGGAAAAAATGGACTGAAAATATTAAAATTATTTAAGAGGATAATTATTTTGGAAGATTAATCAACCAATCAGCATTCAGCAGAATATTAAACGCTCAAAAAAGTCCAAACTGTATATATATTGGGTTTGGGCTAAATTTCAGAAAACTGTAGCCTTTAAAGGAAGAAGCCTCTTTTGTCGGCTTTTGATCGGCTGATTCTTCAAACTTAGCTCGCTGAATTTTTCTTACTCCATTTCCGTTTTCGGCTTCACGCAGTTAGGGTTCCACAAGTTTGATTCGGATCGGAGCTTATTGTGGCTGATCGACAACCAGGAGGAAGCCAATCATGTCTAGGCAAGTCACAAGGCTTCTCGGATCTCTGTCATCGAAAGCTCGCCGTTGCTCAAGCGGCGGCTCCGAGGGTTTTCCGTCATTCCAGTCTCTCAGTTCGTTGACCCAATCTCGCTCCTTCGCGTCCGATCCTCCTCCCCCTGCGGCTGTTTTCGTTGACAAAAACACCCGAGTCATGTGTCAAGGCATCACCGGAAAGAACGGCACTTTCCACACCGAACAAGCCATTGAGTACGGCACGAAAATGGTAAAATCATGATTTTTTTAGTGTTCTTCTTCAAGTTCGAATTGGGTATTTCTCCATTGTGCCGATTATGATTTACAAAAACGGAATTTATTATTAGTTTTAGGGCTTTTCTCGTTTCTGCTAGATGGATTTTAGTGTCCCAATGAGCTCTGAGTATCTTTTCGTTGTGAAGATACGCTCTTAATCACATTGATTAGGGTTCAGAGAACCCAAAGCCCCCAACTCTGAGTTATTAGACCATGAGCACACTAATCATTGCTATTTCATCAACTAAAATCAATTAGATCCTGTAGATGAATTTTGTTTTTTTTTGTTTCTGCATTGTTGATAATTTGATTTGGAGCTAGAGGTTTTTGCTAATTAAGTCTTTGTGTGTGTTTTGTTTCTGTAATAGGTGGCAGGAGTGACACCAAAGAAGGGTGGAACAGAACACTTAGGTCTCCCTGTCTTCAACTCTGTTGCTGAGGCGAAGGCTGAGACGAAAGCCAATGCCTCTGTGATTTATGTTCCTGCGCCTTTCGCTGCTGCTGCTGTCATGGAGGGGATAGAGGCTGAGTTAGATCTTATCGTGTGCATTACCGAAGGAATCCCTCAGCATGACATGGTAAAATATCATCAGGATGTTGTCTTTGTTGGTTATATCTCCTTCAATGCTTATTGGATTGCCTTGCGTACACAAGTAATCGGCTCTTCTGGATCTCTCTCTGAATTGTAACTTGTGATGTTTCTTATTTAGGTACGTGTAAAGCATGCTCTTAACAGTCAATCGAAAACTAGGCTGATTGGGCCAAACTGCCCTGGGATTATCAAGCCTGGAGAATGCAAAATTGGAATTATGCCGGGTTACATCCACAAGCCTGGGAAGATTGGGATTGTCTCGCGATCTGGTACCTTGACATATGAAGCTGTAAGGTTTTCTTTATGTCTTGCGTTGGATGTTTTATTCTCTTGGCGTTTTTTCCGCTAATTAAGCTTTGTGAGATTTCATCTAAATAGGTTTTGGTAGTTATGGATATCTAATCGTTGCTTTCGTTTTATGTTTTGTGCAGGTTTTCCAAACAACTGCAGTTGGTCTAGGCCAATCTACTTGTGTAGGAATTGGTGGAGATCCTTTTAACGGGACTAACTTTGTTGACTGCTTGGAGAAGTTCTTTGTTGATCCTCAAACGGAAGGTAAGGTTTTTGATCTTGGGTCATTTTCAACCTTGTTCTAACTCTGTTTCACGGTTTTCTGAAATCATTGTTCCCTCAAAATACATCAACTGTAAAGATCATATAGTAGAGCGACCACATGCCTAGCTAATCTCCTTTCGTAGTGTACTTAGTAGCTTAATTGAAATATTTGCCCTCAGTCCCCGAAAGATGGAAACTAAGAAACAGCTGGTTGTTTCAGGTATCGTTCTCATTGGAGAAATCGGAGGCACTGCAGAAGAAGATGCTGCAGCTTTGATAAAGGTAATAAAAACCAAGAGCAAATCTCTTTCAACTTGGTCCATCTCTCTGTTGTTATTCCTAAAAGTAAAACTCAAATTTTGGTTTTTGATGAATTTTAACAGGAAAGTGGTACTGATAAGCCTGTTGTTGCTTTTATTGCTGGACTTACTGCACCACCGGGTCGTCGGATGGGTCATGCCGGAGGTATTTTCACAAGCCCTTTAGTAAACCGAAGTTACTACTTTTGATTCGTTGCTCTCACTCACTTCTTATGTTTTTGTTTGTTGCAGCCATTGTTTCCGGTGGTAAAGGTACAGCTCAGGACAAAATTAAGAGTTTAAATGATGCCGGAGTGAAGGTTGTTGAATCTCCGGCTAAGATCGGAGCGGCGATGTATGAGCTCTTTCAAGAAAGAGGTCTTTTGAAGCAGTGAAGTGAATTTCACTAGCTCACGTTTTTTTTTCCGTCTTGAAAACTTCAAGAAGAAAACAAAAAAAAACCCTAATTCCTTGCCACTGATGGCTGCACACTCTTTTGGGGTTATTTTTATAAATCGAGATTTTCTTTTTTCCAATTAAAGATTGATGATCAAAAGATTTGACAATGAGAAGAGATTTCCAATTTTGGTTTACATGTTCATCTGAATAAACCGAATTTGCTTGGAAGCTCTTCTAACCGAGCAATCTTAAATGGGCACGTTTAAATTTGGTCATTCTCTAATGATATCTTCCATTACAAGAAATAGGAGTTGAGCAATGTTTCTTCCAAATAATTAGAATTTGATCGTTTGTACACAGCTGAAATCAAATTCCGAGAAAAAACCCTAATATATGATCAAGAGCGTTTAAGAAAAAACAAAAAAAAGGTACAGTATGATCAAGAGCCAACACAACAATGATAGTCTTCACTATAATCAATGTAAACATTGAGATCCATCCAAGTACCAAGCAAATGTAACACTGCGTAGATCTTCCCGGAGTCTAAATGTGTTTTGTCATGAGCTATGAATCTATGTGGTGTCCCATTCAATTCAATTATACTGTGTCCTGCAACTTTTTTCACTCCTTTCTTCTCCATTGCTTCTCTCATAGACCGAGCCGCGCCAAACCGCTTGTTGATCGCATACACGTTAGCTAGCCCGACATATCGTCCATCATTGTGCGGTTGCAACTCTATAAGCTTCTTTCCAACTGTCTCCGCAAGCTCAAAGTTCCCATGGTTTATACACCCGTTAAGCAAAGCACCCAACATCGAACCCGTCGGTTTTATCGGCATGTCGGATATAAAACCAAACGCGTCTTTAACAAGACCAGCCCGGGAAAGCACGTCGACCATACAAGCATAATGCTCACTCTTTGGTTCCACACCGCTTTCCTCGAGACTCGCAAACAAAAACCACGCTTCTTTCACTAATCCGCCATGGGAACAAGCAGAGAGCAAGCACAAGAACGTAATCTCATCAGGGTAAAACTCAGATTCTCGCATTTTGTGAAACAACTGGAGCGACTCTCTTATGAACCCGTGACTCGCAAGCCCTCCAATCATAGCGTTCCACATTAACACATCCGTTTCCTTAGCCGATGCTTCAACAAACACGCCCCAAGCGTCTCCTATAGAACCGCATTTCGCATACATATCAATAAGAGATGTCTGCAATATAACCGTCAAGGGTAATTGCTGATCGAGTATATAGCGATGTACCGCCTTTCCTCGATTTAGCGCACCCAAGTGAGCACAAGCGCACAAGACACTAACCATCGTGACTTCGTTTGCCTTTGATGAACCCATTTGCATCATCTGGTCGAAGATTTCAAGAGCTTCGCTATATTCACCGCTCTTTACATACCCATCGACCATAGAGCTCCAAGAGACAACATCTCTCTCAGTCATTTCATCAAACACCTTCCTCGCCGAAACAACATCCCCGCACTTTGCATACCCGTCCAAAATGGAGTTCCAAGTGACCAAGTTCTTATCGGGCATTTCATCGAACAGCTTGCGCGCGGAAGCACTGTCACGGAACGTGCCATACATATGAATAAGAGAATTGCATATGAACAAATCCCACTTAAACCCAGTTTTAACGACGCTGGAATGCAGAGAGCCGCCAAGTTCTCTGTTCAAGAGACGAGAAATCGATTTCAAGAGAAACGGATACGTCATGTGATCCGGTGAAAACCCTGTCCTCAGCATCTGGAGATACACACGGATCGTTTTCACGGGGTTTCTACTGTTTGAAAAACCTCGTATGACATAGTTCCAGCCGAATTCCGGAGGACTGGATAGGTTCGACAAGTATCTGTAAGCGTAATCGACGTCGCCTGAGGAAGACAGAGCAGAGAAGGAAAGAGTTCGAGAAGCGAAAGGTTCATCCTCGGAGAGACCGAGTATGATCAGGAGGGCGTGAGTTTTTTTCAGGTCCGGCATTGATTTGCATCGGTGAAGGAGAATGGAGTTGGCGAAGAGAGACGATGATGATTTCAACATTCACCGCCTTTACATTTACACACACTTTTGCTGAATTTCAATTTTCGTCGTTCGAAGCGGTTTAATTCACGATTCGAAATATTTGTAAATTAATCCCTGAGTTTTTTTAAATTAGGACAAATGTACCCGCCTTCACTTTTCTTTTTCTTTTAAATAAGCCCAACGTTTTATAGGAGATACAACGAAACCCTTTTTTGTTATTTTGGTCTGCAAAAATAAGATCACGGTTTCATTTGCAATTCTCTCTATTTCTGTTATTGATCCTCATCAAATATACAATAAGTAGTCAGAAAAGAAGAGGAAAAAGTTACAAAGAAACATACACATTATTAACAGATAAATTAATAAACAGAATGGTGGATTCTGAGTTATTTCTATTTCTACAATGGTATGAGAGAATATTAGTAAGGAACCTAGCCAGACAAAGCAGCAAGCAACCCTCTGGGTTCCACTGACAAAAAGCTTTTACTAATCCCGGTATGTATCTCTTGCATATCTAATACTTGCGCGCAGAGCTATGACGAGGACTGGCGTTGAGTATTAGAAGTTTCTGAAACAGGTTTACGCCTGCTGATTTTTCTTTGAATCATATTCCTAAGTGTCAATGAAGTAGTACTGATCCAGATAGTACACCACATCTGCGCATGTAATTGTAACATCAACATTAGCCTTTCTATTAATCATCCAAGCAGATCCATAGCAACTATTTTTCAATCTTTTTTCAGAAGAAAAGACTTGATCCAGAGCAAATACCTTGTAAGACGGACCTAGCTTCTTATGGGTGAGCTTTTACCAAATCATTGCCTGAAAAGCTCTGCAACCAATCCTCGGTAAGTGTCCTCTGTTTCAATCCGAAGCGTTTGCTTCATTTTCTACTCACAGCAGCTACAACAGGAAATATGCCGTCTTTGATTAGACCTGTAAGATAACACGATGTCCTGTAGTCTTCCACAAACTTATTTGTAGCATCGACAGCAAGCAGGTAGGTTCTATCTACTGAAACCGGAAATCTTCCTTTATGAACCATTTCACTGAATATCCCATACGCGGCACTGACGTTTCCACTTGAAATAAAAGAGTTTACGAGCGATAAGTACACAGCTGAATCAGGCTCCATTTCCTTTTCTTCCATCTCGCGAAAATAAACCAAAGCTTCACTTGACCAACCACACTTGCAAAGACCCTGAATAAGTGCCATGAAAGTAACTGTATTTGGACAGCAATCTTTGCTCTTCATTTCATTCCAACGAGAGATTGCTTCACTAGGCCTTCCACTACCGCATAGCCCATGGATTAAGCTAGTGTAAGTAATCACATCAGGATCTTTCTCATCCTCATACATCCTCTCAATACAAGACATGGCCCGATCAATCTCACCTTCCTTGCACCATCCATCTATCATACTGTTATAAGTGGCAACAGAAGGTTTTAGTCCTTTTGATACCATTTCGTTACACAGGTTATCAGCCTCAGTAGTTCGACATGCTTTACATAGAGCTTTTATCAATACATTGTATGCAATCACGTCAGGGGAATGACCGATGGCACATATGTCTCGGAACAACTCTAAACCTCTATCTACTCCCTCGTTTTTGATGAGACCATCAATTGCAGCAGTATAGGCAACCATGTGACCAAAGAAACCTTCTCCCGCAACATCATCAAGGTATTTGCAAGCATCAACGGCCCTACCATTCTCACAAAGCTTTTTGACAAGTAAGGTCGAATGCTTTATCCATGGCTCAAATCCATAGAAACGCATCTTTTTCAACAGGCCGAGTGCTCCTGCAACATCGCATTGTTCAGCCAAGCAACCATAAATACAATTAAGTGTGAATTGACTTGGTTCAACTCCCGTATCCTTCATTTTCCCCAAGAGTTTTAAACTTTCTTCCGACTTTCCTTCTTTACACATGCCCTCAATAATGTTGTTGTACATCATAAGACTTGGACTAAGGCCGTTCTGGACAATGATATCCAACAAGCTAGCTGCCATATCCACCTTATTGGCTTTGACCAAGCAGTCAATCACACTGCTAAGAGAATCGGAATCAGGGAGAATCGCTTTATTATGATCCTTCAGAAGCTTAATAATCTCAGACTCACCATCAGACTCATGATTTCCCATGAGGTTCTGGATAAAATTGTAAGCATCATGCACCAAATCATTCCGAATAAACCCCTCCAACAAAGTTCTGTAAAGAAGCGTCACAGATTTTGTGTCAATGTCTCCAATAATCACTTCTGTTATCCGATTTAGTTCAGCTTCTTCAGGAAACGAACGTATCAGCTTCCCAAGTATTCCTCTATCGGGTTGAATTCCCGACCCCTTAATCTCCGAATACAAACTCAGAGCCATCTCAAGATCTTTATGCTTGCAAAGCCCTCCTATCAACACATCATACAATGCAATGTCAGCGTTCATACCCATCCGACGCATTTTCTCAAACAGCAGAAGTGCTTTATCGATCCGAGACTCTTTCACAAACCCATGAATCAAAACACAATACGTCTTACAGGTCAAGCTAATATGGCGTCCTTCGAGCATCTCAATAAACTCAAAAGCCTTATCCACCTGACCCAGCTTGCATAAAGATACAACCAAGATCGTCGAAATGTGTCCATCGAGCCAGCCTCGGCTATGAATCTCATTGAAAACACTTAACGCTTTATCGGAGCTCCCAGAGTTGCAGTAAACCTGCAAAACTGGCGTAAGAGTAAATTTATCGAAATGAAACCCGCAATCCCTCATCTCCTTCATCTTCGCTTCAACCAAATCAACCGAGCTCGAATTCGACTTGGAAATCGCTTCTAACAAACAGTTATACGTATAAGCATTCGGAACACAAAGACCCATTTCTCTGACTCGATCAAAAACAGAACTTGCTTCTTCCGCCAGCCCAGCATTACCCAGGCACCGAATGAAGAACCCTAACGCTCCAGGGGACATAACACAGCGAGAGCTCAGAACATCTCCGACCAAAGTTTTCAGTGAGGCATTTTGTCGAGCACGTGATAGGATAGAAGCCATGGCATTGTAAGCATACATGTCGTTTCTGTACCCTTCCTGTTTAGAAGCCCAATTGAAGAACATGTAAGCCAAACCCCACCTCTTGAATCCATTCAACACGGTTTCGACTACCTTGGTGTTGAGCTCTGGAGCGAGTCTCAGAAGCTCAGGGTCGTCAGGCGAAAAATGTTGTCTTGTGAAGATTGTAATTAGGTTTTGGGCAAGCTTGGATTGATTGTGAGGAAGAAATCTGCTGTTATCTAGGTTCGTGGTGAATGGTCTGTGAAGTTGGCGTTGTTGTATGGAGAATCGCTGGTAAAGAAGAGCGATTCTCGAGAAGGCCATTAGAGAGAACGATCAGACCAAAAACCCTTATCGACTGTGATTTGTTTTCTAAAACCCCGTTTTTGACACCTGAAGGCCGTGTTTGGCTTTTGCAGTTTGGGGGGGAATTCAGTTTTGAAACAGCGTTCTACAGACGCGATTTTGAGCTGACCATAGTCAACCCTAAAAACCCCAAAGTCAACCTAGAAACCGGTATCCAACAGAAATAAACATTTTTTTGAACATTTCAGAAATAAACTTTATTAATGAGAAAGATAAAATTGACATTTTTGATAGGGAAACATAACTGAATAACAAAATTAGCAAGTTTAGATTTATGCTATGGCTTTATCGCAAGAGATTGGATAGTCCGGATTAAATATATCTATAGAAAGATAAATTATCTAGCAAATACAAACTATACTTTTTCTTTATCATTGAGTTTTTTATTTATTTAGAAGTACCGCTCCAATTGTTTTAGTTGATGTTGTTGGAGTTCTGTTCGGATGTAACTTGACATTTTATTGAATAATACTTGAGAGATCTTGGTCTCTCGAATTCAACCAAAAAAATAATAGCAAATTTAGAAAATAATTATAATTTATAAATTAATCTCGTACTGTATCACCAGAACTCTCGTTTCAAAACTGATTCTTCCAAATAATATATGAAATGTAGCTTTTGTGGAGTTTTCAAATAACGATCACAAGATTCACAACAACAAAAAGTCACTAGGATTATTGGAGATATTTTCAAAAAGTGAAAAAAAAATAATAGAGAGCCAAAATTACGATCTAAGATAAAAGAATAATTTCTTTTAGATATTGTTCATCGAGAAAACAGAAGCTTCTTTAGCTCTTTATTATTTATTCATACAAATCAAATAAGTCCATAATCAAACAAACGTACGCAATACAGGAACACAAACATCATGAAAACGCATGCATAGATAGAGTATTCATCTTTTGTTGTGACTTAACAATAACAGTGGCATTGTCCTCCGTTAGTAGGTTTGCAGTAACCGCCTTTTCCATTGTCACATCCATTAAGACACCAACTGTTGCATCTCTCTTTGTCATGGCTTGGGTTGCACTTCCCGAATTTCGGGTGAGTGTTGCAGCACAACGAACCACTTTCTAACACATATCCTTCACCATCTGCGAATAACGTAAACAATTGAGATTTTTTTCTTTTTTCTTTTTGGAGTTAACATTAACAATACTTGAGAATTTAACCCTTGATCATAACAAAGAAGACGTACCAACGGAGAAGAGGAGGACGAGGAGCAAAGCAAAAGAAAAAACCTTCACACTGGCCATTGTTTATTTTCTTTTTAGATTTGTAATTTAGTGTTTAAGCTTGTTTTTGTATTGGAAAAAAAATGATCGATTTTTCTCTTATTTATACCGAATGAAATTCTGCATTTTTCTGATCTGTTGCTGAAAACAAACTAACAGTTTAGTTTCTTTTGTTATGTTTATTCTATTTCTAGATTACTTCTATAATTATGCTAGTGATATTGTAACATTCCATTTTGCAGTCAAACACTGTGACTTGTTATTGAAGATAACAAAAAAAAACCTAAATAAGATACTGCTAATTCGTTATGACAAACATAGTCTTAATCAAAATGGGCTTTTTATTAATTCTGAAAGGCCTAATGGTCACTTTTTATTCGAACCAATCTGTTGGGCCCAAACCAGCCATTAGTACATGCCTTAGATCCTTTCGACACAACTTCAACTTTGTCATCTCCTTCGTCGGCGAATCCCCGATTTGCCGGAGCTTGAGGCTGAGCAATCAGTGAAGATAAAATCTAATAACCATGGATTCTCCAACCAGTTCACTGAAAACGGGTAAGATAAAATACGTTAATTTGTCCCTTTCACTCTATTTATGCCCTTTTTTCATCCGCGGGAAGATTCGACTTTTTCCTTTGTTGAATCGTTTCTTATTCTGTAGATTTCTCGTGGGTTTCGGATATTGTGACCCCTCTTGTTTTTCTGTTTTCAATCCATTATATAATGAACCAAGTCATACTGTTTGTAGGGTTAATCCTGGCCATTGCGAAATTTACTCTCAAGTATTTGAATCGTTGTGCGTAATTGATGTTGCTATTAGTAACTATGTGTAGCCAATTTATGGCTACACCTTACTTTAGATTCTGAATTGAAGGAGATTTAATGCAGAATGCTAGTTTAGTTAGAGTTTATGGAATCAGAAGAAGAAAAAAAACATTTATAGTCTGTGTACATTGATTTGATGAGCCTTGCTTCTTGTGTGTCCTAGTTTCGGACGACGAAGAGATAGATTACTCCATCAAGCCAGAATTCTATGATTCAGATCTGGACGATAAAGATGAGATGTGGATGGTTAAGAAAAGAGATGGTCGTACTTCTGATGCTGTCCTCAGCTGTCCAGCTTGTTTCACCACTGTCTGCTTAGAGTGTCAAAGGTGACTGAACATTTCCTCTGAACATTTCATTAGAAATAGATTGAATCTTTGGCTATTCGTCTGGTTGCTTCCTGGAGAATAGACTGATAGTGACTTGCTAGATCCTGGAATGTTGACTTAAACTGGAGATTTTGATCATTGTTACAGGCTCGAGATACTTAGCATGTCAAAATCCAAAGATATTTGTTTAGGAATGACAATCAGCTTCCTTTTCAATCTTCTAGCTCTCTACCTAACCAACTCAACGGTTGTTGTTTAGATGTAAATACAGCTACAGTCCACTATAAACCGCCTAGGCTAATTACAATGTTCATGCGCTAGACTAATAGAAGGGCTTATCGATACTCTCTTTTGAGTTTAGGAAATTCAAGATACGATTATTCTGTTTGTCCTCTAAAAACCAATGATATATACTGTATAGTCTTTTTTATAACTTGCTCCCTCTACACCATTTAGGGACGTGTGAAGATGACTTGTCGACATTAGTTAGTAGTTTTTAGTACTAATAACCGTTATTGAGACAGTTCAGTCAACATTTCGTGATCAAACATTTGTATTACTTTGCAGGCATGAGCAGTATGTGACACAGTACAGGGCAGTCTTTGTAGTCAATTGCAAAGTAGATAAAGACAGGGTCGTGCAACAGAATGCGATATCCTCAAATGTTGGTAAACGAAGGAGAGATTCTGAGAAGCGAGAAACTGTTTCTGCGGATGACGAAACAGTGAACCCTGTCTTTTGCTCAACTTGTTCGACAGAGATCGGAGTCGTGGACGGTGAAGAGATCTACCATTTCTCTAATGTCATTCCAAGCGAGCCTTAAAAAACCATTAATACTTTTCGAGTTTTTTGGTAACAATTTTCGAAGTGGTGATTACGGTGTAGGTTTCGATAGTTTGGGTTTGTGTGGATGTTTTGTGTATATTTATTTATGAATGATTCCATAACCTAAACAATTTGAAATTGATCATTGCGCAAAAGCCAAACGGAGGAAAGCTTTAATCTAAAGTTTTAATCAGAAAAATATCGCCGTTCGGTCTTGGAACGTCTAATTCACGCTAATGGCAGAAGATAAAGCGACCCCTCTGAGTCTAAAACACGAGATGACGTGGAAAATTCTGATTGGTGGAGTAAGCGAAGGAAATCTAAGAAGACATCGCCAAGTGAAAAACCAGAGAAAAGATCTTTGTATGAAACACGAGTTGATTCTCTTTTGGCAGAAGTGTCACTTTCTTGTATTTTCGTCCACAACCCACAAATAATTTAATTACAAGTAATGCGAATGGGCTCCAGCTGTTTACCACATTTGACAATTGTCAATGGGATAATTCGTACATCTATATAATAATACAAACATTTATGCATTTTTTGGTAACCGGTGATCATTAACAATGAGTGCTCATTAACAATGTATTTATCCAGCTAAATCATAAACCTCAAAGCTAATCATATAACACATACTCCTAGTATGTAGTAGTATATGCGTAATTAAGAAGGTCTCAATTAAATCGCCCAATATAGCTCTAAAAAAGCTGGTCAAGAATAAGTAATTTTTTTTCTTGTAAACTCGTAATTAGAATCTTTGATCTAAACAAAATAAATAAATTTAAGATATTAGTTGGGTCTACATTTAACGAGAAGGATATCCGGACTTCAAGATTGTATGGGGCATGTTAACAACGACATACGTATTAATAATTAAGTCAAGTCTATAATTGAATAGTTTGTTGCTAACCACGACAATAAACATAACATTTTTTTGGGGTTAAAAGGATTACATAATTATAACAAATATTAACACGATAATATAGTATAATGTCAATGAATGAAAAAATGTTCATGCGATGACAAATCACAAAGATAGTATGCCAGGTGGCGACGACTATTTTTGGGTCACGCTCCAAATGAAATGATTATTTAATATATTCCGTAATGGTTATAAGAATGAGGATTATGATTAATCAAATTACACACACGAACGCAAATTATGCGTGGGGATCGGAAGTTGTTTGGCTGGAAATGCTCCATTAGTAGTAAGCAGTGTCAGAAAGCGCGTAATTGTCTTTATTAGAGATTTTTTTATTTTAGAAACACAGTAGTATAAGAAACACATAATCACACCTTTTATTTGTGAAACTTTATAAAATAAAACAAAATCGTAATCAGTGTTGGTGTTGAATCTACCCACCAATCAATTACCTCATTGATTGTCTCTTATTCCACCTCTGACTCCCCCGACGACTATCTTTTCAACAATCGTGAAAACTGGCAGATGGAATTAGCTTTTATTTTAGTTACAAATTTTTGTTTTCACATTATTTAAAATGAGCTAAGATCATAAATATGACAATTACAACGCACCAAAAAAAAAATTATGACAATTACATGAGTATTTATTTATTCATGATTCGTTCTTTTTTTTTTTGGATCGGCATATTTCCGATCCCCTAAATTATCAAGCTTTAAAAATGATAATGAAAAAGGTAATAAATTCAAGCAAGAATAGTTCTTAACACTTTACTTTAAGCTTTTGTTATAGTATGAATATGCATTGTATTTACTCCAAACCAGAACAACGATTGAAGCGGATTAAAAACGGATAACCGACCAAACTAGATATGAGATGTCCCTTAAGTACTCGCGATTTAAGTAAGTTTCGGCTGTAATTCCAGCAACATTAAAATCGATCGGACCCACATTCTAAACCTAAAACTTAAATTCTCCTGCCGGAGACGTGGTCCCTACGCTACAGTCAACACCGGAGTCAGCGCGTGAACTCAAACGCGTCCGGACAAAAATGCTCGCCCAAAAATAAATAAATTGGGAAAACAAGAAGAAGAAAAAAACCCTCTCAGAAGTGAGCTGTGTGGGACCCACCAGCCATGTGCCCTTCTTCCTGTCTCCACCAGCTTCCTGCTACTCTCTCTAAATCATTTTACCTCCTTCTTCTTAATTCCTCCTCTTGAGAGATATAGAAAAATAAAGAAACCCTAATTCCGTCGGCACTCCATGACGAACAACGACGGAGCAGTAACTAACGGCGTCATAATCGAGCAGACGTCGTCAGCGGTTAACAAAGGATCTCTTAACGCCGTGAAAAAACCACCGTCTAAGGATCGACACAGCAAAGTAGACGGAAGAGGGAGACGGATTCGTATGCCAATCATATGCGCAGCTCGAGTTTTCCAGTTGACCAGAGAGTTAGGTCACAAATCCGACGGCCAAACCATTGAGTGGCTCCTCCGTCAAGCCGAGCCTTCTATCATAGCCGCCACTGGAACAGGCACAACTCCGGCGAGTTTCTCCACCACTTCACTCTCCACTTCCTCTCCCTTCACCCTCGGAAAACGCGTCGTGAGAGCGGAGGAGGGAGAATCCGGCGGAGGAGGAGGATTAACAGTGGGACCCACAATGGGTGCCTCGTTAATGGGTGGTGGTTCGGGTGGTGGCTTCTGGGCGGTTCCGGCGAGGCCTGATTTCGGACAAGTATGGAGCTTTGCCGCCGGAGCTCCCTCGGAGATGTTGTTTACACAGCAGCAGCAACCAGCTACACTCTTCGTCCGACACCAGCAACAACAACAGCAAGCTTCCGCCGCCGCCGCCGCAGCTGCAATGGGTGAGGCTTCAGCAGCTAGGGTCGGGAACTATCTTCCGGGTCATCATCTCAATTTGCTTGCTTCTCTATCGGGTGGGGCTACCGGGTCGGGTCGAAGGGAAGAGGATGACCCACGTTAAAAAAAAAAGGTCTGGCCTTTGTGCTCTTTGATCAGAGCTATTAATTTGGGCATGTATAGAAAAATTCCTGTGTTTTATTATGTCAATCGAAAGTGGTTAGTGAGTACTTACTTATTTTGCGGGTTTTTGTTGCTCAATTCTACATAATTTTAAGCTTATTGCTTGTTTGATTAGGGTTTTAGGGTTTAAGAATACTTTGGTCTCAAAATTTGTTCCGGAGAGTGACAGGGATCGATTGATTGATTGTTGTTACTAAAAACGCCATAAAGAGCAGCAAAAAGCTCTTTGTACGTTTTGTGCGTGATTTTCTTTAATGGTTCTCGTCAGTGAAAGTTGAGCCCACACGAACAATGGATCTCGCACTGGTCAAAGGATTGTAAATTTGAATGTTTCTCGTGACTTGTATGAATGACAATTGAAGATAAGAAAACAAAAAAAAAGTGTGTATTTGTCTAATAAGTTCATGTGAAGTGGTCCTTGTCCTTTTGATTTATTTATCTCCGGTAAACTTGCAACTTACTTTGTACTCGCTCTCTTTTTGGTAAAAAAAGAAAAAATTCTTTAGGTTCGGATTGAAAACTGATTATTGCACCTTTTGGAAACAGGAATTACAGTATTGCTTTTGAATTGTTAATGTTCTAGACCGAACAAACAAGCGGTTCTTTACGGTTAAACCAGCTCGAGCGGATGATAGAATGCTGGATGCCTATTTTACAGTGGTACAAAATCGGACAAAACACAGTTTCACTAGTAAAAAAGGAAGAGAAGAAAAACATTGTCTCCAAGCTTACTTAATCTATATTAGAGATGGAAGAATTCAGATCGGCCAAACAAAAGAAGAGGAAGGAAAACGCTTATACACTTGTTCTTGACGACGGAAAAGAATTAGGGAGGGTTTATAGCTCGGTAACAGGTTTACATCCCTAATTACAACAGCAAAGTAACCTTAAATTTTATATGTCCCATTTATTATTACCAAAAACCATGCGACACTCTTTTTCAGTGAAAAAGTGTCTGTACTTTAGATTTGTCTCCTCAAAGTTTGTTGGGGTCGTGAAACTTTAATCTACTTTAAACCTAACCCATCAAACCGATCGGTTGGTTCTGTAAAACCTAACCCATCAAACCAATACAGTAATAGGATCCGATATAATATCATGAGAAAGATAAATCCCCTTGTAAATCCTTATGAACCGGTGAAATTGCATCAGACCGTTCACGAACCGGTAACCCTAAAAGAAGTCTGGTTCTTGACATTTTTGGAGGTCCTGCAACGTTTCTTCTTCCCTACCGATTTTTGACCGGAACCTCCATGATTCAAACAGGATTATTTTGTAAGCGAGGATCAAATCGAACAGATTGGATCTTTCTCTGTTTAGGAAAGTGATTCCTTACTTACCGTAAGCAAAGAAGAAAGGGTAAAAGGTATAAAACTTTGCTTCTCTCCGACAAAGTCCACGCGATTCCCCCACTGCCAGCTTCCGGAAAATTCCGGACTTTCTCGCAGCAGCCGTCAATTTCAACTGGGTATGTTTCAGATCCTCGTGCCTATTTAGGGTTTCAGATCCTCGTGCCTATGTTCAATTATTCGTTTCGAGTTTTAAACAATTGATTTCCAGAAAATGAGGAAGAGAAAACAAAAGCGAAGATATGGTTATGATTTTCTGAATTCCGTGAAACTTGAGTACTAGGAAGTATAGAAAGAAAAAAAGAATCATGTCTGTTTAGTTATATCTATCTAATCATATGTCCTTAGATCTTCAATTTTCATGTTTGGAAGCATATCACGAGTCGATTGTTTGATTAAGAAGATATTGATGCTGATGACATAGATGTCTTCGCTTTTATGGCTGATTTGATTATATCGATTGAGCTTAGTGTTCCTGAGATTTGGGTTTAAAGAACTCTTTAGTGAAGTGCAGATGTGTTATCGAAGCGATTAACAACTTCTCGACTCTGTTACTCGCTTGTTTTTCAGGTCTGCGTTGAAGAATCAATGACAGAGATCTTTAGTGACACCGGACTCAGACAGTTAACTCAAATGTTCGTAGCGATCGTATTCTTCCACACATCGGAATACATTCTCGCCATAGCCATTCACGGAGCATCGAGAGTAACTTTAAGCTCACTATTGATCACAAAGCACTATGCTTTAGCGATGCTAATCTCAGTCCTCGAGTACCTTATCGAGATCGTTCTCTTCCCGGGGATGAAGCAGCACTGGTGGATCAGCAATTTCGGACTTGTAATGATTGTTCTCGGAGAAATCATCCGCAAAACCGCGATAATCACAGCGGGAAGATCGTTCACGCACCTTATAAAGATTCGCCGGGAGGAGCATCACAGGCTTGTCACGGAAGGAGTGTATCGAATCGTGAGGCATCCGAGCTACTCGGGGTTCCTCGTTTGGTCTGTAGGAACGCAGGTGATGCTGTGTAATCCCGTATCCGCGATTGCGTTTGCGGTTGTGGTGTGGCGGTTCTTTGCAGAGAGAATACCTTATGAGGAGCATTACTTGAAGCAGTTTTTTGGAAGACAGTATGTGGAGTATGCGCAGAGAGTTCCTTCTGGTGTTCCCTTTGTAAACTGAAACGTTGAATCAAAATTATGAACATTGTTGGCTTTATTACTTCTTACAGAAAAAAATTATGAAAGAGATGTTACTAATGGTGAATACTAGTTTGTATTTGGTTATTCAATTCACGACTAAAGAGAAGCTGATTTTTTTTTTTGAGTTCGAATTGGCTTCAGTTTCGATTAATATTTTTTGTTTGAAAACTCGGTTAGAGTGAATTCCAGTTTTGTGTTGAAATTATCGGAAAAAAAGAAATTGAAATATTCCAAACACTCTGGCTAAGCCAGAGGTAACGAAGTTTAGACGGAGACTCTTACCACAGTGCTACTAGTTAAGCCCGGCGAAGACTCTCCGAGAGAGCGAGCTTGTCCGATCTATAATCTCAAGACGGGACCATGTTGTGCGGAGGAGGCTCACGTGTCTTGCAGCATTTGTCCGATCACCATCATCATACGACGATTGGATTAGGGTTGGGGTTTTGTGGTGCTAAGATTGTCCAGCTCTCTTCAAACTTTCTCAGGCCTTCTCAGGCTATGGCGAACGGTCATTTCTGCCACAAATTGCATCGACGGATGGTTTCATCCACTGGGTTTCATCGCAGGAATTCTGGAGAAGTCCCAGTTCTTCACAATTGTTTCAGGTTCCTAATTTTTGAAATCTAGCTGTTACTTCGGTCTTTTGCTGCGGTTTTCGAAAATCTAGACTGACATGTCAATGATATGTATTGTGAATTTTAGCTTTGAGCTAACCGTAAGGGATTGCGTGCATTGTCTGTTGAGATATATGTTTCTGTGCTGTAGAACTTGTAGGAGCCAATGTGTGAATAAAGAGTGATCTTTTCTGAAGTTATATGTCACTAATCTATAAAAGTTGGGGTCTTTTTCTCATTATCTGTTACTTTTCTTCCTCCAAAGCCAGCGAGAAGATGATCCTGAGCTTCCAGCTGAAGGTTCACCCCCAGTTGCAGGTACCTTCGTTGCTTTTTCATTCCACTTTTCTCTTATCTTCCTAGAGTCCAACAGCTTCCTAACAAAATTCATACTTTTCTAGTTTCAAAGTGGTAATTTGTGCAATGATTAGCAGTACTAGAAACTCGATCGAATGATACATCTTATTAGATGTGTTAGCAAGTGGTGTTGTTCTGAAGTTTTCTGATGGTTTTGCAATGCCTTTTCTTCGATGTGCATATTTGCAGATCTCTAAGTTTACATCATCATTGCAGGAGGTATTGTTGCTCTAGGGAAGTTTGATGCCCTGCACATTGGCCATCGAGAGCTCGCCATTCAAGCTTCCAGAATCGGAACTCCGTATCTGTTATCTTTTGTTGGAATGGCCGAGGTTCTCGGTTGGGATCCTAGGTATTATCCCCAACTCTCCTGTAGTATTCAGTGATCCATGCCTTCAGTTTCACACTAGATATGATTTTTGCCTTTTTTGTAATCAACCTGTGCTCTCTCTCCCATGGTGACTACTGACAAGCAGGGCTCCGATAGTGGCCAAATGTGATAGAAAACGGGTGCTCACCTCTTGGGCCTCATATTGTGGGAACAGAGCACCGGTGGAATACGAGATAGAGTTTGCCAGCGTGCGGCATCTTACCCCAAGAGAGTTTGTGGAGAAGCTCTCAAAGGAGCTCAGTGTCTGCGGAGTTGTTGCAGGTGAACTTTAGAGGAATATCCCAAACCCGTTCCTTTCTCGTACCGTTTCATGTTGAAAACACATAAATTTAAATTGTTTGCAAAAACCTTTTTCCACAGGGGAGAATTACCGATTTGGGTATAAAGCTTCTGGTGATTCCTCGGAGCTAGTGAGGTTGTGCGAGGAGTATGGTATCGGTGCTTACATCATAAGCTCTGTGATGGACAAGAAGGAAGACTCAGGGAAGATAGACTCAGGGGACTCAAAAGACAGAGGGCAGGTCTCTTCCACACGTGTACGCCAAGCTCTTGCGGCGGGAGATATGAGGTATGTATCAGAGCTCCTTGGCAGGGCACATCGGCTTATCTTGCGAGTCAGAACCCGAGATATGGTGAATCATGAAAGGAGGATCTCAGTCCCGAGATCATCAGTACTTAATTTACCGCCTGGGAACGGAATATACAAGGCATGTTTGCTTCTAGTTGGGGATGAGCCTTCAATTCCTTGTAGCGTAGTTGTTGACACATTAGATATCCATGTAGAAATAGAGGAGCCACTGCTCTGTAATTCAGATTGGTCTCAAGAGTTTCGACTCTTGAGTGTTGAGTTCGGTTGATTTAATCTTAGTTTTCTATAACTTCATTTTGAATTGTTTGTGTCTCAATGAAAATTCCTTGCAAAGATTGATCTGTCTCAATTAAAATCGTCTAAGTGTAGTAAAATATTGAACCAATATGCTGTATGATGAAACATGGTGGTGAATGAAGAAGCCCTTTGATTCTTCCTCTCCTACGAATATATAACTCAAGACTGTTAACCTCTCTTGTTATTAATCTTAATAATCTTAGAGAGTCTTATAAACATTTGTGAATATACTCAAATTAGCCTTAAGTAAGCAATGATTATGTGTACTCTGTTCTTCATTGGACGTGTCTGGGCACATTGCTCTGTATATTTTCCAATTGTTCTTGTGAAGAGTCCTTTGTCGTTTTCATTTGAGTTGATTGAGATTTGCAATAAATAATATGATTAGCTTAACATATTAATCTGATCTTGTCTACAATGTAAAAGGAAAAAAAGGAATTGAATTTGTACAGTATTGTCTGTCTTTCTAGGACTATTCTCTGATGAATCAGGTAAAGAAGAAATGAGATATTTCTTCATAATCTCCAAAGCTCCTAAAAAACGGTGGCTTTTATTGCTATTCACTGTCTTCAAAGCTCAGAGAAAGAGCCTTCTCAAGGCAAATGAAAGCTTTCTGGTAGCTTAAGAACCCCATGAACCAGAAGTCGAAACCATCGACCGTGACTACTTCCAGGTACTTCTGTGACGGTTTCTTCGTGTTCTGACTTTGGTTCACTCTCTCGATCTTGCACAGAGGAACTGACACTTTGTAGTGAACCCGGATCATGTCTCCTTGAGGGGAAGCCACCTTTATGGATCTCTCGCTGCAGAAGGCCATTTTCTTTGACGAAATGAAGAGAAGTCCGGCGATGGGACCCGCCGTAGTCGACAAGTAACACTGGTACATTTTGAACAGTTTCTCGTCTTCACTGACTCTGAAGAGCCGCTTATAGATCTTCTCTAAACCTCCGACCTGAAGAATCCTAGCCCCCAAAGATAGCTTTCTCTTCACTGTTTCGGTTAGCTTTGGTCTTAACTTGCTCTGGTCTCGAGCTCCGCTGGTGAAACCATTAGTTTTCTTCCTTTTAAGAATCGATTTTCCATTGCCTGTCAGAAAGTAAAACCAATCCTGTTAGCTTTCATGCGAATTCAACACGGGAAGAAGGGTCATAGAAAAGGTACTAACTTTGTTCAGATTTCTTGGAAGAAGACGAAAGCAGGAACTTGTTAATCGAAGCCGGATCAGGTAAGTAACCCATCGGAGTAGTCTTTCCCGCGGGAAAACTAACGACTTGTTGCTCAACTCTGCTCATCATGTTCATCTTTAAGGGGATTGAGTAATTGATCTTGATCTTGACGTTGTGTGATTTGTAGTAATGAAGCTGAATGATGAAATGGTTTGGTGCAGGCTTGAGGTATTTAAAGGGCAATGAAAAGAGAAGATAGTGTCTCTTTTTTTGTAAGATGAGTCATGAATGGGTCATCAACAATTCAGCAAGAATGAAAGAAAGCTTTTTTATTTTATTTAATATCTCAATTTTGAATTTTTTTGGGGATTAGGGGTAAAAGCAATGTGTTTGGCTGCTTTGAGATATTAAAAAGAAGATCAAAGGAGCAAAAAAAAAAAAGTGAGACATGATCACACGCGCCCCTCACGTTAGACTCCGACATGCTTTTAAACCTACCAGTCGGCAAGACGGCACGACTTTGTTTTATTTTTGTATTTGTATTGCATGGTTTCATGTTAAAATACGTATTTCTTGTAATATCTATATTTCCATTTCTTAAGAGTGAAAAACTCCTCATAAATTGGTCAATCACTAGGATAGAGATGTTTTCCTTGAGCAGAATTTCATTTGCTTAAATAGTTTTTTTTTTTTTTGTCTTTCAGTACAATTTAAGCAAATGAAGTTATGTCTGACTTATATAAAAGAGAAATAAGAAAATGAGATATATACGCTGACTTATGGAGAAGGAGTATCGTGGCTTTGGAGCTTTCTGAGTTGGCATCGCCACTTTCTGATGCGATTAACCTTATTTTACTTGCTACTATAAGATAAGGTGTTTTGTATATCTTATATCTTTTGAAAAAAACACAAAAGCAAATTTGGTTGAAATGGAACCCACCATATGGACTACACCTGCCGTTGTATCGACTCGTCATCCATGTGATCTATTGGCACTAAATTTGATATTTATTGCAGGCTTTTAACACTTTTTTCTGTGTATTAACTAAATAAATTAAGAAAATGTAAAAGGTAAAATAGAAATAGTAGTTGATAAGAAAAAGAGCAGTCAATATTTTGTGACGATCACATCCGTCATCCTATGTGCAATAACATAGCTTATCCTCTCTAGTCGTAGAAATTTTCCTGACGTGTGATTGAAGAGGAAATAGATAAGAAAAGAACAAGTCTCTTCTTAACGTTGCGTTTAGTTACTCATTTAGCCATCCCCTGTTATTGTTAAAATACATACGAATCGAAATAACAGTCAAATTTTAGGAAATTTTTTAAGAAGCACGCAAGGAAAAAGTTATAACATCATCTGAGGATGACATTTATTTTCTATGTCAAGATGGTCTGTCACTGTGTAATTACAGTTAGATTACACTCGCTAGACAAAATTTAGTTAAAAAAAAAAGATGCTCTGTGTATTACACTCACTTGTTGACCATTTTTGACACTTTTTTCTTTCTTTCTCGTCTCTAAACTCCTCTATGGTACATTTGATTGTTTAGACGAAGTTTTATTTAAAGTTTGGTTGGCACTGTATTAAATAGAAAAAGTTGTCTATAATGGCTATGTCTTACGATCGTTGTTTTTTTAAAGAAACTAGTGGGAGGGGGTTGATTAAAATGATGATGTATTTACTAAGAGCATGAGTATTGCAGAGTTGAGAAGAGAGGTTCTTTAGTTTTTTTATTATTAAAAAAAATAATTTTATAAAAACAAAACGATTTTAAAAAAAAAGTTGACTAATTATGTTTCACCATGTCACAGTAAAATCACTGCTAAAGATTCTCTGCAGAGAGGCGATTTTTCTCTGCTGTCTTACCATATCATTTTTTTTTCTTTTCTTTTTTCTTTAAAATTCTTCAAAAACTTTGCAATACTCATGCTCTAAGTTTTCTTTCAATTTTTTGGCAATTATTATATTAACTGTCACATTATTAAATTCATTTGTATTTAACTAAACAAATATCTAGTGGTACTTATTTTTCTTCCTCTTAATTTTCATATTTTGTTTTTTTCCTTTTTCACTGAAATTTCACATTTTTCTTACTCTCTCTATATATATTATATCATTCTCCCCTATTCATAGGTGAGCTGTATATTTACCAAAGTAAAAATTCAGAGAAAAGAAAATGAGTGACATAGGCAAATCTAACTTCGAGAGCTTCCTTGAACACACATCTCCTAATGTCTCCGTTAATTTGCATAACAAGGTACGTTTTCTTTACCATTTTTTTTACTAATCTTATGTAATGATTTATGAATTCAACTGCTCTTCTAGTGACTGTATGTTTATATATTGCGGAGTTTTTTTTATATCTCAAGCATGCTTAAATAAAAAATACTACACAATACACCCACAAATCATTGAAAACGTCTGATATCTATTTATACGCCAATTCCTATGTTACAAAGTCAATCAAGCATCTAATCACCTCTTAAATTTATATTTATTCCTTGAGGTTATTATGTGTACGAATATGCTTGCAAAGATTAACAATTTCATTGGTAGAATCAAGTTCCAGACGGTATCATCAAATCATTTAGAAGAAAACAGTGTATTTAAAATCGTTTAAAAGGATATCTAAAATATATAACAAAATAATGATATTTATTAGTGATAAACAACATTAGAAGCAAAACGTTAAATATTTTGAGTCATTTAGAACAATAACATATACTATAAACTGTCCAATTTTTTATTATAAAGAAAGTCATTAATTTAAAACGGATAGTTAAAAAATAAGTTTGACTAAAAATAATAAATCCAATAAATAATAAATGCATTTCATAGTAAAACAAAATTTGTTATAAAATAATTTAATATATATATATATATATATAATATCTAGAGAAGGCAAAATGAACAATTAAATAATGAATCTAATTAGTAATAATTACGTTGAATAATTAGCTATTAATTTTGGTTTTAAAGTTTTTTTTTTCAACTTTGGGAAAAACATGTTGGTAAGTAAGTTTAAATTGTTTATAAAATAAAGATAATTTATTTTTTCAATGAATAATTAAATAGTGAATCTAATTAGTCATAAATATGTTGGAATAGTAAGCTAACTAATTTTGTTATTTTCTAAGTTGCGAGGAAAACATGTTATTAAGTTGTTTAAATAATATTTCATCCGTTTCAAAAGAAGTGTCATTTTGACACTTTTCACACAAGTTAAAAAATTTAATATCCAATAAGTGATAAACGCATTTTATAGTAAAACAAAATTTGTTATTAAATAATTTAATATATATGACAAAATGAATAATTAAATAATGATTCTAATTAGTGATACTTGCGTTGGATAACAAACTATTAATTTTGGTTTTAAAGTTTTTTTTTAACTTTGGGAAAAACATGTTGGTAAGTCATTTTAAATTATTTATAAAATAAAGATAATTTATTTTTAATGAATAATTAAATAGTGAATCTAATTAGTCATAAATATGTTGGAATAGTAAGCTAACTAATTTTGTTATTTTCTAAGTTACGAGGAAAACGTGTTATTAAGTTGTTTAAAATAATATTTCATCCGTTTCAAAAGAAATGTCATTTTGACACTTTTCACACAAATTAAAAAATTTAATATCCAATAAGTGATAAACGTATTTTATAGTAAAACAAAATTTGTTATAAAATAATTTAATATATATGACAAAATGAATAATTAAATAATGAATCTAATTAGTGATACTTGTTGGATAATAAACTATTAATTTTTCTTTTAAATCTTTTTTTCAACTTTGGGAAAAACGTGTTAGTAAGTCATTTTAAATTGTTTATAAAATAAAGATAATTTATTTTTTCAATGAATAATTAAATAGTGAATCTAATTAGTCATAAATATGTTGGAATAGTAAGCTAACTAATTTTGTTATTTTCTAAGTTGCGAGGAAAACATGTTATTAAGTTGTTTAAAATAATATTTTATCCGTTTCAAAAGAAGTGTCATTTTGACACTTTTCACACAAATTAAAAAATTTAATATCCAATAAGTGATAAACGTATTTTATAGTAAAACAAAATTTGTTATAAAATAATTTAATATATATGACAAAATGAACAATTAAATAATGAATCTAATTAGTGATACTTGTTGGATAATAAACTATTAATTTTTCTTTTAAATCTTTTTTTCAACTTTGGGAAAAACGTGTTAGTAAGTCATTTTAAATTGTTTATAAAATAAAGATAATTTATTTTTAATAAATAATTAAATAGTAAATCTAATTAGTCATAAATATGTTGGAATAGTAAGCTAACTAATTTTTTTTTTTTTAAGTTACGAGGAAAACATGTTATTAATATTAAGTTGTTTAAAATAATATTTCATCTATTTCAAAAGAAGTGTCATTTTGATATTTTTCACACAAGTTAAAAAATTTATTATCAAATAAGTGATAAACGCATTTTATAGGTAAACAAAATTTGTTATTAAACAATTTAATATATATGACAAAATGAACAATTGAATAATGAATATAATTAGTGATACTTGCATTGGATAATAAACTATTAATTTTTGTTTTAAAGCTTTTTTCAACTTTGGGAAAAACGTATTGGTAAGTAATTTAAAATTGTTTATAAAATAAAGATAATTTATTTTTAATGAATAATTAAATAGTGAATGTAATTAGTCATAAATATGTTGGAATAGTAAGCTAACCAAATTTTTTTTTTTCTAAATTACAAGGAAAATGTGTTATTAAGTTGTTTAAAATAATATTCCATCCGTTTCAAAAGAAGTGTCATTTTGACACTTTTCACACAAGTTAAAAAATTTAATATCCAATAAGTGATAAACGCATTTTATAGTAAAACATAATTTGTTATTAAATAATTTAATATATATGACAAAATGAACAATTAAATAATGAATCTAATTAGTGATACTTGCGTTGGATAATAAACTATTAATTTTGGTTTTAAAGTTTTTTTTTTCAACTTCAGGAAAAATGTGTTGGTAAGTCATTTTAAATTGTTTATAAAATAAAGATAATTTATTTTTAATGAATAATTAAATAGTGAATCTAATTAGTCATAAATATGTTGGAATAGTAAGCTAACTAATTTTTTTTATTAAGTTACAAGGAAAACATGTTATTAAGTTGTTTAAAATAATATTTTATCCGTTTCAAAATAAGTGTCATTTTAAAATTTTTCATACAAATTAAAAGTTTTAATATCCAATAAGTGATAAATGCATTTCATAGTAAAACAAAATTTGTTATTAAATAACTTAATATATATATATATATATATATATATGTAAATATATCTAGAGAAGATAAAATGAGCAATTAAATAATGAATCTAATTAGTGATAATTGCGTTGAATAATAAACTATTAATTTTGGTTTTAAAGTTTTTTTTCAATTTTGGAAAAACGTGTTGGTAAGTCATTTTAAATTGTTTATAAAATAAAGATAATTTATTTTTAATGAATAATTAAATAGTGAATCTAATTAGTCATAAATATGTTGGAATAGTAAGCTAACTAATTTTATTTTTTCTAAGTTACGAAGAAAACATGTTATTAAGTTGTTTAAAATAATATTTCATCCGTTTTAAAATAAGTGTCACTTTGACACTTTTCACATAAATTAAAAAATTTAATAAAAAGTATCTTCTATCCCTTAATACATTAAACAACTCTCTCTTTCTAATTAATACATTTAAGATGAACAATTAAATAGTATATTTAATAAATGATAAATATATTGAATAAGAAAGTAACTAATTTTAGTTTTAAAGATATTTTTGTTAAAGTTGGAGAAAAACGTATTGTTAAATCAATTTGAATTATTTAAATGATATATATATATATATATATATATATATATATATATATATATATTTTGGTTTAATCCAGTTAGTGATAAATCCATTGAATAGTAAGCTAACTAATTTTGGTTTAAAATATGTTTTTTAGTTGGGAATTTTTTTAAAATGAAAAAAATATTACTAAACTGATTTTGAAAAAAACACTTATTATAAAATGATTTCTATTCATTTTTTATTTTAATAATTTTTTATGAGTATATGAATTCTTAACAAACTTAACTCATATAAGAAAATTTTCCAAAATATTTTAAGTATCTCTTAGATTCCTATAATCAAACATTTTGAATACATCTTTTTAATACATAAAACTACTTTGTACTAAGAAGAAAACTGTAGGCCAGTGGTATTGCTCTGCTTAACATAACCAATATATCTTATGGGGTGGGGGCCCAATTGATGATGAAAAACACTCTCTTCAACTTTATTAAATCTCTGTACTGTACATATCTAAACAGAGCTTTCAACTTTTAAAATGAATCAAGGGTCCCATTGTTCAATTGTATTTAACTCCAAGTCCGGCCCACTAAACCTTTCCTAAATGCTATTGTTATCCAACCCGGAACCACGGACCCGGATAATATAATCGGGGTGGTGATTTTGAAAATCTTTTTTTAAACTCCGGTTAAAATGCAATCCTTAATTTCAAAATTCCGGTGCAGAGTCGTGGCGGTTCGTCTTCTTCAAGTGCCAAAGCAGAAGAAGTGAGGAAGCCACAAGTTGGCCTGAGAGACATTTGGTCTGCTTACGAAGAATGGAGCAGCTACGCCGTAGGCGTTCCTCTTAAGCTGGAGAACACAAAATCGATTGATACTACTCAGCACTATGTTCCTTCCCTCTCTGCGATCCAAATTTTCACCAACAAACCCTTCGTCGGCGGATCTTCTTCAAGGTCATAAACTTGACTTTCGATTTTGAATTGACCTTTATTGCAATGATTCATGGGTGTATCCACATCTTCACTTTTGGATTTGATTTCACATTTTGTGGTAATACTGTCTGAGTTTTTTCTCGTTTCTCAAAATTTAGGAGCTTTGGTACGGACTGTCACCTTTATTTCGAGTACAATGAGACAATGAGCTTTGGTGATAGGCCTCCTCTTACTATTAAGGTTTGTTATGCTCTGTTTCTTCCCTTGGATGCAGCAGCATTAGGGTTTCTCCTCCTCTGTAGTGACATGTTAAATGGAAATGATGTTTTTGTTGAAGGTTGATGAGCTAGCTAAGAAGCACCATGGATTGAATAGTCTTACAAGCTCTGATCTTTCCCAGAGCAGCTGGTTTTCTGTAGCTTGGTATGTCTCTTTCTCAGCTTTGATGGTAGTTAAACTCTCTTTCTCCAAATGTAGTTCTTGTATGAAATAACGACTATGGTGAATGAGGTTGGTTGATAATTGTTATAGGTCTCCTGTGTATCCAATTCCAGAAGTGCGAAACGTCAAGGCATTATCTGTCTCTTTCCTAACATACCATTTATTGACACCCCTCTTTCCAGGTATTAGCACTTATGCTTGAAAACAATGTGTATGTTATAGGTTTCGTTGATTTTGATCTAGTAGTTTTCCTTGTGAGTCTCAGAAACAGTTGATCAAGAGACAAATGTTGTGCTCCCTGCTTTTGGAGTTGTGACTTCGAAGCTCCCCGGAGAAGTTTGGATCATGCCAGAGACCTCAGACCAAGAGAAGATCAACATGCATGAAGAATCTGCTTCCTCCTGGCTGGGAACACTCAAGTTCAGCCACAGCGACTTCGACTTGTTCATGGCTGAGAAATCTAATGACCTGCCTGCCACTCCCTAGTGGGTGGTACCAATCTCTGCATTGGTCTATTCATATATCCCTCCAGGTCTATAGAATAATAGGCCTGGTAGTGGTATCTTTGTTATCATGGAATAAAAAGATGAAAACTTTGAGAACATCTGGATGTTTCGGTTTTATTTGATAAGTGGCATATGAGAAAAACTCAGTTTATTCTTAGCATAATGTTATTTGGATTTGAGTTTTTTTTTCTGATGCTGGCATCTCATATTCAGCATTAGTAAAATACATAGATTGACTAGGAGATGATTTGGTACAATCTTCTGGTATTTGACAGTATTTTGCTAGGGATCTATTTCACTTGATTGACTCTAGCTGTAGAAGAAGAGCATCTTATGCTTTGCGTCTGGTAAGAGTATACATTTTGCAGGCATGAGGCTCCACTAGGGCAGATAGTTGTTTTCTAACACCCGAGTATGTCGAATGCTGCATTCATCATAGTCATGGTTCATGATTAGGGAAACAGAATTTCAATGCATAATAAGATTGAGGATGCATGCTTTGTCTATTAACTTACCGCCCATAAGTCACGAGCATTAACAGTAGCTGATGAATCAAGGCCAATGTCTGCCCATCGAGCTGTGATGTTTGCAGGTAATGATCCTCTGTTCCATAGGATGACTGCTACTCGTTTCTTGCTTAGTGGACCTGCCCATACCTGCGTTGCACCATATATGTTACCTTTATGTGTTCATACTGTTCGTGTTTGGTATGTGCATACATATATAGATAAGAAGAAATGTGATACCTCAAGATCACCGTCTTTTTTCACTTTCTTTCCCTGGATCCCAAGTTTATCTGAACATAAACAGCTAAAGCTCTTACCACTTTTGGATTCCATATGAGAAAGTTTCCAAAGTGGTTAATAGTTACCTTGATTAATAGCAATCACCTCTTTGTTGCTAAGCAACTCAAAGGTGGCTTTGTCCATGGATCTAAGATCGCACCCGATCAGCAGAGGAGCCTGCAAGTGAGAACACAATCCAACATTTAAACTCGGTGTGGGGCTTTCCAGGTAAACAAGATTCATACTTTTGCCAATGCCCAGATGCTGAAATGTGATCGGTATTCTTCTCTACTCATGCCTCCATTTCCCACTTCGAGCATGTCTGGATCTGTTTCAGGTTTACCGATATTACTTTCTCGGGTCTCGATCAAATTCACTCACATCTGTTGTTAGCACAAAACTATTTACCGTTCCATGATCCTGGTCTTGCGTAAGATGCCCATCGATCATTCTGATCTGCTATCGTTGTCATGCTTATAAGCAAAAAGGAAGAAGAGAGAATCATCTTTCAAGTTCTTGTTTCATTTAGTTTAGCAAAAAAAAAAAAAAAAAAAAATCAATGAAAGAAGAGAAACCTCTTCCAGTTATCTTGGATATCTCCTGTTGTTCTCCAACTGTTACCAATACCTCCTGCCCAAGTTGCTGGGTCCTCTTGTCCCCTGTAATTACAACTCACTTCCATCATCAGACCAAACTTGTCTGAAAAATCCAATAACTTCATCATTTTTTTTCTTACCATTCACACAAGGAGAAGAATATGGGTCTTCCTGAATTTATCAGAGCTTTGCTCATCTTTGGGTATCTTTCTTTTGGACTTGTCCCTGTGTTTTCGCAGTTATCATACTTCAAGTAATCAATGCCCTGTCGAGTTCACCATTACAAACACACCTTCAAGGTTTAGAAACTGAGCTCAGATATAACACACACACACACACACAAATACATACATACATACCCATGAGGCAAATGTTTTGGCATCTTGTTCTTCATGCCCGAGTGAGCCCGGCATGGTTTGGCTGCAGGTGAGAGTCCTAGAAATCCAGTAAAAAAAGATCAACAAAGAAACTATCAACTGCCAAGATTTGGGTTTTATAACAAAAGTTTCTTGAGAGTGTATATATACCCAGCATCAGAGTAAATCCCAAGCTTAAGCCCTTTGCTATGAACATAATCTGACAAAGCTTTGATCCCTGAAGGAAACGTCGATGCTTTCGCAATCAAATTTCCCTGTCAAACACACATCTCAGTTTCGTTCTTGGATTTTTCAAACAATCTAATAAAAGACAAAATCGTTCTTCTTTTTGGTGTTTCTTTAACCTGAGAATCTCTCTTGAGTTCACCCCAACAGTCATCTATGAACATAGAGAAAACAATTGATGAGATAAACAGAGAGATGAAAAAACAGAGTAGCAAACACCAAAAAATATCTTGTTTGTTTTACCTATGTTGATATACTTGTAACCTATTGCAGAGAGACCACTCGAAACCATTGCATCAGCTGCATAGAAACTCAGATTATTATTATGATAATCAATCAATGTTGTATTAGATTTCTTTTCTATAGAATCGAGTCAGTAATCACCGGTTTGTTTGATGAGAGTTTCATTGATGTTACACTGAAAATGATTCCAGCTGTTCCATCTGATAAGAGGATGTAAATCATAAGAGGTAAATAACTTGTTAGTCAAGGAAATGAAAACAAATGTAGAGGATCGAACCCCATTTGAGGAGAGAGAGCAAGCCCATTGTTCATCAACATTCGACTCTGAAACCCATCAACGAGCTGAGTCAGAGTCAGAGTGAGTGTGATGATTCTTAAGAAGAAACCAAGAAGAGCCATTGCTTGATCAAGCTTTTTTGCTTGTTGATAGTTAGAAATCAAAAATCAAAAATCACAGGGCTAGACAGGTTGTGAGAACGAGAGAGATTCAAGAAAAAACAAATTTGGGTTCTCTAATAAATGTTGATAGATATAAAGTGGGAACTGTGGGATCATCCAATCTCAGTGTATAGCAAGTGGGTCGTTTTCGTTATTCCGTTTTTAATTTAATACTTAAAAGTTTAATTGAAAAGTGAAATACATATATTTTGTTTGTTCATTATTTTTGGTAGTGTCGTAAAAAGTGTAGAGAGATTGAGAATAAGGAAGAAGAGGTTGTTTCGTGTAAGAGATATTCATAGTGAAGAACTCTAATATAGGAAGAAGATTGAGGAAACACACATTTTCTTACTGGTCAAGACATGTATCATATGTTAAACCACGGTGAACTTTCTATTTTTCAGGCGGAATATTTACGAGTATAATGAAATTTTGGAGTGACCCACTTTTAGTTATAAATAAACAATTACGTTAGATCCAAAATACAAAATCAGAATTCTTCACGCGTTTCAATAAATTGGTTAGGTTTTCATTGTCATGATCTGATTGGACTTTAGTAGTTACAATCGAATATTTGTAGGACATACACTTCATATTTATATAATTACATATCATACCTGTATGAATTGTATACATGTTGAGTCGTTGATATTATAGAATTAGATTGCAAATTGTCAGAGAGTACACACCACTAGAATTCGGACTTGAAGTGTGATGTTGGCATGTTGCTCTTATGAGCCCAAACTGTGGTTCACTTTCACATGTCATTGTCTTATTCTGATAAATATCCTAATAATGATCCTAATTTAATTTCTAAAAAGAAAATCTAAATCAACAATCGCCGCACAGGCAGAAGGAGGAGTATACTTTAAGGTAAAGTCTCTCAAGTCACTCAAAAAATGATGAGAGATCTGTGGCTTCCTCAAGTGGACCAACACACAAGTGACTAGACTTGTGTCGTACGCCAAATGATGAGAGATGTTTCGTTTTGGAACTCCTTGTCCTTGGCTATAGAATTTTAGGATTAAATTCCAGAGCATTTTGAGCAAATGTAGATTCATTTATTGGAGAATAACTGGAGACCCAATTTGAGACGAACCCTTATTGTCTTTACAGAATAATTGGAGAATACAACATACTGTAGCTCTCTCTCTCTCTCTCTCCCTCTCTCTCTCTCTCTCTCTCTACGTATATATCTCAGGCAACAGGTTTGAGAACATACAGCTTACACGCATGAGAATCCACTGTTGCTGTCAAGTTCCCTACAAACTTTTGCTTCAGTGTCTTGTGCTGTTCTCATATCACAACAAAACACATTCGTCAGAAGACAAAACATCTGAACTTTTTTTGTTTATGTTTATAAGTGTAAGTATATATAGTATGTTCTCATATAATGTTAAGTTTATGCGTAAGTATGTACCTCCCATAGATCTCTGGCTTCAACGACGCTATTTGCAGGGATCTCAATATCATCCCAAAGAGCAGTAATTGAAGATCGTAACGGTCCACGGTTCAACAGAAGCAAAGCTACTCTGTAACCTGATAATGGTCCTGCCCAAACCTGATTCCCTTTTCGTTTAGATGAAAGAATATGTCTATAGACGGAATAGTAATTATCTAAAAAATTTAGATGTAATCTGACCTCAATATCACCTTCCATTCTAACTTTCTTGGCCTGAACACCATGTGGATCTACAAGAACGGTTTATTTGTTTGTAATATATAATCAAACATGGTTTACTTGAGGAGTCTTCTAATATGATGGCGCTAAACAGTACCTTGATTAATAGCGATGACCTCCTTGTTTGTGACGATCTCCATTGTTTCTTTGGACATGTTTCTTATGTCACAACCAAGTAGAAGAGGAGCCTGTGATACAGCATTAGTCTCAGAACTGATAGATTTTTTTATTTAAAAAGATGGTTTCCCTGTTTTAGGTATTTACTCACCTTTGAGATTGCCCAAATGCTGAAATGGACTATGTACTCGTCTTTAGTCATCCCTCCATTTCCAACTTCAAGCATATCCGGATCTGCAAATCAACAAACAAAGTCATCCACTCTTTCATAAACTCTCTATCCAAATCCTTCACGAAAATCTGCAGAACATAACAGTACCATTCCAGCCACCAGGCCTTGCATGCTCAGCGTAGATTTCGTTCATGTCTGCTATTGAAATCATACTGTGCAAGGCGAAAACATTTGTAAAGATGAGGGAGTTTCAGGAAAACATCTCAAAACATCTTTTATTGATTGCATTCTTACCTAAGCCAACTATCATTGATATCATTAGTGGTTCTCCAACTGTTGCCCACTGGAGATCCCCAGAGAGCTGGATGCATATCCCCCCTTGTAAAAAATCAACTCATCAGTCTCAGTTCTTCCACATAAAAATTCGAATCTGGCACAACGTTTTTCTTTTGAAGGGGAAATGATTCATACCATTCACACAAGGAGTAAAAGATGGGGCGTCCAGATTTCATGAGAGCTCGGGTCATCACTGGATACCTGACAGGCGGTTTGGAGCCATCGTTGTTGCAGTTGTCATACTTCAAGTAATCAATTCCCTGAAGATTCGAGCCAAGCAATTGTTACTACTTAACTCACTCGTTGGATAATTCATGTTTATGAGATGAAGAGAATGTCGGAAACACAAACCCATTCTGCAAATGTCTTGGCATCATGCTCCTCATGGCCTAGAGAACCCGGCATGGTTTTGCTGCAGGTCAAATACCTGTAAACCAAACCATTGTGAGGCCAATGCGTACTGTTCGATTCCTCTAGCTGCTGAAATGGTGATGTAGAAGCAAAAGCAATGTGAGTTTTACCCGGCATCGGAGTAAATCCCGAGCTTAAGGCCCTTGCTGTGAACATAATCCGCAAGCGCTTTAATACCAGAAGGGAAAGTCGACTTCTTTGGCACCAGGTTTCCCTGGAAAAAAGATTTGAAGCAAGGATAAATGAAAGAAACCAAGAAAACAGAAACAAGAAACGAAACCAAGAAAACAAAGAAAATGAAAGTACCTTGGCGTCACGAGAAATTTCAGCCCAGCAATCATCTGAGAAACAAACCAAGATTTCAAATTGAGATTTTCACAATACTGAGAGGAAAGAACTCTAACTCTTAAGCAATGAAACATTAACCAACTTCAGAGTGATACAATGAATCTAAGATCTTTATAAGCTGCGTTAGAGCCATTACCGATGTTCACGTAGTTGTAACCGAGCTTAGAGAGGCCAGTGGTAACCAAAGCAGCAGCTGTTACAAGCACAGGATTGACGATTTGTTTAGAAGACAGAAAAGACAACAGATGCAAGATTAATCAAGGATTGTAAAAAAATGAAATTTCACCAGTTTCTTTGATGACTGTCTCATTTATGTTGCAGCTGAAATGGTTCCAGCTATTCCACCTGCAAACCATTACACCGGAAATTCCATTCAGACATTATCAAGAACCCAACAAAAGAGATACATTTCACAACATATAATGTGTTCTTCTATAATCTCAAAATCAAATCAAATCAGAACATTTCACATTCACAATCCCTCACACACATAAAACCCCAAACTTTTAGGAATCAATCATAAATAATTAAAAGAGGAAACAAGCTCAAAAAAAAAAATGTTAATCGATACCCAGAAGAAAAAAAAAACGAGAGGCATAGAGTTGTACGGACCCCATGGGAGGAGTGACGCCGAGGCCATTAGCGAGCAAATGTCTTCGTAAGACCTCAGAATCGTCGCCGGCTCTTTGGACTGATCTCGAAGACTCGACCATCGTCATCACCATTGATGACATCATCATCATCATAAGTATTGACAGCTTCACCATCTCACCGTTTTCTCTTGTCGCCATCTCTGCAAAATCTCGGTAGTCGATGAGAACAGAGAGTGTAGAGTAGATTGTTGACGAACACTGCTTTATAGTAGAAGCTTGAGAGTGTTCCACAAATTCTGTTTATTCCCATTTCACCCCTCTGACTCTTATCTACTCCACAAAAGTACATTATTACATTATTACATTCTTTTTTTTAATTCTTTTCAAATAAATCGAACATCCACAAAAGCCAAGTATACTTGTAATCATGAAATTTGATAATTGGATTCTTTTTATGATGAAGAAAATATTAAGAACATTAATGATTCTTTTAGTTGATGTTACAAGAAGTCTTGAGGATCATCAGATCAAAGTTAACGTTGGAAAATTTTAAAGTTCTTAATTAAAGAATAATCGAAAAAGAGAAGAGGGTCACGTCTCTTGGACTGTGTGAGCTGTGAGATAAAATAAGATAATACTTTTCGTGGAAGCAAAATTGAAACTAAATACTTAGGGGTCTGCTTTTTCTTTCTTTTTAGTTGGCAATATTCGCAAACTAACATATCATATATTTGTCGCCATATATCATTTTCTTTTCGTTAAAGTTTAGCAGAAGACAGAAAAAGGATTTTCAAACTTATTAATTAATCAGTCTGACAAAAGAAAAACAAATAATCAGTTTGTCTTGTTCTTGAATTCCATTTCTGTATGATCTTCTTTGTTGTTATTGTGTTAACGTAGGTAAGCCGTTGTGTACAAATCAAATTTTATTTTACGGCCAAGAGAAAATTGAAAACAAAATCCTAAAAATGAGTTAGTATATGTACATAACAAATATATATATATGTAATTAGAGCACATAAACTAGATTTATTAGCTTTACTCGGACTTATATATACATATCACAAAATAACAGTTTATATTAGTGTGAGTTCTAGATGAAAAACAAAATATTTAATCCAACCTAAAATTTCGAATAATGTATTATTCTTGAGATTAATAAAAACGGGTAAAAAAATGAAAGTATTTCAGATAGTTTGTACATCGTCTCTAGGCTCTAGCTTATGTATTGTCTTCACTTTTCACCTTATATGCTTTGATTGGTCAGAGAACATTATAACTCCCCCAAGAAAATCAAAACCTGACTGACAAGAAAACCCAAAAAAGGAGAGAATCCACTGTTACTTCATGAATCAACTCTCCGACCCACCTTCTTCATATTCCTCCATTCTCTCTCTCTCTCTTCTATGCTATAAAATCACTCTCTCGTTTCTCTACGATCGTACGTATTCGTTTAAGCAAGCATCATCATCATCAACAGTACAGAGACAGAGCGAGAGAGAGCGATTGAAAACAAAATGTCGGATTGGGGACCGGTGCTAGTGACGGTGATACTCTTCGTGATGCTCACGCCGGGACTTCTGTTTCAGTTGCCGGGACGAGGAAGATACGTCGAGTTCGGTAATTTTCAGACAAGTGCTGTCTCCGTTATCGTCCATTCTCTTCTCTACTTCTCCCTTGTCTGCGTCTTCCTCCTCGCACTCAAGATTCACATCTACATCGGCTAATTTCTTTCTTACCCTATCTTTTCTTATTCTCTGTGTTTCGACTTGTTTTTCTAAGTTTTATTTTTAAACGTAACAAGATTTTCATTCAAATGTACTTTCATCGTCCGGTCCTTTACATCGGACCCTTTTGCTTTATGTGTGTTTACCTTTTTCCTTCTTGTAAACGCAAAAATTTGTATTTTTTTGCTTAAAATAATCTCATTAATTACCTTATAAAATGTGAGTTTATTTTGGTTGGGTTATATTGTGTATGCATACTAATGCAATATGCAAATCATTCAAATGCTCCAAGCCAGTATGTGTTGAAGTAATAAGCATCTTCTATGTTCAGTTCCAATGAATTAATCACACCCAAACATGTTATCTTGGTTTATTCTTAATGGTATACAACTAAAAACCTGATTCTTTACTTACTAAAGAGTAAAGACCAAAAGAAAACTTCACCTAGATCCTATCAAATACACATAAGTGATAAAGAGATTGATAAAAAAGTAATAAGACGAACAAGAATACAAAGCCAAAACCTTTCATTTGCGCACTGCATATAAGAAAAAAATTTAACTGATCACAATGCATTAATCAAACTCGTTAACTACAATGATTTTGAGGGAAAAACGAAACTCGGTTTTCAAGTTATGGCGCCAAAATGACGCGCACCTTTTATTTTTGGTTTGACTTAAATTGGACTCGGTTAGAGGCCGATGACTCCGATTGCGAGCAATAATTCTAAATGTACCATATTTAATTTAAAATGCTAAACCGATTATGAAACCAAAGTAGATCTTTATCGCTCTCTAAACGACAATCACCTATTAATTGCACTAAAGCACCGACAAGAATTTCAAATCCAATTAACACAGATTATTAAAAAAATTCCAAAACTATAATGCTCTCAGTATCAGACGGAAATATCGCTTTGAAATAAATATCATATTCCGATTGGTATCAGTATGTTTTTAGATTGAATTTCGAATTAAATCAAATATATATCTCATATTTTTCAGAAATTGAGTTTGAATCGGCATTCTAGGTTACTTGATGTTTACTAAAAAAGTAATACTATGGCCTTATGTGATATTTTGGCAGTAAACTAAATCGAAACACACATACATTTGAGTAAATCGAAAATGGTTACGTATGAAAAATTTGAAAAAATGATTATGGAATTTTGAATAGAGCAGAGGTAAGTAAATAATAATAAAGCAGCTTATTTTCTCTCTCCTTCTTCATAGTGTCTGTGTGTCATTCACATCTCCCTCTCTCTCTTCTTCTCTTTCACTTCTTCGCCATTAGAGAAAGAAAACCACTTTGAAATATCTATAACTCATCCAACAACTCCCTTTTAGCAATTTTTAAAAAATCTTCTTCGCAAAGGGAACAACGACGTTTACTGCACGACACTGTTCTTCAACCTGCATTCCTTTCCAACCAATTTCATCCCCAAGTTTGGTTTCGGAGTTGAGATTGGCCTCCTGGGTTTTGTTGGAGACGAAGCTTAGATTTTTCTGGTATGCTGTCTTCTATTCATCTCTATAGACTGTTTCCCCCATCTCTTTTGTTGTTACTGAAATCCATTCGAGATTTCAGATTTCAATTACGAAGCGGAGATCTTAAGGTGCTTTGAAGTTCCTGGATTTTCTGGGATTTCGTCTGTTCGAGAGTGGAACTTTGAATGCTCGCCGATGTAAGGGTTTCGTTTCCGTCATGACCACCAAGCGCGCCTACAAGCTCCGTATCCTTCTTCTTTTTTTTTTGTTTATATCAGTTTTATCTGATTTCACATGTTCCTTGGAAAGTTCTTTGCGGGAATCGTTGATTAACTTCAGTGCCGTGCTTGATCTGCTGCTTTTAGCTCTGGTTCACGAGATCTGTATGCACCTTTTTAGCTTTGTGCTTTTCTGTGAAGTAATTATGACTTTTCGGTAGCTGCTTTCCTCTAAACTTTTAAGTTTGTTTGTCAATTTCTTCCTTTGAGTTGTATTCTCATCTGAGGGTATTGCTTAGCCTTGACTTGTTGTGATACATTTGGAATTCAAAAAGAGGAATTTGTGGCACATTCTGCTGCTGTAAATTGTCTCAAGATCGGGAGGAAGACCTCGAGGAAACTCGTAACAGGCGGAGAAGATCACACGGTCAATCTATGGGCTATCGGTAAGCCCAATGCCATTTTGGTCAGTTCTCACTTCTCCCTCCCCACTGCTTTTTTTTGAGGATTGCCTCTTAGGTAGATTATGAGTTAAGTTTTAGGGGAACACTTGGAAATGTAGTGTAGTAGAGCGGTTTGGAAGATTTTATGCCTGAGTGTATACTTGTGGGGTGTTTGTGGTCAGAGCTTGCATGGGCACACGAGCGGGATTGATTCAGTAACGTTTGATGCTTCGGAAGGTTTAGTAGCAGCAGGAGCTGCTAGTGGTACGATCAAACTTTGGGATTTGGAGGAGGCAAAGAGTAAATCTAAAATACTCTTTCTCATTTTAATGTCAGTTAGCCACACCCGGCTCTTATAATATTGAATATGTTGTTTTGGTTGCACTTATGAGCAGTTGTCAGGACCCTCACTGGCCACAGGTCGAATTGCATATCAGTGAGTTTTCACCCGTTTGGTGAGTTCTTTGCTTCTGGTTCTCTCGACACGAATCTTAAGATATGGGATATAAGAAAGAAGGGCTGCATCCATACTTACAAGGGCCACACTCGAGGTGTCAATGTACTCAGATTCACCCCAGATGGTCGTTGGGTTGTATCTGGAGGAGAGGACAATGTTGTCAAGGTTTGCATCTGCCTTCCTTGAATTGGTTGTTTCTCCTTCCATTAGTATGTATTGGGGAGGACCTTAGCTGCGAGTTCCCGTTTTGAAGAAATTTATGGAAAGAACAGATCTTGTTTTAATCTGCTTTGCTTTATGTAATTGTCATGGACAACTATTTCTATTTCAGAGTATTTGACTATTTAAGGTTTCCCCTTTGCGGCTGACCTTATTACACTAGGGGAAAACACTTGCGTAGTGCTAATATACGCACATACTACCTGATCAACTTTGATGCGTAGATCTTCTGGCTTTCCTATCTCTCTTATAATTATGGCTTTGTTTCATCTCACAGTTTGTACTGCTTACTGTACTTGTTATCTATAGCAAGTTAACTGCAATTTTTGCTTTCTCTCTTAAGTGTTTGATCTGATAAGTGGGTTGCCTTCACCAGGTGTGGGATTTGACAGCTGGAAAATTGTTGCATGAGTTTAAGAGTCATGAAGGGAAAATCCAGAGTCTAGATTTTCATCCCCATGAATTTCTGCTGGCATCAGGTCTGTATCACACTTTCTAAGGAAACTTTGTAACATTGAAGCTCTCAGATTTCTAGTGACATAGATTTATCACAATGATATGAAGAGTGATATGAGCAAAGTGACATGGTGTAACCAATTCTGACATCTTCGGATCACTGTTGGCTTTTGTTTCAGATCATTTTTCTTAATATTCATATGAACTCTATTTTTCATGGCATGTGGTAATAGGCTCAGCTGATAAGACTGTAAAATTCTGGGACCTTGAAACATTCGAGCTTATTGGTTCTGGTGGAACTGAGGTATCATATGTTGTCTGTACTACTTCTAGTTATGCGCTGATTTGTTTTACTGGTCTTCGATCTTTCATTTAACTTTATAATGTTCTCATATCTTAGACTACTGGGGTTCGTTGCCTGACCTTCAATCCAGACGGAAAGAGTGTGCTTTGTGGATTGCATGAAAGTCTCAAGGTAAGTTCTTATGGATGTCTCAATTAGAAATATATATTAACTTAACGAATCCCTCTTTGGAGGGTTCAACACTAATATTTCACTCCTTTGCAATCTTAGTATACATATTTGCTGTCCCTGTCTTCAATCACTTCTATGCAAACTGTAGATTTTCTCTTGGGAGCCAATAAGATGCCATGATGGAGTGGATGTTGGATGGTCGAACTTGTCGGATATGAATGTTCACGAGGGAAAGCTTCTCGGTTGCTCATACAATCAAAATTGTGTAGGCGTGTGGGTTGTAGACCTCTCGGTATTTCTCTCTCTCCCTACCTGCTTTGTTATAAAATGGCCTGTTCCGTAGTTGTTATCTCTAAGCTCTCCATTCAATTTTCTAATGACATTCTCAGCGCACTGAGCCTACGAGTAAAGGCGCCGTTCAGTCAAATTTTCATCCAGAAAAAACATCGGGCTCAAACAAGGATCCAGCAGTTGTAAACGGAAACAGCTCAAAGGTTATTCTCGGAAAGTTGCCTGGTTCGCAGAAAGTGGATCCTTTAGCGAAGGAAACAAAGTCTCTCGGAAGGTTATCACTTTCTCAAAACTCGGATCCTTTGCCAAAGGAAACAAAGCCTACTGGAAGGTCATCAGTATCTCAAAGTTCAGATGCTTTGGTAAAGGAACCGAAGCCTCTAGGAAGGTTATCAGTTACTCATAGCTCGGATGCAGCTACAGAGTCAAGAACCTTGTCATGTATGTTTTACCCTGTTCCTTTTTCTCTCTCCCTTCTTTCACTTTTTGCTATAGTGTAGCTGCTTATTAAATGATATCGCATTTCGTGGTTTGTCTTGCTGAAGCCACAGGAAGTATGTCAGACTCTCCTCATAGAGTCACTTTAAGCAGTGTTCCAAAAGTTGCTTCTGGTGTTACGGTTGTCCCCACTGCTATAGCCGCAAAGAGGAATTTTGCAAAAGCTAACACAAAGGCGAATCCTCCAATAGCGAATAAAGGGGATAGTTTTCCAGTAATTGTTCCCAGAACAGACCCAATAATTGAGCAGGCAGCTGAATCCCGAGCAGAGCTTGACATTATTGGAAGAACCATGCCATATTCACTGCAGTCAAAGGCGGCTGATTCTCGAAGGCTATCGAGCAGCAGAAATGAGCCAGATCTACCAACTAGTTCGCTTCTTGAAAGGTCTCAGTCTCAGCCTATAGAACCAAGCAATTTACAAGATGGAAATGCATATCCTAGTGACGAAGGTGGCACATGGGATACAGCTGAGAGAAAAAATAGAGATAACAGATACAGGGGATTTGGAAGGTTTAATTCAAGATCTCTGATGAGATCACCTCCAAGAAATCACGACGAAAACTGTATGTTAAAATGCCTTTCTAGTCTTCGTTTGTTTTAGAGCAAATATAAACTGCATCTGATATTGTTTAACTATCTTGGCATCTTAAATGTGGAGAACAATTCTCTGAATTTCTGAAGGTTATATATATGAGACCCTAGGAATCAGTCTTTAGGTATATATGTTGTTCTTTTTAGTACAGCATGTTTTGGTAACACAACTTTTTGTTTAGTTCCTTATAGATACCTGTGTTGAGCTTTCTGGATGCTGTATTCAGTTCTAAGCTAATGAAAAACTTTATTTCAGCTGACTTCAATAGCTATACTGCAAGTAGAGATTCAAGTCCTACTGAAAGCCGAAGAGGAGGTAACTCTCTCCCGACATCATGTTTTCTTATTTTCCCTTCTCATGAGCGTATCAATAGATTCTCATTATCTGCCGTGACATACTAGGAAGACTGCATTCCCTCGTTCTAAATAGGGAAAGGAGAGGAAGATTTTCCAACTTTGAGGGTCCTGCTTCGAGTTTTTCTGGTGGAGCTAGTACTGCACCAAACACTCGCCCTTCCATTACGGTAATGGCCTCAATTTTTTCTGGGGCATAAAACATGGACTGTAGAAATTGAAGAGTGAGATAGGAAAAAATAAAGAGGCAGTGATAACATAATATTTCCTTTCATACAACTCAAGCAGAGAGGAAACCATGTGCCAGTTGATCAAGGAATCACCTCTGCTAGTGAAGAAGATATAGTTGCAGACATAATGGGGCAGCACGATCAATTTTCCAGCTCTATGCAGTCTCGCTTGGCTAAGTTACAGGTAACACGAAGAAAGTACAAATTACGATCATGCTTTTGATTCTGTCATCTATTTAGAATACTAGCTGTAACAATACTTCATAGTTTTCCATAAACGTTGTTAATCTTCTAAAGAGTTTCACCGAATTCGCAGGTAGTCCGTAGATATTGGGAAAGAAACGATATTAAAAACTCCATAAGTTCAATAGAGAAGATGGCTGATAATGCCGTAAGCAACTTCTGCTTCTTTGCTATCTAATATAAACACCATTACAATATTGTCAAGTAATGATTTTTCACTTGCGAAAACTCTCGTCATTTCATTTGGTACAGGTGGTTGCGGATGTACTGGTTATAATCAATGAGAGAACTGAGATATTGACACTGGATACTTGTACCTCTCTTCTTCCCCTTTTGACAGCTCTTCTAGGGAGCAACATGGATAGGTAAGCGATTCGTCTTGAAGAATATAATGACATGGTCGACGCGAATGTGTAACTTTTATTCTTTTCTAAACGACGTTTTCTGTCTTTAGACATTTGAGCGTCTGCCTAGATTTGCTGCTCAAGCTGGTAAGAATGTATGGGTCACAAGTTTACTCGTCGCTGTCGGCTCCATCATCTGTTGGTGTAGATATCGAGGCTGAGCAAAGGTTGGTCACTGTTTCGATCTTATCTGCATTGTCGTTGTCGATAGCAATTCACTCTCTTCTGCAACTACAACATGTTTATTGCTATCCAGGATGGAGCGGTACAGTCGTTGCTTTGTTGAGTTCGAGAAAATCAAGGCTTGTCTTCCCTCTTTAGCAAGGTGAGCGTTTTTTCATCTACTGGACAATCAAGAGTTCGACGGTTCTCCTTTCTCTTTTAAGTCTATCATCTTATGTTTTATGTATATTATCTTCATGGCTAATGCAGAAGAGGAGGATTGGTGGAGAAGACTATCCATGAACTCAACTTAACGTTCCAAGAAGTTTCATCGTGATGACTCCATACGTACTGGATGTGGATTTGGTGCCAGTGTGGAGTTTAACAAAACGAAAGCTAATTCTACCAAGCTAACCAAAAGAGTCTACGGAAGGCTAACTACCGCTCGAGTAAATGCGTGTGGCCACTGCTCGGGTCGCTAACCTTTGCTTTTGCTGAAGAACAATTTCTGCGATACTGTCTCGGTTTGAAGCTAACATTGTGTGTAAAGAGCCATTTCGGCTGTTGTATTGATCTAGCTTAATCTTTTTTCATTAGCACTGTTTAGTTATATGTTCTCAAGAGCACAAAAGGGAAGCCTATATATAACAAAACTGTTTTCAGAAGATTCAAATCTTGAAGTACTTGTACCCAAAATCGGGATTTGTCATTCCCTCTTCCCAATCTCCCATTCGTTTACCACCGAATACTACTTGCTGAATGCCCAAGTACCTGCGATTTCATATTAAAACCAATATTAAAGTTTTCTACAACAAAGAAGGAATCAAATAAAAAGACCACAAAAGGTTCTCTTGAGTTACTTACTCTGAGCTCATAACTGTCAAACAGTTGAGAAGCACATCAATGGCGAAGATATCAGAAGTACCAAGATCAACCCTGCAAAGTAAAGTTCATATAGTTATACACAGTTTTTAAGGAGATTGTTTTCTCAGTTAAGGATATATCGGAAGAGTTTCTTTACCACACACGACCCCAGTTGTCCTGAAATTCAACGTCACTGATGTCATGGAAGGATGAAGGCATCACTTTGAAGCCCTTCTCTGCGTCGTAGAGAGGATCGTATTCCATAGATGAGTTTGCTAGCTGCGACCATAGTTTATATCATTAAGACGAAAGCGTACATAAGGAGAAGTAACAGAGCGGATGATGAACAAACCTGTAAATTAGATGTATTGAAGGCGCCCAATCTCCCCATAACATACCATGCCTGTATAACCTGTTAACAAAATCGAGTTTGGCTATGGTCAAAAGAAAGAAATGAAAGAAGCTTTGATATTCACAATAAGACTCGAGGTTTTGCAATAGCAAGAAGAAGATCAATTTCTTACACTTCCAATAAGATCAACATCTCGATCTGAAGGCGATCCATAGAGCTCAAACCATATGAAGGAGTCAACAGGATTGAAACTGCAGATATCAATATAAGTCTATTGGCCATGTATTCTGAAGTAGCCTTATGTTATGTTGCGGAATGCAGACACCAACGTGAAGCAGTGGGAAAAAAAGTTACTCACTCTCTGAAGTTAACTTTGAAAGAAAGCACAGAACCAGTCTTCTGCTTCTGGAAATCTTTTCCCTTCTTCCTTACTCGTTCTTCAACCTGAACAAATCAATAGTAAACAAACATGTCCCAATTTCACAATCGATAGAAACAAACACATAAAATATCTGAAAACATATGTCAAATCTTCATTAACAAAGAAACTAGAACAGAGAACAAAATTCGTTGTAGCAAAGTCCACGACAGATATCTAAAAGGAGATACACACCAATTACCTTCTTTCTCATGAGCTCAGGGTTCCCTATACTATCACCAAGAACAGCTCGAAGCTCTTCATCATCTTTACACGCATTCTCCAGTACCCTGCAATTTAAAATTTTCACCAGTTACTGTTTCAGAAAAATGGACAATTCAGCGAAAGGGTCAAGCTTTGTCGAGACGTAGGCAAAAACACAAACACTTGGAGGGCGAAAGAGAGAGAGAAAAGGAAACAAGTACTTGGCCCATGATGGGTAATCGTGAAGACGATCGTAATCGCGTTTTCTCTTCTCTTCTCTAACCTTAAGTAATCTCCTTCCTCTCGCCGTCGTCCCCGACCCTTTCATTCCGCCGTCATTTTCACCGACGAGGTTGTCGGATTTAGCAGAAACAGCGACCATAGAGGGGAGACAACGCTTGTAAGGAGAAAATGGTTGTCTCTGAGAGAGAAGGAAGGGCGAGAAAGCGAAATTGAGAGTAATGGTGCATGAGGAGAGCGGTAGGATATGGTTTTTGTACATTTTCGTTTCCTTCTTCGATCTATTCGAGTTTCTGTAGTGTATAGACCCAAGAAGCTCAAGTTGAGTTTCCTGCCTTTATAAAGTTTTGCTCTTTTCACTTTCTTCTAGATTTCAACTAAACTCATAATTATCACTAGTGTACAACATTATAAAACCCGTTGATTCTTTAATCCTGTTAAGCTGAACTGATCCAATCGAAACTCATAATTATCACTAGTGTACAACATTATAAAACCCGTTGATTCTTTTGTCCGGTTTAGCTGAATTTATCCAATTGAAATATAACGAAACAACAAGTTAAACCAAAATCGAAATCAAAACCGTATGCAAATTATAAATCAAAGAGAACCGGACCATAATCGAATTTAAAATAGGCTGAAACAACATCCCCTTCATATAACTCGGCTAATCACATGAGATTTCATTCGGAAGTGAAGTCGTACTCCTTCGCACAAAACCTGACTTCTCTTGCTGGTTCGTATGAGCATCTACATGTCTACTCAAATACCACATTCACATAATTATTTCGAATAATGACTGCGGATTGTCTGTATTCAGGCTACACCATAGATTTGGAGAAAATTAACAGAATAAGCACTACTCACTCAAAGCTGAATAGCCATCAATTGTTCCCTACAGGTTGAATTGTCTGCGAAACAGAAAAGGACATGCACCTAAACTACAACAAAGATTTGCACTTTGCAGCATTCCAGTCATCTGAACAAACCTTAAACGCTCACAAAGTTACAGTAACTAATTCGTTTAACACTCTCACGCCCACTACAATCCACTCTGTACTATGCTACAACCAACTTCATAATCTCCCAATGGATGATATATTTTGAGGATAAGACTTTCAAAAGATGTTGATTTTGAAATGAAACCATCAAATGCAAACTCAGTTTAGTAGACTTCCAATTACTCTTATGATTCATGATCAAGACACTGCTTTTCGTTCCTTTACCATACGAGGAAATCAAATGAAGGCAATGAAGGACTCAAGACTGGGTGAAACTTATGTATTAATATGCTAAATGTATACAGAAGAAGTACATACAAACCATTCACAACGATTTTTTTTTTTTTTTAATTTTTGCATCAATTTTGAAGATTATCTGAGTCAAGAGGAGAAAGAGAAGAAAACGTTTGCCTTTTTTTGTCTCCAAATCACGGATCAATCAACTCAAACTCGTCTTCCTTGAGATGCGTGAAGAATTTGACAGGGCCACGACCTTCGATCTCTTTCACGAACTGTACCTTATACGGCAGATTTGCTGAAATTCGCTTTCCTTTCCAGAGGACGACGTAGTCTTTTATAAAACCTTCCATTCCCATCAATTCAACCTCCGGAACGCGAACCACGTGGTACACCTTCAACGGCACCGTTACCCTAACCCTAGCCCCAACCTTCGCCTTCGCCTTCTCATCCTCCTCCGTCTCCAATGAACTAGGCGACGAAAGATCAGCGTCCGCGTCCACCGAAGCCGCCGATTTCACAGCTATATCGCAGCGAATCGTCGATCTTGGACTCTTTCGCGAGATGGAGAATGCGCATTTGCTTCGACCGTAAGAAGCAGATAGTGAGATAGGTACGAAGATTGAACAACGTGAAGAACCTTTGATCGCTTTGGGTCCATCAACAGAAGCAGCAGAGAGATAATCCTGCGATGAACGGGGACGAACGGCGGCAACAATCGCCGGTGACAGCAGGAAACCGCTAGTCATCTGCGCAGGTCCGAGCCTGGAAGAAAAAAAAAAGTATCTGAAGACGGAAAGTGAGAGAGTAAACAAAGAACAGAAGAAAAGAAAAAACAAATCCTTTGCTTCCCCTGTTTTTTATACAAGATGATAATCAGATGATTAGCAAATTTGTTAAATTACTTTCATTACATTAAAGCCAGATTATTATTTTTTGGGATAAATTAAAGGTGACGCGTGTCTCCCGTTAAGACTTAAGACAGCTTCAAGGGATGAGGAACTTGTGGCTGCAGAGAGACAGAATGCTGCGCAGTAAATATCTTGAGACGACTTCCAGATATTCTTATTGAATGAATTTTTATAAAAAGAACAAAACTAATTTATATATATCCACAGTGGTTATTGGACACATTACCAAAATGAATAAAATCAACTAAAAGACAGAAGAAGATGAAGGAGAAAAGCTTTGTGTTGAGTCTCAGCTTTCATTTTTGGCATTATATTAGCCAATTGCTGCGATTAAGATAGAGATTTAGCGTGGCTTTCTTTCACCATTGTCTTAACAAAAAGCTCTCCTGCCCTGTATGAAGATCTCACCTGCAAAAAAAAAAAAAGACATATATACAAATCAAACAAGCACATTTCTGGTTCTTCAATGTTAAAGAAATTTGCAGATCTCAGATATTTTTGACTTTCAAAAGATCAAAAGTAAGAGCTAGTTACCAGTGGACCACTTGCAACATAGCGAAATCCAATTGATTCTCCGTATGTTTTCCAGAAATCAAACTTGTCAGGTGTGACATACTCTTTCACTGTCAGATGCAATGGAGTTGGCTGCATTGTGGAACAAAACAAAAGGGTTTTAAAACAGTCAAATGTTTTCTCTGAAAATTTGGGATCTTTCTGTGTTGGGAAATAGGGATCTTGCGAGTGATGATTAGTGTTACCTGTAAATACTGGCCGAGTGTTAGAATGTCAACATCTATAGCTCTTAAATCATCCATTGCTTCCTTTAGCTCTTGGTCTGTTTCTCCAAGACCAAGCATTATGGATGTCTTGGTGATCATTCCAGGTTTGCTCATCTTCGCGTGTTTCAAAACCGACATGCTCTGCTCATATCTGCATTCTCCACACGAGATCAACATTGTCAAAGGAGATCTACTACAACTCGAGATTCAGAACACTATGTAATAATAGACATAACTACTGAGAGGAACAGAGGAATCAACCACTCACCCAGCCCTAGGATCTCTCACAAGTCGCTGGAGCCTTTTCACAGTCTCGATATTGTGAGCAAAAACATCCAGTCCCGAGTGCACAAGAGAGTCCACAGCCTCCAAGTCTCCACGGAAATCAGAAGTTAAGCATTCTATCATTATGTCCGGCTTAAGTCTCTGCAGATGAATGAGGAACAAAGTTTCAATTTGTGCACTCAAAGACTTTCATTTCATAGATACTCTGCATAATCAAATTATTAGACTCTCACCTTCATAGCTTTGACAGTCTGCGCAAAATGTCCACTTCCACCATCAGGTAGATCGTCACGGTCTACGCTGGTAATAACTATGTAGTCTACACTGAAACAAAGGAAAAGCCAAAGAAAGCATATCATATTACACTGCGATGACACCATTTGCTAACTTTTACGGCCAAAACTGGCATAAATTTTATCATGTGTTAATATCATAAAGCTCTTCTCGATATCACAAGAACACGACCTTTTAAAATACGGTATAAGCACATTGCTGAGATTGGGAATCAAGTAAAAGCCACTCACCCCCAACTGGTTATGGCCTTGGCGGTATTCTCTGGTTCCATTGGATCAGGCGGAGCAGGATTTCTACTGGTTTTAACTGCACAAAATCTACAGCCACGAGTACAAGTATCACCAAGAACCATGATGGTTGCAGTTGCTATACCATCACCGCCTCCATTCCAACACTGCACATCAAAAACTAACTTGAGAATCTTGAAAGAAAGGAAAAAAGCACCTAAAGGGTGTTGCTTTCAGCTAGGTTACTCATCAATCGACTCTAGAATCCAAACACCACTTCGATATCTAACACCCATAGTTCAAAAACCCCCATGGAGGTTGATGCATTTCACCAATTTCGAGATTAGAGGATTCATAAACACGGAATCGAAAAATGCTAACCTCGCCGATATTAGGACACTGAGCTTCCTCACAAACAGTGTTGAGTTTGAGACGAGTGAGCGACTCCTTCACCTCCTGGAACTTGTCGCCCTGTGGTGCCTTTTGTCTCAACCAAGCGGGTTTCTTCACATTCGGATCTCTCCCCGTGAATGGACCCATCTTCGGCATTCCTCCTGGGTAAGGATCGCTCTTTTCCCCCTGAGACTCCATCAGGTTCTTCTTCAAGGAGGAGCCCTCCATCTCCGACGACAAGGACAACGCATTGGTCCGCAGAGAGACATCGCCGGATTCGCATCGGATTCTGAAACGCAGATTAAAGAAGCTAGTGGAATGGTGATGCTTGTGCGTCGAGATCGGAACTGAGAAAGTGGGTTTCGTGATGGAGCAGTGATGAATCATTTCGTTTGGGTTGTGTGGGCAAAATGTGGAAGAAAGTGGTTTTAGGCGACTCGAACAGAGAGGGCAGAGACTCTGGTTCGGTAAGCAACTTCGGGATATCCGCCAACTACCAACTAAACTGATTATGACAATTTTTAATTTTATTTTTTGAAGGTGATTACCAGCTTCTAATCAACGAATTACAAGGTAAAATGGAAGACTTTAAGATCCACAATCTCAAACATACCAAGCGAAGTTCAACAAACATGGTTACAAATCATGATGCCAAGAAAATTAATCTCTGACCTATCTGTTTATCTTCAAACTTGGGGCAGTCTAACATGATTTCCCAACCCAATTTCTATATTTTTGAAAATATAATTCACTTTATATTTGTACTTTGGCAAACACGAAAAATTGAGAAATCTAGCAACAAATTAACGCAGAGGACCAGAGCGTTTTTGAGAAGTACAAAAGATGAAGACTCCAAAACTTTTTCTTAACCAGCAAAATGATAAAACCATTATGGGACACTGATAAAGCCCGGCAATTCTCCTCCGGTTTAATTTGGTCCAGTTAGTTTTCGTACTTTCATAATTTTCTTCTCCTCCTTATATTCTCTCACCCTAATTCATTAATTAATTTTGCTCGGAAGGACTTAAGGAGGCGATAAACCCTAATATAAAGCAAAGCTTCGCGGCCGTCTCTAGAGAGTTCTAACTGATGTCGTCGTCAATGATGGAGGTGGAGCAGCCTGTGCACGAGGAGCCGAATCCGGTGGAAAAAAAAGAGAGGAAGAAAGGTAAACACAACAAGCCGAAGCCATGGGACGATGACCCAAACATCGACCGTTGGACAATCGAGAAGTTCGATCCGGCATGGAATCCGACCGGTATGCTCGAAGTCAGCTCATTCTCCACGCTATTCCCTCAATACAGAGAGAAGTATCTTCAGGATTCTTGGCCCAGAGTCGAATCCGCTCTCAAAGAGTACGGCGTCGCCTGCAAACTCAACCTGGTGCGTCCCTGAATAGAAGAAATTTGGTTTTGTTTTGTTGATTTGGTCTTTTTTGGGGGTTTTTCGTTTGATCTGTTTTTGGACTCTGGTGATTGCAATGGTAGGTTGAAGGTTCTATGACTGTTTCGACGACGAGGAAGACAAGAGATCCGTATATCATTGTCAAAGCTAAGGATTTGATTAAGCTACTAGCGAGAAGTGTTCCTGCTCCTCAGGTAATTTTAGAATCGAATTCCTCCATCTCTTTTGTACTGAAGATTACGCTCTGTAAGGATTATGAAGTCTTAATTTTTGTCTAATATAATATGATGATACACTTCATGGATTTTCTTCACTTACATTGCAGGCAATTAAGATTCTGGAAGATGAAATGCAATGTGATATCATCAAGATTGGAGGCTTGGTTCGGAATAAGGTACATAGTCAATCTTAGTCTCATGGATTGCTAATTATCAGACCTATGCTGGATTGTCACTCGTTGCTGTGCTTACATTTTTGAATATCTAAAGACAATTATTAACACCTTTTGACTCCGGCCACAAACTATGGTATATAGACTTGATGAGTTCCTGTCAAAATTGCTTGAGCATGCAGCTAATAAGTTTAATTTCAGCGTGCATCTAATCTGACACGCATTGTCAACGGGTCCTAATACAGACTACTATCTTTTCAGGAAAGATTTGTGAAAAGAAGACAGCGGCTTGTGGGTCCTAATTCTTCTACCTTGAAGGTGTGTAAACTCTATGATTAATGAAGACAGCGCCGAGTACTTTCTATTTGCGTTTTGGGTTTGAGTCTTAAATGGTTTTGGCTGCTTGCAGGCGCTGGAAATATTGACCGACTGTTACATTCTGGTTCAGGTAATTGTGTGTTTTCTTTGCAAATGACTCACTACAGTTGTTCATTTATTCCTCTGGAGTTCTGATATTTTCTTGGTCCTTGTGGTTAATCTGCATCGAACAGGGAAGTACTGTAGCTGCAATGGGTTCTTTTAAAGGTCTCAAACAAGTGAGAAGGATTGTGGAAGAGTGCTTAAAGAATAAACTGCATCCTGTATACAATATAAAGGTGCGTATGTGATATTTCTCTGTTTTTGTTGGTTCTTTGTGCTCCACTTATACTCTCACGGGGGTGTGTTTTAGAAGCTTTGTCTTTAGACTATGTCAGATTGGTTCATATGCTTCCGCACTTGGTTATGCAGATTCTCATGATAAGAAACGAACTTGCAAAGGATCCAGCGCTTGCAAATGAATCCTGGGATAAGCATCTTCCGAAATACAAGCCGTATGGGCCTTCTTTCTATTCTTGACGAGTTAATTGAGTGATATCTCTTGATATTTCAGTAACTCATGAGCGAATCTATCTATTTCAAATTTGATTTTTCAGTAAAAATGTTCAGCAGAAGAAGCCGAAAGAGAAGAAGTCCAAAAGCGAGGAGAAGAAGTCAGACTCGCTGTTCCCTCTACCTCAAAAGCCTAGCAAGGCACGTGTTTTGGTTTCTTTCTCCTGCAAATATCGGGTCATGTAAATGCATGGTTTTGACCTTGTTGTATGGTTCTTTTCCAGGAGGATTTGGAATTGGAGTCTGGAGAATACCACCGTAGTGAGCAAAAGAAGAAAGATGCGCGGTGGAAGAAGAAGCTAGAGAAACAGGCAGAGAAGAGTAGAGAGAACGAAATAAACAGAGCAGCCTCATATATCCCACCTGAGGTCTCTCTTCAGCCTTGGTTGTTACAATATCGACTCTCCTTGCTACTAAAAGTTTCTAACACTACTCCTTGGACTGGTTATTGCAGGAACCTATGCAGAACGGCAACAACTCAAACAGATCTGAGGAGGGCAAGGAAGATGTAACCGAGTTAGCAGAATCCTTGAAGGTAATGAAATTCTTTTTATATCCTCTGGCTGTTGTATAGTTCAGATCCGAGAGTAATTGGCACTGAGTTGGTTTTTGTTTTGGATGAATTGTGGTTTTGCAGAGCAAGACAAAAGCGTTGAAGAAGGAGAAGAAGAGACGCGAGAGAGTGGATGCAAATGAGTTTATTGCTGTTGATACTGGTGATAAATCTTCCAAGAAGAAATCCAAAGTTACTAGAGATTAATCTTAAAACCTCTTTGTTAGAAACTTCTTTTTAAACATATCTATGTTCAAACCTATATAAACAAGTTCAATCTTATTTTTATGGATTTAATGATAAGCTTGGAGATGTTATAGTACGCTCAAAATTATCCAAGCATCGTTACAGCCTACTTTCTGATATATATATATATATCATTAAAAGTATCACTCGCTTTTGCAAAATCTATTAATAAATAATAACAGATTTTCATAATAATCGTTGTAAAAAAAGATGGTTTCTCATGATTCGTAATAAGGGGCTTCTACTTTCATTTAACCATTCACAAAAATATTATTTTGTAAATTGATAACAAAGTAAATATGCCGAGATCTCTTTGACCAAATAAACAACATATACTAAACTTATTATTCTTCAAGGTAGACATGAATCCTCATGTTATGATGCCGTGATTCCGTATTAAAAATCCCCCGGAGAATCTCGCCTGAGCTTTCTCCGATCTTCTTTCCCGCAGAGCACAAATGGGAGAAATAACTTGGGTTGAGGAGGGTAATGCTCATTCGAGTGGTTCGAGGAAAAGGAAAGCGAGACCCAAACGATTCCAATTCGTAGGGTGGGGCTCGAGGCAACTCATTGAGTTTCTCCAATCCATTGGCAAAGATACAACCAACAAGATCTCCCAGTTTGAGGTCAGTGAGACTATCGCAAGGTATATCGCAGAGAACGGCCTCCTAGATTCCTCAAACAAAAAGAGAGTCGCATGCGACCATAGGTTGATTTCGCTTTTCGGGACTAGGACGATTTTGAGGATCAAGGTCTATGACCTCCTGGAAAAGCATTACGAAGAGAACCAGGATGATTCAGATTTTGATTATCTCTACGATGACGAACCCAGGATTATTAGTCCTTCCGACAACGTAGCTGCTAACCGGACAAGAAAAAAGGTTGTTCGGAAACCCAGAGGCACTTTTGCTGCGATTGTGAGTGATAACATCAAGCTTCTCTACTTGAGAAAGAGTTTAGTCGAGGAGCTGATCAAGTCTCCTGATACTTTCGAGGGCAAAATGCTGACGAGTTTTGTGAGGATCAAGTCTGACCCCAATGACTATCTTCAGAAGAACCCTTATCAGCTTGTTCAGGTGACAGGTATGTTTCGCAAAGCCTATCTTCATTTGCCAACTGTGTCGGACAAAACGATCATATCTCTAAGATTATGTCTGTATGCTTAAAAATCTCTGCTTTGTTGTAGAAAGTTGAGCTCTCTTTGTACTTTTTGGTTTTGTCTCTGATCTAGGCGTGAAGAAGGAACCTGGGACTGACGATTTTCTTCTTCAGGTCACGAATTATATGAAAGACGTTTCTATCTCTATGCTATCTGATGATAATTTCTCCCAGGTAATTTACTTGGAAAAAATCTTTATTTCCTCAAATAATGTGCTTTCAATTCATGATAAATCAGGTGTTTATGTGCTTTCAGAACCGGCACTTATCTGGATGTACTGCCGTTCATTTACATTGTTTGAATAACCTCCATTCTAGCATTTATAGTCTATGATTTATCATTGCTTTTATGTGAAAAAAATTTGCAGGAGGAATGTGAAGATTTGCATCAGAGAGTAAAGAACGGTTCTCTTAAGAAGCCCACAATTGTAAGTTTGTTCTTTCTATTAAGAAGGGGAAGATACTTGTTTGGGAGTTATTCGCAGCTCTCTATTAAAGATTTGCACTGATCTGTCATCTATCCCACAAACTTGCTCACTCTTCTGTTTACGGCGTTTTAGATTTTGTTTTCGTAGCTGATTAACCAAAATTCATTTGAACCTTGGGCTAGGTGGAGATGGAAGAAAAGGCTCGAAGTTTACATGAAGATCAGACAAAACACGTATGCTTGCTAACTTCCCCTCGTGCTTCAACTTTTAACTGTGTTTAAGCTGAAAAAGCGACTTGTGGTCCTATCTCTCTTAACCGACTGTCAACTTTTGGTGACTGAATTTTTAGTGGCTTGGAAGAGAAATTGTAACGTTACAAAGGCTTATTGGTCGGGCCACTGAGAAGGGATGGCGAAGAGAATATCCTTTTTAATGAGTTATAAATGAATAAATGTCATTCCGAGAAAGCACTGGTGAGATATGAAACGGAAAGCGTCTTTGTTTATTGTTTTTCTTGATTTCATGAGTTTACGCTATCTGAGTATCTGGAGAAAAGGGAGCTTCTTCAGAGTACAGAAGAACAGTCCCGGCTATTGCGCGAAGTTCCGGAAGTTATTGGAGAGGAACTTGTAACAGATCCGGAAGTTATTGGAGAGGAACTTGTGACAGTGCCTGAAGCGTCCCCCGAGGCTCATAAAAGTGAAAATGAACGACAATCGAGTGAATCTCCAATATCGAGCATCCAAGAAACCCCAGAAGTCCGCGACCTCTTTGGTGGAGAAGATCAACAAGCTAATGGTTTTGTGATATCATTCCCCGTGACAACTCCGGGAACCACGTCTATGGACTTAAACGGGAGATTGCCAACATGGACTGCTTCTGAAGGTGCGTCATAACATGTATAGGGTTACTTTTTTCACTGCGTTGTATCTTTACCATCACTGTTATCATTGTTCATTGGTGGCATCTACGCTATTTTTTTTGTTTCTTTTGAATTGGCCAAACAAAAAGCGAGCAAATTATGCTAGTGAAAATAGAAGAGAGCTGTATCATATTTCCTTTGTGGCTATGCTGGTTTTGATCGAGGAATTGACATAGGGATCTTGTAAAGAGTCGAGATTTTGATTTGCATCAACTGGTTTGTCTGCTAATGGTTTGCTCTTATGTATAGCGTTTAAAAGAATGATATGTTGTGGAATTGATCCAATGCGGATTCTTCTCAATTACAGGTGATGAGTACCGTCGTGGAGAAGATGTAGAGCAGGCAGCAAATGGCTTTACTGGAGCAGTAACCAATCATAACAACGGATCTGAAGCTCAACAAAATCCACCAGAGATAGTAGAACTGAGCGATGATGATGAAGCTGACAACGGTGATGGAGAAACTCTAGACCCTAGATTCGAAGATGCTCAGGCTCCGTCTTATGACAAGGAGATGCTAAACTGGTTCTACAAAGATCCTCAGGGTATCATACAAGGACCTTTCTCTCTCGAACATCTCAAAGCTTGGAACGACGCAGAGTACTTCTACAAAAACTTCAAGGTTTGGATGACAGGACAGAGCCTGGAATCTGCAGTTTTACTAACCGATGTTCTTCGTCGAGTTTAGCTAATGGAGTACTTGAAGACTATATAGATTCAGTGAAAAGTGGTTTCAGTTATCTGCTATTGTCTGTGTTTGTCTTTAAAATTGCAGTAGATTTTAAGTAAACAGCAAATAAAAAAAGGCGTGAAGCTATGACCGTCTGAGCAGTGCGCCTGTGATCCTAAGTAAAGACTCCATGAGATGAACAGTTTTCTTTATCATAGCAGAATCTTTTCTTTAAGTTTATAATGAATCTTGTTGACAAAAGCCTTGATCCTAAAAGGAGAGATTTATGAAAACTAAACCAATGCTTGTGAGATCTGGACATATGATTTTATATGAGTTTGCGTGTTAATTACTTGTTTCCTTTCCAAATAGCTTAGATGTAATTTTTGTTTCTGTAATAAAAGTAACTTTGTAAATTAGAAAGTGATATTGTCATACTATATGGGGAAAATTCCATTAAAAAACCCCTTACTGTATTTTTCTAAATACTAGGAACGAGAGAAGAATCCGAATTCCGAACTTTCACTGGTGTAGGTTACTATGATTACAGGTTGCCAATTAAAAAAAAAAAAAAACTTACTATAATGGCAAACTAAATCTGAACTAATAATAATAATAAAGTATTTAAGCTAACAATGAGTGCTGAATATTCTATCTCTGATAAAACACTGTTAAAGAGCGAAAAAACAACTTTAATAATTAGAATTGGAACAAAAAAAATAAAAATGAGAAACCCAATTCTGAGGTCACAACTCCAGAAGAGAAACTGAGAGAGTTTGCTCGAAGAAGAAGAAGAAGAAGAAGAAAAAAAGCTTTTAAAATCCATTTGAAATTTCTATGCGTATGATTCGAAACTCATCCTCATCATTCGTTCCCAATCATACCGTTCTTTCTTAATCTCCAAGCTCGTATTCAATTCCATTTCTGTTTTCTTCGAATTTCTGTCTCACCTGTGTTGAAATCTCGAAGGTTTCTCTTCGGGTAATATCCAAATGGTGATTGGTTACTCGAAAACCTAGATGAGATTTTGAGAGTAGGCGAAAATTGGAGCTGTTTATTGCTCAGTTTCTCGAGGGTTCGATTGCGGATTCGTGAGCTTCGGGGACTGAAAAATGGACAACGGCCATGAGGAAAGTCTTGCCGAGAGGTTTTCAAGAGTGGGACTCAGAGAATCTTCTGCTTCTCATGAAAACGACGTCAAAAACGATAGCTTATTTCAGGTCATCAAAGCTGTTGAAGCGGCAGAAGCGACTATCAAGCAGCAGGTCTGTGTTCATATATTTAGCTTCTCCCCACCTCTATTTCTGAAATTGTTTTCAAATGGTGGAACTATTACTACTTGCTCAATCACTTCATTTCATCACTTGAAGTTCTCTTCCAAGGTTCTGTGTAACTTTAGGTTAGGGCATATCAATATAGCTTGCAAAAAACGCAGGTTGAGTTCATCTAACTAATGCTAGGGAATGGAAATGAGTATATTTTGGGGTTGTAGGATCCGTTTATGAATTTTCTCGCCTCCTTACATTTACTGCTTTGCAATGGGTTGGTCGATCTGCATCAGTTTTAATGCTTACTTGCGGAATGATTTGGACTCAGAATGTGGCTTGCGTCTACCAGATGGTTTTTCTTGGTCGTCTTGGGATTGTCTCTGACTGGTTTTTATTCTTCTCTGACCAGGTGGAGGAGAATAACCTCTTAAAGTCTGAACTTCAGAGAAAATATCTAGAGCTTGCCAAATATGTAAGTAACTTGTTCTTTTGCATTTTCCTGGTCAAAGGATAGAAATAGATATCTCTTCTGGTGATTCTCAAGGATCTATATTCCCTAGAGCTCTGTTGACATTTCCATGTTATGCGTTAGGGTTTCTCTGACCAAATTTGGCAAATCTGTGGTTTACATGCTAGTTTGTCTTTGTTAGAAATCAGGTGAAACATCTGATGTACGAGATCACTCGAATACGACCACCAGTGGGTCTTCCCCGTTTCACCAGTTGGCCGCTGGTATAAATCCAGTTGATCGGAGGAAGGGCATGATCAATGCTTCAGGTGCTGTTTCATCAGGTATGCTAGTTGTTCACCAGCATATGCAGCCAAATGGAGAAGAAGCTACTGTTAGTAACCCGTCTGAAGACCATTCTGACGGAGTCATGACTAATGGCATTGTAAGAGGAGCTATGGGTGGTGGAGGAGCCTCTCAATTGTCTTCTTCGCCATCTACAATATCACTATCTCCTATGAGGTACTTAGCCTCTAACTATTACTGGCCTGGTGCTGCAATTTTATTTTAATCTCATGGTTCAGCCATTTTTGCATCAACTCAGTGTATTCTGATAATTCAGTTATCTGATTTTCCTTTGTTAGACCGCTATTAGAAGGAGATCCTGACTCACACTTCAAATCATCTACTCATGAGTTGATGCCAGTAGGTGAAGTAAATAATTCAGGGAATGCATGGAAGCAGGTCTTAGTCACTCTTTCTAAGTCTTGTTTTCGTTTATAGTGAAAGTGAGAAAATGTTTCCCTGACTATGCAACTGTCCAGGAGCTCATTCACAAGGTCAAAGAACAGGAACAAGAGATTGTGCGGTTACGAAAATATCTTGCTGATTATTCTGTCAAGGTGAATCTTTAGTTTTTTTATGCATGTTTGGTTGAGTTGACGCTACATTGTCTGACTAACCTTTTGGCTTGTTTTTAGGAAGCCCAAATACGCAATGAAAAATATGTTTTGGAAAAGCGTATTGCGCACATGCGTTTGGTGAGCTTTTCTTTCTACTTATTACGACATCTGTCTAACTTTCTTGTATCAACTTTTATCTTCTTGTTCTCGTAACCATTTAGAGGATCATTTATCCTTCTTGTTGCGACAGGCATTTGATCAACAACAGCAAGACCTTGTTGATGCTGCATCAAAAGCTCTCTCGTACAGACAAGAGATCATTGAGGAAAATATACGCCTAACATATGCCTTGCAGGTATTGTCATCTTGTATCTTTGGATATGCGACAATGATTGTTCTGTCTTTTGGCATATGTATTGTTGATCTTCATTTCTACTTTATCTGGTGATTACTGTTGGCTGGACTCCATTCATTATCCTCAATTTCCATCAGTTATACCACCAATCATTTTTATGGTTCAATCGGCCAAATTGGATCTGTCTTTGGCACCTCACTTTATTTCTACATCTAAATGGAAAAGGCCCTTTTCGCTCTACCAGGCTGCAGAGCAGGAGAGATCTACATTTGTATCATACTTGTTGCCTCTTCTATCGGAATATTCGCTGCATCCACAGCTCTCTGATTCTCAGTCTATTGTTAGCAATGTGAAGGTTAGATCCAAATCTTTAGTTTGCTATTTTTTATTGATCGTTTTGTTTTGCAGTTCAGATACTTTAGAAAACTATTTAATGTCGGATAGTAGTTTGGGTGGTTGGTCTGCATTTTGGCTGGAAAATTTTCAACTTTACTGCGCTTGAAATTCATAAAATTAAAATATACTGCAAAGAGTGATTTAAAAAGGTTTCCCGAGTAGCTATTGAGCACCTTCAGTAGAGAACCGAAGTGGATCCCTGCTTTCTTGTTGTTGAAGTGAAGTTCCTATTGTATCTCTTTCTCGTCAGAACTTGTGATTGATGTTTACATCTATGTTTCATTCATATTTAGGTTCTGTTTAGGCATCTGCAGGAGAAGCTCCTTCTTACTGAGGTATGATATGCGGGTATGGGGTTTGCTGACATCAAATTTCAGCGTTTGTTTCATTTGTAATTTCAGTTTAATGCTACTGTTGATGCTGGAGCTATTACCTCCTAATTTATGGCAAGGTGATTTGTTCTGATCCGTTTCCTTGTCTGGTACTAGACAAAGCTAAAGGAGTCAGAGTACCAATTAACACCTTGGCAGTCAGATGTAAACCACTCAAATGCTTCGCCTCTGTCACCTTATCACCCTGTTGGTGTGGGTTTGAGATACTCAGTAAGTTCATGTTCCTTTGTGTAATTCAATGTGCTTAAGCGACTTGAATCAAAAACTCATTCTTTATCTATCAGACAGATCCAGAACACCATCATCAAGATGGGCGTGGTGTCTCAGCTGTGAGTAATTACCACCTTGATGGTCCTGAGAGGTATTACTCAACTAACTTTGCTGTTAATAATGTATGCCGAAAAGAAGTGATATAAAAGATAATGCTGAAAACAATGGATATTGTGACTTTTTGGGTAAATGGTCTGGGCTAAGCTATGTGTAGATACCAGGCATTTCCAAACTGTTAAAGCTATTCTGTCAATTAGGCATTTTTATTGACTCTTAGCTACTCTCAGAACCAGTAATTTCTTCTTGTTACTTTTCTATATGGCCATTAACTAGTTCACTTTGAGCGTGGTAATATTTTCTGAGTCCGCACCTGAGTTTAATGCAATGCAGTTCATGGTGGATGGGTGCTCGTTATTGCAATATTGAAATTATTTAGATGATTAAATGTGTCTTTTGTTCCAGTAGGTCACCAGCCTTTCAGATGCATGTGCAACCACCTCTTAATCAAGATGAATCTAATGGACAGAACAACCGTGTTCAGTTTCGTGAGCCTCTCAGCAATACATTTATGGACGGTGCATATGCAGAAGTACAAGAAGATACAAATAAAACTGTGGAAAAGGCTAATTATGTAGCTGGGTTTGATGATCCAAGCCCCTCAAATTATCCAATATTGGCTCCAGTTCTTGAAGAACCATCTTCATCATTTTCCGAGGGTAATGGTTAATAACAAAAGTGGCATATTACCAGTTCCATCAGTCTTTCACTTTATCTTTAAAATTGTGAATTACTCCTTACAGCTGCAGATGATGATCCGTTGCCAGCTATAGCAGACCTACAGATATCAGGAGAACCTTTTCCTGGACGAGAGCTACAGGCTTCTGGTCACTCTATCAATGGAACGACAAAATGTAATTTTGAGGTGCATGCTAAATAGAAAGCTGTATTATTTACCCGGTTTATTTCAAAGTGCAATTTAAACATCTTCGTCACTTCTTGAAAATTTCAGTGGGTGCGGCATCTGGAAGATGGATCAGTGAATTACATTGAAGGTACACATTTTGCCCCACTACTACCCTTGATTTATTCTCAAAGATTATCCTTCGGGTTCTTCCTTGCAAATAGATATGGCTATAAAAACTTAACTGTTGACAATATGCAAACGTAGGAGCAAAGAAGCCAAATTATCTTGTCACTGCCGATGATGTTGATTTATACCTTGCTATTGAAGTTCACCCCTTGGACGACAGGAACCGCAAGGTTTATTTTCTTTAATCTTTTCTGATGAACGAGGGTTCACTTCAGGATCTTTTGTTTCGCTTTTCTTTGGATAACATGGATTAGGATTGATGTGTTTTCTTGAAGCTTGATCAGCGATTAGTGTAAATAAGTTTGTGAATTTATTATTCTGCTAAATGTGAGAACCATTTTGTTACCCGACTGGTTTTCAATGTTATTTTGTACACGTGTTACGACAGTCAACAACTATTCATCTTTTTCTTTTTTGTGATTCTAGGGGGAGCTTGTGAGGGTCTTTGCCAATGAGAATTTCAAGATTACGTGTCGTAAGTTTATACTTTTACTTAAGAAATTTTTGCTCGCTCATGTTCTTAACGAAACTAAACCCGTGGCTTGTTAGTTCCATTATTCTTATCGAGAAGCACTACTGGGAGACCTGTTTTTGTTTTTTTACCCTTGAGAGTTAAAGAAATCGAAACTACATAACTTGGCAGTTTATAATTCAGTATTGATTTCGGTTTGTTGGATAACTCAACCATAGCTCCTTTATATCTAAGCATTTCTGTAAAATTTCTCGTAAAGCTTAGTTTGCAAGTATTATTATTAGATACTTCCGGGACTATCGCACCAAATATTCTGGTAATTGTATTCCTCTTTTATTTACACAGACCCAGAGATGCAGAGCCATATAGAGAAGAGTCTTTATAACAGTCGGGCTATATTTAACATCTCCTACTCGGTATGACAGTTCTCTTATTTTATCTTCTACGTTTGTATGTATGTGCACTTCCGGCTTTTCTTACAATGTTCCTTCGTATACCTCTATGTTCTTTTCTCACCTGTGCGTGTATTTTTTTGGTACTATGTGATCTCTCTTTTGAAACAGATTGGTTATATGGATATATGGGAAGCAGCTACTTTGTCTATTAAGAAAGAAGGCTACAGCATCAAACCTAAGAATGATCCTGTAATTACAGAAAAGTTCTCCTCTTCTACCGCTGTAAGAATCTTTGCCTTATGTGTTCCTTTTTCTTATAAATTGAATCTTGGTTGCATTATATGTTACCATACATAACCAGCTTTGAAGAATGAACTAAAACTATGATTTTTCTTTACTTGTCTTAGGTTCTGATTCCCTTTGATCAGCCTGCGGATTTTGTGATTATTGGTACTGATGGCGTGGAGCATCTCTGTCGGGTGGATAATGATGCAACAGATCTTAGCTGGTAAGTAGAATTTATCTTTCTTTGGATGAGGTAAAGTAGATCAAAACTCCTAGGTCGTGTGAATGCAGGAATTTGTCTATGAAGACGATGAAAATAGATGAAGAAAAGCCTTTTTTTGTTCTTTTCTAATTTCAGAAGATTCAAAACTGAGCCGAAACTTGAATCTGAAGACATATACTAATATCTTGCTTGTGTTTACTTTCTAAATGGGGTTGTGGTTGAATGTGTTCCATGTCTTCATTATAGTTTTTCAGTTTCTTGTATTATAAGCCAGCCAACCTTATGTTTGTATGTTGTATTTGGCAGCTCAAGAGATACAATTGTGCTCACCCTCAGATTATTTATTAAGAAGGTAATGTTTGTGGCAGTTAAATCAGTTAATGTTCTTTGACTAAATCGTTGAATCGTTTCTTTTCTAACAAAGCATCAAAACGGCAACTTAACCATAGAAAGATTAGCTCTTTGAGAAGCATTGGTTGATCAATTGGTTTGCTAATTTCGTTGCAGGCTCTGCAGAGAAAGAAGGGCAAGAAAAAAGGATTTTTGTTTAACAAATGAGTTTTTGGTAAATAACATTGTTGGCTCTTTTTTGTTTTCTCTGGCAATTCCCAGCTTTGCAATATTAGAGATGTAGTCTTTGAACGATTGAGAGTTATTTCTGCTGTAGCTGATTAAAAACAAAATATCTAATCAACCGAATTCAGTATAGTAAAAAATGATGAGCAAAAAAGTAATATTGTCCCCTCGTTTTTTTTTTTGTTATTGGTTTATAAGAAAAACTCATGACAATTTACCAAATAACCATATTACATTTATAAAATAAAGAATACACATATGCTACTCACATAATAAACTTTATAACTTAAAACTAATAGAAAAAAAAACCATTTAGAGAAAAGCATAGTTTCTAGAGGGAAAAAAACACTTTTATCAGTTATATAAATAAAAATATGATGTAACAAAGGTAAATTAGAAAATCTTCAAATTTGACGTAATCTATATATTTGTGAAAATCGATCAATCAAAGCTTGTACAAAGTTTGATTCTTTTTTTTTTTTAATTGACGTCTCTTTAGCGATTCAGGGAAATCTTCAAAGATTTAATTCACCTTTGACCACTTCTTTGACTAAATCTTTCACTCTAGTTATTGCAGCAATGCAAAAGACAAGGAAACAAGCAAACTCACAGACAATCTACTGTTTTTTGTTTCACCTCTGCATAAACAAATTTAATGATGAAGATTCGATGAAAAGTAAATTATTCATACATTACAGTATTGTTATTCAATGCATCTGTTTGCCATTGAATAGCTCTTTGGAGATTCTTTTCCAATTCAAGCTTAAGCGGTCAGCCTTATTGACAAGACCTCTCTTCTCATCTTATGTCCACATATTTACTCTGAATGTGAGAAAAACAAACCCACATATGTTACTCAACAGAGAACGATTTGAGAACTATCGCAAATCAAAGAATTTGCACAATGAAAACAAAATAGCTTGGCAGAATATATCAAAACAGTAAAGAAAGTGCAGGAAAGTTCTGGTTAACATTTCAAAGAACTTGCACTGTGAAAATCATGTGGAAAGAAAATCCAGGAAAGTTCACATTGACCTATACAATCCGACAATCTAAACATCGTCAAAATACTAATTCCAATCTTACTCCAAAGCCCGGAACAGAGATCTTGATAGAACAGAGATCTTGTAACTATCAGCTCTCGAATCTTTTTTCGCTTAACTATATGAAAACTGTCGTAAATCAAAAATGTTGATGTTGAGAACAAGTACCTCGAAGAAGACGAAAGGCAAGACGCAAACAGTACGTTGTACAATCGCAAGACGAATCTCTGTTACAAGCAAGTACCGAAAGAAACTCTGTTATGTTAAAAGCAAGTACCGAAAGAAACTCTGTTATGTTAAAAGCAAGTATCGAAGGAACGCACAGGAAAAGATGAACCAGAAGAAGATAACACACCTCGAAGAAGAAGACGAAAGGAAAGACGCAAACAGTACGTTGTACAATCGCAATCTCTTCCTTCTCTCTCTCGACGTCTCTTATAAACAGAGGACGAGTTTTTTAAACGCGTACTATTTCGATTACTGCTTTTATAAACAGAGGAATCATCTTGTTTATTATGACCATTTCCATACAAAAAAAATGCACAAAGACTAAGCGGTAAGATCCGAAAACTATTTTTCTGATTAAACCCAAAATCCCTCCAAGAAAACACTTCTTGTCAAAACTCTCTCTCTTCTTCCTTCTCCGTCGCTGAGAAATTCGATTCAATTAGGGTTTATCTTTGCAAGCGATGGATCGTTGTTCAACGGATTGCTTTGTATACTTCGTCCTCTCTATTGCTTTAGCTTTCATGGCCGTCTCCACCACTCTACGTTCGCCTCCAGATTCCGATATCACAAAGCCAAACAGACCCATTCCTCACCCTCTCTCCTTAAACGCCTCAAACGTTCTACGCCAATCCAACTTCAAAGCAATCGCAACTCTCATTCACATCTCGCCCGAGATCTTCCTCTCTTCTTCTCCCAACACAACCCTTTTCGCCATCGACGATTCTGCCTTATTCAACACGTCATCGCTACCTCCTCTGTTTCTCAAACAGCTTCTTCAGTACCACACAATCCCTCTACGGCTTCCGATGAAGGACCTCCTCAAGAATCCTCAAGGAACCTGTCTCCCCACGCTTCTCCGTCACAAGAGCGTCCAAATCTCCACCGTCTATAAAGAATCAAGAACAGCAGAAGTGAATCATGTCCTAATTTCGCATCCCGACATGTTTCTTGGAGATTCGTTGGTTATTCACGGAGTTCTTGGAACTTTCTCTCCTCTGCAACCTCATTACATCCTCCAGTCATCATTGTGTCAGTCTTATGCAAACAAAACCAGTGAAGAACAAGTCCCGGTCAAGATAGATTGGATTCGAATCGTTCAGCTTCTAAGTTCAAATGGGTTTGTGCCATTTGCAATTGGGTTGCACTCTGTTCTCAATAGGATCGTTGCAGATCAGCATAGGAACTTGACCGGCGTAACGATTCTAGCCACACCGAATCTGGTCTCATTGTCATATGCTTCTCCGTTGCTCTATGAAGTTTTGAGGCATCACATTCTCCTTCAGCGGCTTACCAACACAGAGATTGCTTCAATGCCTGATAAAGCCTTACTCAAGACATTGGATCCATACCAAGATCTCGTGATCACAAGAAGAGACGCTGTGATTTCGTCTAGAGGTTTCACGATTTCCGGAGCTGAGATTGTTGCTCCAGATATGTTCTCTTCTTCTAACTTTGTCATCCATGGGATATCACACACTCTAGAGATCCCACGGCCATAATTTACTTTCACTCTCTTGCTCTCTCTCTCTCTCGTGACAGAGGAAGCGAAACAGAGAACACAACTTTAGGGTTTGTTTTGGTTCGGGACACTCGGGATGATAGTTGATGTTCATCCTCAAAGATCTCATTAATTAGGGTTTGTTCATCCATTCTTACGTTTAGATTCTTCATTAGTATTTCAAAAATCTTCTTACCTATCCGCTTCATCCTCTGAGAATAATTGACAACCTCGTCCCTGCCACAAATCCTTGTTATTTGTTAAAACCTTCATCTATTATACAAACTGATTTCTGAACAGCAAGCCATTTTTTGTTACTACTTTATTTTATTTTAATTTATTTTTGTCTTTAATATGAAGAGACAATAAGAAAATGTAACGAAATTTTGGGATGAGATTTGTGTGTCATCGTTGTGCGTAAATTCACAGTCATTGGTTACATATTTTGTTCTTCTACCAAAACTTTTTATATTTCTCTGAATGTACACTATTATTAAGCAACAATTCAAACTTGAGATTTAGATTCCAACTACAACTGTATTTCTTAAGGGGATTCAATTTTTACAGAAAACATTATGGTCAAACCACAACAACCAAATCTCATTAGAACATTCATATAATTATCAAAATGCCCTGCTAATAACTTCACCTATAAATTGAAAGATTCCACTTAGTTAACTAGTCCAATTACCATTCTTCCCACTTGTTCATGAAGTCATCCCACATAGTACATGCAATGGAGTCTCGTAGAGAATCCGCAGCTTGCTCCATAGGCGTAGAGTTCAGGTGCAGCAACTCTACTTCTTCTCCTTCCTCTTGTCCATGCGGTTCCTCCACCACTGGAGCAGCATCGGCGGCAAAGAGCCAGTCGTGAATCCCGTCTTCCCTTTTGATGAAGTTATGCAGAGCGCAAGTCACAATCACCAGATCCCTCTGGACATGAAACGAGTAAGGAGGCGCAGATTTCAGGATTGGAAAACGGGTTTTCAGAATGCTGAATGATCTTTGGATGATGCTGCTTAAACACATGTGGCGATGATTGAAAAGATCATGCGCGTTCTGCGGCATTTGGCTCGCCCCACGGAACTCGTGGAGACCGTACCTAGCTCCCGGGTACGGAGCGATGAATCCTTCTATGTTTGTGTAGTCTCTATCTACTAGATAGTATTTTCCTGGGAAGAAAAAAAGAGGGGATGTCAATGTCATTTATTCATCTGAATTGTCAATCTGTATTGTAGAAGAAAGTTAAACCTTTGGGAGGTTGCGGGAAATTCTGGTTTGGATCATCAAGGACTGCTCTTAAGATGTGTGAATCTTCAACAGAGCCTTCCCATCCAGGGCATACAAATATGAACTGCAAATCAAAAGTGCAAGCTGCAAGCACATTCTGGGTATGCATCCCTTTCTTGTTCTGAAACCGGGACTGGTCTTTTGCAGGAAGGTTAGCCAGAATTTGCAGGCCATCTATAACTCCTATACAATCCTGAGGGTAAGCGTATCAAAACAAAAGCAATCTGAAGAACATTGCAATCACACATAGTTAAACCCCAGGATGATATGTTCTTTCTTTACCTTGAAATATGGATAAAGCCTTTTGCTGTTGACTATCTTTATAGGTGTTTCCGAATATGTCGGCTGAAAAAACTCGCGTGACAATGACTTCAATGCCTTTAGCACATTGTTGAAATGCCGGCTAATGGTTTCACAAGAAAGATGGAAGCTCTCTTGTATCACTCTGATCCGCTGGTTATGACCGATGATGCTTAAGAATATAGCAACCTGGTCTTCTATCAGAACAGTGGGAGAATCTCGCAGCAGGCCTTTCTCGCGAAGAGTTTCAGATAGTTTGTGAAACAGATGCCTATCCATCCGAAGCACTTCCCTGCAATCTTCAGCAGGTCCTTCAAGCAAGTCTTTCAAATATGTACATATCGTAGGAGTCGAATTACTCTGAGGCTGATTTACGCGACTGTGGTAGTACAAGTAACCAGCAGCAGCGGCAATTAACTCCATCTCATCCAATTCTATATCAAAATCGACGCAACTAGTGGACGAATCTGAAAGTATAGCCAAAGATTCAAATAATATCATTATGATCAAAGTTTCCACCAGTGACAATCTTCATCTGTATTAGCAAAGGGATATCATTTTCATCAGAAGTACCAAAAGAAAAAATCAAATGTTTATGAACTATATATAACATACAGAACAGAAACAGATGAGTGCAAAACTAAGCATTCATTCAGCTTCTACACTTTCCCTGAAGCCACTTCAATCGTTTCTCATATTTCAAAGAGATGAAAATTTCGCGGGAACTGGGGTTCTCAAACAAATCCAAGGCAAGAAAGTAGGTAGGTTGATCAACACCTTGTAAGTCGTCCAGCGCCTTGATGCATTTGCTGATTGAGAATCTGTCGCCGTTCTTGGTCAAAGCTGCTGCTCTCATTTTGGAAGCTGCTGCGATCTCTAGCATTGCTTCAACTATGGCATCACCACAAGCCTTGCGGCTTCTCTTGCGCGTCGGTCCAGAGCCAGAAGGCGGCACAGGGATACGCTTGTTGTTGTGTCCATCAGTGACGTTTGCTTCGTCTCCAGAGCCAGAGGAAGGTTCATCATCACCAGACATTCTTCTACGGGAAAACAAAGCTTCCACTGCAACTCTGCTCAACCGAAAAGCAACGAAAGAGAATCGGAAAATGAGAGAAGCTCTAAGCTCAAAACATCTAATTTGAGCGATTGCTCATGGCCTCGGAAATTAGGGCTTGTGCCAAATTGCAACGATTCCATAAAATTGGGTTTTAAAAATCAGGATCAGTTTCAATTCCTAATCCATAAAAAAAAAACACGGGAGGGTTTAACTTGATTCCGATCAAATACAAACCTTCGAAAACGAATAAGACGAAACTTACATTTAGAAAACGAAAACAAGAGACGAGGAAGATCGAAGAAGCTTGCTTGCTTGGCAGAATTAGGGAGAGAAAGAGATTAAGCTCGTCACTCAGTTTTGTTTTCATTAGTTATAGTCTTTCAACAATATACATTGTTGACGTCAAATTTTGTCAGAAATCAAATTAACCCTCATCTTCTTTTATAAAGTGAAGACAAGTGGGGCTAATCTTCGATATCTCACCAGCTCAGGACTAATGATACCAGACCCACTTACACTAATCACAATTCATGAATCACACCATAACTGAATCAACAATAATAAATAATATTGGGAAGCAGGAAGAAAAAAATCTTAAGGGGAGATTATCTATACTCTTTACTAAATTAACAATCAAACCATTTTAACTTAAAGAAAGATTTTACAGAAAGAAAAAACAGGAAGAAGAATACAAGAAGAAACTATTATCTCCGGCGATAAATAAAGCAAAGACAGACAAATTTGATGTTTTGTAAGAAGAAGAAAGGAAAGCATGAGAGCTATTGCTCTTTCTTCTTTCTTAGTTGGGAGATAAGAAATGAACACGAGCAAGTGTGTACTCCTTTCCAGCAATCCACACACCAGTTTGTGACCACTGTACATCTTCCCAATCAAGATTCTCCTCCAACACCTATCCACAAATCCAGACCATCATCATCATCAACTGTTTATTAATCCAATCCAAACAAAAAATATTACTAAACAAGAGTGGAATCAAAATAAATGTTAACCTCGATATGGTCCGGTGGGAGTGGAAACCCGATAGACCGCATAAGCTTCTGCGGGAGAGGCTTCTTGCATCGTGACCAACGGAAAACATCGATTAAACTGTTGTCTGAATCTGTTTTGTCACCGTTTGTCACATGGGGAGGATGGTTTTGTAACTTGCTATTGTTATCGATCTCCATAGCATCTTGGGATGAGTGCTGTTGTGAGGCTTGGATTGCTTTGATGGTCTTCTCTCCAGAAAAACAGAGCTCATACCTATTTGCATACAAAGATTCGATTTAGCGTCTAACATCTCATTATTGGCGATAAAAAAAAATAACATGTGTTGATTTTTAAATACCTGCATGAATGTGTTTCTAGGTACAAAACTTCTCCCTTCTTCAAGCGGGCAGAGGTGAAAAGAGGCTTCTTCAGACCCTTATCTGCGACAATGCTTATGCTATATTTGATCCTGCACAAAAAGTAGATCTGATGCGTAAGTAAAACCAATCTTGCGTCTGATTCCTTCCAAATGATCGTGGACATTTTAGTAAAACTCAGTGAATATTTCTTTCAAAGCATTGGGCGGTAATTTCCAGAGAGTTACCAAGGCTCATTGCAGAGGTTGTATTGTATTGTTACTTCTCGAACAAACCTTTGTTGCCGCAGAGCATTCTACAAAAGGGTTAACAAGTCATCAGTGCTTGAATGATGTGACATACGAGCTAACTATGCGAGCCCATATGCCATCTGTTATAATACAACAGTGTTACGAAGATTGCACCAAATGCTTGCAGTCAACGTGGTCTGATCAAATTTTAAAATCCAAGTGAAGTGAGGGACAGAGATTCAGAGATTTCGAAACTGAAGTTTAAGTACCGAAGCTGCAGCTCTGGTGGTCATAGATCTCTCAACAGCCATTGGTGCAAGTGTTGGCTCAACAGTTGAGGAGTGTGTAAGAGAGGCTTCGAGTTCAATAGTACCACCTCCTTTCTGGAATCATAACATCACAAAGATTCATAAGTACTTAAACACTAATTCACTTTCTAATCTGGATATTATGCACATAGAGGGAAATGATTGTCAAGGAAACAAAAAGGGCAAGTAACGAATAGATGTCAAATTACCTTCACTATATAGCACCGCTCAACTCTGTAACTGCATCCGATTCCAGCTCCCCATGCACGAGAGCGGACATTGTTCCTTAGCTTGGAGGTATAGTCTAACAATTATCATTTAAAAAAGTTTGAATAAAAGGTCTCTCTTGATATGGAGAAGTCAATGAAAAGGGAATAAAAGCAGACAGAAAAAAAGCTAACTCACAATCTTGTGACGGCATGACTCTGATAGTTGCGCGCAACTCTTGCATTGTCGGTGGAGGAGGGGAAGCCGTGGGACGACAGTAACCTGTATGCATGAGAACTAGAGGACAAATAGACCAGAATAACTGTGATGTTAGGACCGAACCAAGAGCATCAAATTGCAAATATTATTTGGGACACGTACCAGCAACAAGATCGGAATCATCTGTGTATATATCTGTTCCCCATAGCTGCCCACCTCTTACCTGCATGAACACAAGTTAAGGCTCTCAGCAGGGCAAAAGACAGGGGATGCTCTAAAGAGCTGTGTTACCCAAATTAAGAGGCAGTGTAAATTCATTGAGCTTAAACAGAAATACAGATTGGAACCAAAGCTATATGAGAAACTACACCACACAAGTCAATTTAAGGAAAAAAAAAGATTATGAGAAAGTTTTTGGATGCATCTTCGTCTTACTTGGCGATTAGTAGCAGTTACATGCTCAGCTGGAATTCGAACTTCAAGAGTGGGGCCATTACTTGCGAAGTCACCACTTTTGTCAGGCTGAGAAGTTTCATATTCCTTCCACAACTTAATCAGTTCTTGCATACATTCCCCAACTTTGTAAACAACAACCGACACCTCTGATTTTCCTGAATCATCAGTATAATAAAATTCAACAAGCTGTCGCTCTGACCAAATGATGAACTGCAAATTATTTACTTCGCATAACAGCAGAAGCAGAATAAATTTTGTAGAAGATAAAAGTAGCAGACACTTGATATATGATAAATGCTTAACAGACCTAGACCTTAGACCCAATCTTGAAAAACAAGGAGATATAAGCAACTCAGCCCGAATCTGAAGTAGCATTGAGGATGAAACCGACTTTTTGTAATTGACATTCTACTGTGAGAGTAACGAACTGCAACCTAAAGACAAACCTAGGAAGGAAACCTGGACATAGATTGGTTATCAAGTACATCTGTGTCGTAGATGACCATTATCAAATGCACATGTATAAACGAATGCCAATATAACTGATTCTTTTTTACTATTGTTCTCCAAGCAGTGCAACTCGATCCTTTCTCGAGGATATTGAAACGAATGATTACCTTGTACCCTGCAAAATAAACACAATCAAACATGGATGATATCAAAAGCCATGTTAGTGATTGAAAAAAAGTTAAGGACTTAGCCAATAGCTAACTTACATGATAAAAAGAAACACAGGACAAAATATTCTTAACACAGAGAGAAAGGGAGGACCCGAGACGGTAGGTGGGAACGAGAGAGACTATTTTTTATCTCTTGAGTGGAAAAAACCAATAATGGTCACAAGATATTTCAATAACAAACGCCCCATATCGTATATTATCGTGTCCAATCACTCGCAGATTTTACTAAATACGTTCAAATTTCAACCAATACTAGCATGTCTCTCTAAATGGTAAAAAAATATAAAGGATTCTGCTAAGAAATGAGAGGCTAATAACTAGACAGAGACTAAGACTAATGCGTAAGACAGAGAGACGCACCCTTCGTTGTCCTGGCTCCGTGAACGGACAAGGTCGCGGTTCGTGGTTTGTGGGCTGCCTCTTGGTCTCAGCATTCTCTTCCGTTGCTGAACTCCATAATTGAAGGCATCCTTCTCCCTCTCTGCAGCTCCTTCACCCTCCAAACACCCATCTTCAGGTTCTTTTTCACTGATTCTGCTGCGCTTTTCAGCTCTTTCTGCTTCGGAATCCCCATCCCTCTCTCTCCTTTTGTCCTTTGATTCTCTGTCATCTTTTTCCCAGCCCTCCGGTTCACTCTGCTTCTTCTGCTCTGGTGCCACATATTCCTGTTCTGCAGGTTTAACAGATGCTTCTCCCAGCTCTTTCTCGTTCTGGGAGACCTCTTTCTCAGCAACAGTCCGAGGCTCTCTTTTGATATGATCTTTCTCTTTCTCCTTATTCCTCTCCCGATCTTTCTGCTCCATCCTCTCTCGTTCCCACCTATCGGTTTCTCGTTCTTCTCTTCCAATCTCTTTGGGTTCGCTCATGGCACTACCAACAAGCACAGATCCTCTGCGGTCGGTTCTATCCTTGTCTCGGTCCCCCCACTCGCGATGCTTCAACTCTTTTCTTTTCTTATCTTTGTCCTTAAACCTATCTTCGCTTTTTGCATCAACCTTGTTTTCTCCAACTGTCTCACGCCCATCTAAATGTGCTCCCTCCACAGGAGGCGAGAAATCTTTCACCCCGACCTCAGATGGGCCTTGAGGATTACCACGTGATGCAGCCCACGGATCCACATTTGCGCTTGAACCTTCAGCTCTCTTCCCTCTATGGTAATCCTTCTGCTCTTTCCACGCCAAGTGATCCTTTTCCATCTTATTCTCAGTCTTTTGTTCATTGAAATTCTGAGTATCCCTATCAAACTTTGTATCCCTAGTATAGCTTCCGCTGTTGCCTTTTCCGAAATCATCGGCTACACGATCAAACTTGGCATCCCTGTCACCCTTAGGACCTTGAATCTCCCTCTTCGCCTCACTATATACCACTATACCATCACTCCTAGTGTAGCTTCCAGTATTAGTTTTCCCGGTAAAGTCATCTGCAGATCTCTCGAACTTGGCATCCTTGTCACCCTTAGGACCCTGAATCTCCCTCTTCGTCTCACCATATGTCTCTCTCCCATCATTCCTAGCTTCCCTGACATCCTTAGTACCATCTCTCGACTCCAACAGCACAGGGGTGTGGCTCAAATGGGGATCACTTGGAGAAACCGTCGCTGGCAGCGACGGAGATCGATACACGACTTGCAGAGGAGAGCGTCTCTCTCCATCTCTAGGCTCGCTTCTGGGAGCCTTAACCGTTCGTGATTCGACCTCATAAGCAGAAGCAGAAGCAGAAGCAGCAGCAAGTGGGGGATGAGAATGGAGATGAGGAAGGTGAGACTGAGATTGAGATTGGAGATGCTGATGGTGGTGATGAACCTGAGGCGGTGGTGGAGTTACAGGCGGATGCGTGGATTTAGGGTAAGATCCTGAATCGTCGTGAGGGGATTTTGCTGATGAAGAGGATGGATGAGCAAAACCCTCTTCGTGAGATCTCTTGGGAACACCACTCATCACTCCGAATCCACAAAACCCCTAAAATTCAATGCTCCAACAGACAGAATTGCACCTGATTCTTCGGAATCTTACAGAACCTATCGAGAATGCGTAGAATTTTTAATCACTAGAACAACAATGGAGCCCTAAAACGGACAAACAAAAGGACAGACATTTTACCAATTGAAAACTGAAGCAGAGCACGGAGGAGCAAACTGGTTTGGGACTTTTCAGCCGGAGAGTAAAAATGGCAGTCTGGTTTGGGACTTTTGCACCGTTTCTCGTACGCCTCTTTGAGTTTTTTTTCCTTTCTCTTTCGTTGCTCTGCTTTGTTGGTTGATTTTAGACAAATGCTAATATTTTTGGTTCTCGTCTCGCACGGACCGTACTTTACCCCCACAGGCCACAGTTTTAGGTTTTCTATATTACGCTGTTACCCTCATAATTATTGAATATCTCATATTTTTCGCAAACTTTATAAAGTTCTTGTGGAAGTCTCTTTTTCGTGTCTGATCAGATTTTTAAAGTAAACAACAACAAAAAATATTTAGAACAAGCTCATATGGGTCTAACCCTCCAAACTGGGCCGAACTGGTCAAACCCATAAATAATAAGTAAAACTCTTTGCTTTTTGTTAAAATCACTTTGATAACAATGATATGTAAATATTTTTTGAAATATACCATCAATAATTCCATATGATAAAAGCATCTCAATATTGAGAGACTTGAGGTTGAGAGTCTTTTACCAGTCTTTCAACATAAAATTATAATAATATTTAGTTAATGGGTATTTTTGAAAACATACACAATTTTTTTTACTAAATGGAAATCTCAAAAACTGGAGGTTAACAAAACATTTTACTTGAACTACTGCAAAATCCTTCAACAATCAAACACAGTAGTTTAAATGGACCTTCTCTCTCGGTGAACGTCGGAGAAAATTAGCATAGGCCTGAAGTGAGGCCCAATTGTTAACCAACGATTCTTTTGCAGCTTCGTCTGGTTTATAAATCATCCCATTTTTAAAAACTGCAGAGTTTTTTTTTCACAAATGCTCTAATTATCTTGCATATTTTGTGCAGAGCCTCTTTCTTTCTCTCACAAACGCTCCCAAAATCTTGCACATCTTGAAGAAGAGAAGAGAATATTTCACTTTCCACACTGCAAAAATCTGATGAAATATTTTTTAAAAAATGGGAAGATTTATAGACAAGACGAAGCCGCAAAAGAGCCGTTGGTTAACAATTGGGCCTCACTTTAAAAGATTTACTATGTCAAGCTAAGTTGATTATATTTCAAAAAGTATTTACATATCATTGTTATCAAAGTGATTTTAACAAAAAGCAAAGGGTTTTTTTGCTTTTCAAGTAATATCCCCTTTTTCTATTTGGGTGTGAAATTGAACAAAAAAAACTCTTACGACAAATATTAAGAAATAGAAAACTTTGTCTTGTATAAAAGCAAAAATCTCAAATTTGTATGCATAAAAAAATACGTTAGAATCTACACACCCGGTCTTACACTAGAAAACCAATCAACTTCTGCGAGATGGATAATAATATTCACTGAAGTGACTAACAACGCCAATACAATATATATATATATATATATATGCTGTGTTTATTGAAGGAACTGTAGTAAAGTGAAAAAGGGAAATGACATTTCACCTTAACTTTCTCTTTTAATCCGTAAACCTTTGAGGCAATCGATTAATCGATGAAATATACGTTTAATACAAAATTTGATTCACATTATGAAGAAGTGGACAAAAATTCGAACCTAAAATCTGAAAAATCAATAACAAATCAAGGTCTAAGACGATCAAATCAGCCCATCGCAATCCCCTTGACGATCACAGTGTTCATTTTTCATGATTTCTCATCCTGAAAAAAAGACAAAAAAAAACATTCTCTATACAACGAGTATTGGTTGCCTTTTTCATTGTTGTGACTTGTAATCTTTTTGCTTTATAAGTAAAAATCGATGTGCCATTTATAAATAGTCAACGGAAAACAGAGCTCATTAAATTCACTGATACAAGTTGTAAACAAAAAAGTAATACGACCACCAAATTCATGATTTATATATATATATATATATATATATCGGCGCCTATGCATGCCTCCAGTCTCACGAGAGTGTGTTAAATTTGCTTTGAAAACTATTTCAAATTTAAAAGACATGATGATATCTTTCGCAAGAAAATCACTAGTACACGGTATATGGTTCGTCGTAGTAGTACTCGCCATCATAGTCGTCGCAGCCGGAGATGAAATATCGCCGGAGCCGGCAATGTTTCCGGCGATGTTTGTGTTCGGAGACTCATTGGTGGACAACGGAAACAACAACCGCTTGAATTCGCTCGCTAGGTCCAACTATTTCCCTTATGGCATCGATTTCGACGGTGGTCAACCCACCGGTCGCTTCTCTAACGGCAAAACCATCGTCGATTTCATCGGTACAAAACATCATTATAATACATACACAAATGCGTATATTTTTTATTTTATTTTTAAAATTGCTTTAATGAAGCAAATATATAGTCGTGTACCTTTAATCATTCGACTAATGTACTAATATACTATATATGCTACGAAATTACGAATGTAAACGTGGTTGCTTCTACACATGCATGTGGTTTGGAGTCAATCAATGCATGTGGAAACTTAGGCAAGAATTGCCCTTTTATTTTGTTTATTGAACAACATTTTGGAAATTTTATACTATAATTCTTTTATTAATGAGATAAATAATGGGGTGGATGATTGCAGGGGAGTTGATAGGGCTGCCGGGGATTCCGGCGTTTATGGAAACGGTAGACGGAGGAGTTGATGTTCTCCGGGGAGTGAACTATGCGTCAGCTGCCGGAGGAATCTTAGAGGAAACCGGTCAACATCTCGTACGCACTTTTCTTACCTAATTCGTAATTTTATTAAAACAATTAGTTTCCGTCTGATGTGTTTTTGTTGTTGTTAGTTGTTGTGTGTGTATTTGACTTATGTTTGATCTAATCTATGAAACTTGTAGTAGATTAAAGAAACATAATTAATCATTTATTCATTTAAGCGAAACAGTCTTCATTCAACCAATAGAATGGAATAACGAAGAAATATTAAATATCGACTGGCTTTGATAGGGTGCATGAAGTTTAGGAATCGATTCTCGCTATAGATCTCTGGTGATTGCGACATACTATTGGCTGAGACATGCACTAGATGAGTATATTTAATAGGCTCAATGCGAAAAAGAAGGAACACTAATAAATGGAGGGTTGTATTGTATGCATGCATGAAGGGAGAGAGATTCAGCATGAGAAGACAAGTGGAGAACTTCGAGAAGACATTAATGGAGATAAGCAGAGGGAGAGAGTCAGTAAAGGAGTATATGGCAAAGTCATTGGTGGTGGTTTCATTGGGGAACAATGACTACATTAACAATTACTTGAAACCATCGCTTTTCCTCACCAGCTCCATTTACGACCCTCCTTCTTTCGCCGACCTCCTTCTCTCCAACTTCACCTATCATCTCCTCGTAAGTTGGTCCCTTTATTAGCCCACTTTACTTGATCATTTCATAAAATTTGGTTGCTAATTAATTATTTGGTTTTTTCTTCTAGCCACTAATATTAGTTAATTGCTTTGTTGGGATTTTTTTTTTAATCCAATTTAAGTCTAAGAGGCATAAATTCCTTGTTTGCATCAATAATATGTATTGAGAAATATACAAAGAAAAGAAGGGGGTTATATAGTTTCTATAGCTAGACTGCATGCACTTCCGTTTGGTGAGTCCACTATAATACAAATCCTTAAAAAAACGTAAATATAATAGCCATTGATTAATGGAGTATGTTATATCCAATGTTGCAAATATTATAACAAGACTCATGTTAAACTAAACTTCGAGTTTTATATTGTGTTAGGAATTGTATGAAAAGGGGTTTAGGAAATTCGTACTAGCTGGTGTGGGTCCCTTGGGTTGCATACCGGACCAACTAGCCGTTCGGGCGGTTCCGCCGGGTGAATGTGTGGAGGCGGTTAATGAGATGGCTGAGCTTTTCAACAACCGCCTCAAGTCGTTGGTGGATCGTCTCAATTCCGATGACAAAACCGCCCGCGATGCCATCTTTGTCTATGGCAATACCTACGGAGCCGCCGTGGATATCCTCACAAACCCCTTTGCTTACGGTAATACATCATTCCAAATTAGTATACGTGGTTTATTGTCATTATTATGGTTTGTTGTTGGGTGAATGGTGAATCTATAGTCCGGTTCATCTTCTCGTGTGGCTTTATGTTTTAGTCACCATTTTCGATTCGGTTTTATTTTTGTTCAGATCGGTTCAAATCGATTAGGAAGCTTCGAAATGAATAATTTAATTTGTCGATCTTATGTTGTGTAGGATTCGAGGTGACGGATAGAGGGTGTTGTGGCGTAGGGAGAAACAGGGGAGAAATTACGTGTTTGCCCCTAGCTGTCCCATGTGTTCTCAGAGATCGACACGTGTTCTGGGATGCGTTTCATCCTACGCAAGCTTTTAATGTCATAATTGCTCTTAGAGCCTTTAATGGTTCCAAATCCGATTGTTACCCCATTAATCTTTCTCAAATGTCTCGTCTCTAAAAACACGACTAATATTTCTTTTTACGTATCTTTTGTTTTTTCTTTTCTTTCTTTCTTTCAAGTTATGTACTTTGATTCTGTCTGTTGGATGTGTCACTCTTCATTTGTCAGCATTTCTTTTTCTTTTTCTCATCATCTTCATATTGATAATTTTCTCTATCCATATGGACTTTTGTGATTCAAATTTGAACTTGGACTCTATAAATTTAGTACGTACTAATGTATCTTCTGTAATTGGGAAAAAGCATTTCTGCAAATGAATTAACTCGAGAAATTGTTACAGTCTAGCGTTTACTGTTTAGTCAACGCTAGAAATGTTTTATATTTAAATGCGACATTGATAATACCAAATTATATTGGTTTCATAGTCTCAAATATTAAATTAGAAAAGCCCAAATCCAAATTAGAGAAGCCCAAAACAAGGCTAGTGACTGGCGCGGCCGGTTGAGAAAGAAGATAAGCTTGGGAATACACACGTCTGACGTCTAGCAATCAGCATTTCATTCTCTCCGGCGTGATGGAAACAGAGGCGGTGGTTCGTACCGTCGCCGGCGTCGACTGTTTCGTCTCACTACCTCGTCAAATACTACACGTGCTTCAGTCCACTAGCTCGTCTCCTCTCCCTCCGCTTCTCCCTGTCGAGCTCCGCTCCGGTGACCGCCGCTGGCCAGTTGCTTGGTCCGGCTCTAGCTCATCCTCTTCTGCGATCGAGGTTTCTCTCTAGATTTGGTCCCATTTAGTCAAATTCAGATAGAGTTTCTGGCTGTGGAGGTCTGATACTCTTCTTATTTCCTTGCGTTTTTAATTTTGTTTATTCAACAAAGGTCGCTAGAGTGTTTGCGGAAAGCATTTCATTGCCGGATGGTACAGTTGTTCAAGTTCGAGTTCTTTCTAATGTGCCGAAGGCTACTTTAGTAACAGTCGAACCAGAGACTGAAGATGATTGGGAAGTTCTCGAGCTCAATGCAGAACTTGCCGAGGCAGCTATACTCAGTCAGGTATTGGGTAGTAATCTGTATAAATCATCGTGCCTCTGTTCTTATCATCATTCCAAAAGGTTTTGATCTTATTGGAAGCAAACGTTTTGCTTTCTAGTTGATTGGAAAGCTTACCGTTGTTGTCTCGTTTCAGGTGAGGATACTTCACGAGACAATGAAATTCCCTTTGTGGTTGCATGACCGATCTGTGATAAGATTTGCTGTGGTTTCAACATTTCCACCAAAAGGGGTGGGTAAGACCATCTTTGTTCGGCTCTTTTGTTGTATTCTAGTCCTTTATTTCCATACTTTACTAGTCTCTATGCTTATAATCATTACAATTTTGTTATTGACGGAAATATTTTGTCTGGTGGATCTTTTTCAGTACAACTTGTGCCAGGATCTGAAGTGGCTGTGGCTCCTAAGAGACGTGAAAGAAATCTCAACGCTAAAAAGGGTTCTGATGCTTTTGATTCGGAGAAAGAATGTAACAATGTGAAAGTCCTGTTACGTGTACAAGATACCAACAGATCAGCCTTTCATGAAGCTGATGTCAAAGGATTTGATGTAAGGGTAGCCCTCACGTCCATTGCCTATATTCATCCAGAAACTGCCAAGAAATACTCGTTAGAATCTCTTCAAATGATTTCGGTATCCCCTCGAATACCTTTGAAAGGTAGTGCGAAGAAGGACGAAGCCTTGGATATGAGAAACAGTGAAGCTTCAAAGGTGGTAGAGAATGGCACTCAAAGCGCAAAGAAAGATCCCCGTCGAGCAATTCTTCGTCTTGTCTTTTCAGATTTAGCTGCTAAAGGACATATAATGATGGTCGAGTCTCTTCGTCTCTATCTAGGAGCAGGCCTTCACTCATGTGAGTAAATTTTGCTTAAATATACAGTTGCTTTTGTTTTATGTACCTCCAAAATTTGGGATTTTTTATTTTATTGCTGTAATTATCAGGACCTAAACTTGTAACGTTTTTGAGAGTTGCCATGCTTTGAATCCATGCTTATTGTTTTTGAGAATGCAGCATTTTGCATTTTTCCATTCTCAGTTGATCTTTGTTACCACAGAATCATCAATTTTCTAAGAGTTATCACTTGTATGTAGGGGTTCACTTAAGGGGATGCAGTGAGAATCTTAAGAAAGAAATTCCTGCTCTTTCACTTTCTCCGTGCGTCTTCAAGATTTCTGAAAAGGAAAAGGTGCTTGACAGAGGTACTGATATGCTTGGCAATCATATTTCTAATAGAAAAAGCAGTCATCCACTTTCTGGCCTGACTACCAATGTAGATGTTGTGGACTGGTCTGTGCATGAGAAGGTTGTTACGGCTCTTTCATCTGAGGATTTGCATATTAAAGGAGAAGAAGATAATGCCTATCAACTTAAGAATAAGAAAGGATTGGAATGCCTTACTCGCCTGTGGTCATTAGCACAGCTTGATGCTATTGCGTCAGTCAAAGGAGTTGATGTTAGTTCGGTGATTGTAGGAAGAGAAACCTTGTTCCATTTTGAAGTGAGAGGGCTCGAATCCTGTAAGTCCACAGACGGGCAGCCTTCTGTTAATGATCGTTTGGAAAGGAAGAAGGAAAAAAACGTTCCTTTAGAAATTTTGTACGTAATGACTGTCTCTGACGAGTCTTCGCTTGGTGATAACTTCGCTGTGTATGAGCTTACCTTGGATAGAAGCGAGAAAAAGGACAATGTGGAGCATATCGAGCCGGTGCTTGAGAAGATGAATCTTGATGAACCTATAATTTTCTCCTCTGCTAAAGAAAGACACTGCAATAAAGGTGTTTCCCCGGATATATCTTCCTTAGCGTGGATGGGCTCAATTGTGTCGGATGTTATCAAAAGTAGGTTTTTTCTCTTTTCGCATCATCTTGCTTGAATTGTAATAATGATGGTGCTCTATGTTAGGCAGAGAGATGTATATGTGGTTGCAGATAAAAACTAAGTAAATTATGCTTTCTGATAACATAGATTTTGCTAAACTTTTGTTTCATTCTGTGCTTGTTTTTGTTATTGCATACGTTCTAGTTGCGTATAAAATGTCCACAAAGCTTTGAACTCAACTAAAATTGCCTGATCGTACCTTTTGTTCAATCTTCACATGTGTATTTTATTGCATCTGGAGATGTTCATGAACAGATCTGTTCCTAACGCCAACTGTACTATATTATGCAGGGATGACCGTGTTGTTGTCTCCCGCAGCTGGAATGTGGTTTAGCAAGTTCAATATTCCTTCACCTGGACATGTCCTCATATATGGGCCTCCTGTGAGTTCCACTTCCCGTTTTGTTGTTCCCATTTGGTATCTCTAGAAAATGGATTTACTAGAGTTTAGTTCTCAATAGATTTTGTCTCTCGATTAACATTGGTATGTTACCTACTCCAAAGCATATTCCTTTGGCCAGGCATGAGTATTCAGGATTTTTATAGCTTTAGATCTGTTCTATTCACAACGTTTGAATCACTGTTTCCCTGGTTTTAGCTGTTTCTTAATTTCCCATTCTTCCTACTGGTTGTTTACTAATGTGAGCTTCTTGTTGATAGGGTTCAGGAAAGACAATATTAGCAAGAGCTGCTGCAAAGTACTTTGAAGAACAAAAAGACTTGTTGGCACATGTGTGAGTGGTTATGGTTTACGTTTGCCTGTACTGATCTACTCCAACCAACATCTTTTATCTTCAAGAGACTCATTCTGGTACAAATGTGGCTAAGTGTTGACTTTTCTTGTGCAGGATTCTGGTATCCTGTTCTGCACTTGCCTTGGAGAAGGTTCAACACATCCGTCAAGTCCTTTCTAGTGTAATAGCTGAAGGCTTGGAACATGCACCATCTGTAATCATTTTGGATGATCTTGATAGCATTATCTCATCATCTTCGGATAACGAAGGAACTCAAGCTTCGAATGCGGTTACGATGCTTACAAAATTCCTAACAGATATTATAGATGATTACAAGGTATGAACTCTTAAAAAAAAATCAGGTTACTTTTTTTGATAGTCCTGATAACTGCGTTCACCTTACTAATTAATGCATACAGCATTAAGTGGTTGTTCTTGGAACATCTTGAATCCATTCTTCTCCAAGATACGCCTTTAGGGACTCAATCCTAGTTGATATATTATAGTTCTGACTCATTTAGTTAATCAGTTCTATTCTCGTTCTCTCAACAGGAATACAGGACTTCCTCTTGTGGAATTGGTCCACTTGCATTTGTTGCTTCTGTCCAGTCTCTAGAAAATATACCGCAGACATTGAGCTCATCGGGTACAAACTTGTTACATACCAGTAGTACCTCGACCTGTTTTCACGTAAATGATTCTACCTGATTTCACGTAAATGATTCATGTGGTACTTGCAGGAAGATTTGACTTCCATGTGCAACTGGCTGCTCCTGCTACCACTGAACGCGGGGCCATACTGAAGCATGAGATACAAAAACGCCTTTTAGAGTGTTCGGAAGACATATTGCTCGAGTTAGCTGCCAAATGTGAAGGATATGATGCGTATGACCTGGTATTTCGAAATTTCGATATGCTTTTGAGATCTGATGTTGTGCCAGCAGAAAAGATATTTGAAAGAAATCTTCAGATCTTGGCACTAATACTATCTGTGATTGTCATGTGATATATGTTTTGGGTTCAAGCTTGCTCTCTCGTTTTGATTTAGATGCATGCTCATGACTGCTCGAGGCTCTTTCCTTTCCTGTTCCTTTTGATTGTCGTTCTGTTCGTTAATTTACAGTGCGCTTTCGTTGGAATCTCTTTTTCCAGGAAATATTGGTTGATAGAGCTGTTCATGCTGCCATTGGCCGGCATCTACCTTGTAAATCCAATATATCCAAATATCATTTGGTTAAAGAGGACTTTACTCGAGCTATGCATGAATTTGTGCCTGTTGCCATGCGTGACATCACAAAATCTGCATCCGAAGGTGGACGTTCGGGATGGGAAGATGTTGGAGGTGTGACTGATATTAAAAATGCTATCAAAGAGGTATATAAGCATGTCGATTGCCACTTCTGATTTTGTTGCCTCCGTTAATATCTAAATAGTGTGGGTGGTATTCTTTTATCATCTGAAACCAAGGAGCATCTAGTTGGTTTTATCTGCTAGCATTTGTGTATATCTTTGGATGTTCTCCTACCGAATTTATTTACGCTTTTAGTGGAAAACATGATTTTCTAGAAATCCCTGAGCTGATATAAGTTGAGTTATATGGGAATTAATCTGACAGAAATAATTCCAGAGTGCTTTTACTTATGTTAACAACCATAATTCGAATGATCAGTAGTTATTTAGAGAATTAACTGTGGAAATCCAACTTATATGCTCTTTGCCGTGTCCAGATGATTGAGTTGCCATCGAGATTTCCAAAAATCTTTGCTAAGTCTCCTCTGCGTTTGAGATCAAACGTTCTCTTATATGGCCCACCTGGTTGTGGGAAGACACACATAGTTGGTGCAGCTGCGGCGGCATGTTCTTTACGCTTCATTTCAGTGAAGGGGCCTGAACTATTAAACAAATACATCGGCGCTTCTGAACAAGCTGTAAGAATGACACACCTTCTTTGTTATGCATCTTCAAGAACCTTTTGAGATGCTTTATCTTTACTGCTCGATTCTCCTGGGCTTCTTGCTTGGTATTTACTCTTTACTTAAGTCTTAAACAATAGGATAGGTAAAGAAACGTAAATTAAAAAAAGAGCTTTCAGACAGCATGTTCTACTAGTTTTTTGCCTGAAAATCTGAAGAATGTTATCCTAGTGGTTCCACATATCCAATAACGACAAACACCCATCTCTCAGGTCCGTGATATATTTTCAAAGGCAGCAGCCGCAGCACCATGCCTACTCTTTTTCGATGAATTCGATTCAATTGCTCCCAAGAGAGGACATGATAATACGGGAGTTACTGATCGAGTTGTTAATCAAGTAAGTTACTTCGAATTCTGTGCATATTCAACCCTCGTAAAGTTCAAACATCTCATATTCTCATGTCATAACTTTTCCTTTGCGTAGTTCCTGACAGAATTGGATGGGGTTGAAGTTCTAACCGGGGTCTTTGTATTTGCTGCAACGAGGTATGCACACCAGAATACAATTATATTGCATACCATATATAGTGTTCGATGCATTCATACAATCTACAGCAAGCAGTTAATAATAATTTAAGAGCCATTAAAGTTGAAGCTTATATTTTCAGTCCTCGCTTTATGTTTTCATGAGATAACAAAATATGGATGTATGACTTTATAATAATTTACCCATTAACAGTAGACCAGACCTACTTGATCCTGCACTACTAAGGCCTGGCCGGCTTGATCGTCTTCTTATGTGCGACTTTCCATCCCCACCAGAGCGATTGGAGATTCTTACAGTTCTTTCTAGAAAGGTTGGTACTTTCATAATTTCTGCTTATCATTTTTCCTTGAAACCTATGTAAGTCTGTGTTACGTATCTGAACAATCTCATAAACTAGAATCCTCCATGTAGACTTGAGGCATCTATATTTGTTACAAGTTAAACATGACAGCAAAAAGCATGTGCACATTTCTGCAGCTTCCGATGGCTGGTGATGTCGACCTAGACCCTATAGCTCAGATGACTGAAGGCTTTAGTGGAGCTGATCTTCAAGCTCTTCTCTCAGATGCGCAGCTTGCAGCTGTTCACGAGTTTCTGAACAGAGAAGATAAGCCGGAGACCGGAACTACCCCAATAATAACCGATCCTCTTCTGAAGTCCATCGCTTCTAAAACTAAACCATCGGTTTCCGAAACCGAGAAACAAAAGCTTTATGACATATATAGCCAGTTTCTAGACTCACGAAAATCGGTATCTCTCTCTTCTCTCCACCCTAATTCATCTTCCCTTTTATACAAACCCATAAGTTGATTCCTAACAAACATAAAATATAAACTCATTTTGCATGTAGTCAAGAGAAGCAAAGGGCAAAAGAGCAACCTTAGCATAATCAAAGGTATCACAAAATGGTTACATAGTAGGAATCACATCATGAGGTATAGTTTCCCTTGTGATATACATATGCATAGTGATAAGCATCATAGCAAAAAACTGTTTTTGAGTTTTGAGATAAACATAGATAGAGAGCAATAATGTTGGGGTCTCTTTAGAGGGTAAGATCCAAACGGCTGTAAACAACTGTTGTGTAAAAGCAAGATCCGGTTCGATTTTGAGTCGACCCACACGACTAACTCGGTTTTGTTTGTTGGTTGTCCGATGTGCAAGTATTCGGATGTTTCATGTTTGATGTTCATGAATCTCTTTAGAGGGTAAGAATCAAGTCAAATGGATTAAATCATGATTGTTAGTTTTTAACTTTAAATGGATTCAATGGATGACAGCCGAAAAAAAGATCGTTTACTAGTGGGCTTAATAAAAGGCCCAAATTTACAATTTATGTTACTATGAAGGCCCAATTTGATAGCAAGAAATAATTTACTTATTCTTCATGTGACCAAATTCTAAGGTTGTCAGCAACTTTTTATTTTTCATAGATTAGTAAATAAATAATATTTCTTTTTATGTGTTCATGATAATTGTTTTGCTCGACTGACATGATCAATTAAAAAATCATAGGGTACTCTAAAATATATAAGTTTTAGTTTTTAAAAGAAAAATCAAGGTTTCTAAACTTTTGAGACCTAGATTCTCTATAATTATTATTATTGATCAGATTAATAATTGTTTTTGGCAGAAGGAAATTTTACAAAGTTGTAACATTTTTTTGGACAAACAAAGTATAAAAATGGGCATGATTTTCCCTATAAAAGAATTAATAACTAGGTGGTTTTCTGCGTTTTGTGCGGATAAATCACTTTTAATATTATTAATACATTAATTCTGATATAAATATAATAAATTAATTATACTAAAATTTTGTGTATAAGAAAAAAAGAAAATTATTTTCATACAATTTGAAAATTATTCTTATAAAATTAGAGTATTATAAAAACATCAAAATAAATAAAAATTCCAATAACTTGTCAATTTTCTATGAATTTTTGTTTTATCAAATTCAAAGAAAACAAACAAATAACAAAATATCAAAATTTATATGAACTAACCTAAATTTAAAAAATGATATGAAATAAAGTAGCAAATACATTACACTATTTATAGGAATAAAAATTTGGGGTTTATACCATCTTTTTTTTATAATCCGACAAATATAGATACATTTTTATATTTACAAATAAAATAAAAATATCATTTTTGAATTAATCTAAATCAAGATATAACCATAAATATATATATATATTCAATTTATTAAGATTAATTACTTTTTCGACAAAACTACTTAAAATATATTAATTTTTGTTATTTAGTATAATTGTTTTTAAACCAAACTTATTAAACATAATAATTTTCACATACAGTCTAATTTGCTTTTTAATTAATGATATGATGTTCTTGTTTTTTGAGTTTTAGTTTTCTCTAATGATTATAAGTTTTACAATTCAACAATAGTTGAAGTAAACCAAAGAAAAACATAAATCAAACAAACCTCATTGGAACCATAAAAAAAAACTGAATTTGGGGAAGATGTATTCCTAAAATAACGAAACTTAAGAGTGGCAATCAGATTTTGATATCCATGCTAATTGTTTAAAATCAGAGAGAACAAAATAAATAACCCGATCAAGAAACCAAAATTTTATATATATTTTTTTAACTATATAGTTAATTACACTTCCTGATAAAAAATAAGGCTATTTTCCTATCTTTCCTCTCAATCTTGCACTTATGAGAAAAACCTTCTCATTACGATAGATTAATGGAGCTATGCTCTGCATCCAAAAAGTAGTAATTCCCTTCCACTTTGAATCTCACTAACAGCATTTACGTGTCTCGATAACGTATGTCTGAGAATTTCAGTGTCTTTGGGGTAAATGTGGCAAGCCAAGTCATCATATCAACCTCAAAAGTGTCTGAATCGGATTGCCACCTCAGCTTGGAGGCAACCACATCTTTCATGATCATGTTCGATGCCTGGAAAGTGATGACTGACCAAATGAAACAGAGAGAATTAATTAGAAAGTGAGTAAAAAATAATAAGAAACAAAGAAACAAATCACAATTTCACTTGCATGCTCCACCGATTTTTTCCACATTCTGTTTGACATTCCATTCCCAAATAATGGAAAACACACATTTTAAATCACAAAATCTGTTTAGAATCAAGTTTATGCGAGAAAACATCATGAATAACGAATAACCATGAAATCAAAAGAGCAAAACACACATTAAAAAACAGTCATGATCAAACAAAACACAGTGCAAAGGTATTGAACATAAATCAAACACTCACTAATTATATTTTTTTGTGAGTAAAGAACTATCCCACCATGCAACCTAAAAAAAGATTTCAGATCAGATAATATAGTTTGAGTCGGGATTATGCGAATAAAGATTACAAAACGTCAACTAATGATTAATTGATTAGTGATTTGTTAGTATCTGCCCTTGACACTTAACTTTTAACAACTCTGTTTAATGGAGAGATAAAGAACGTAAACTGAAGTTCGAGGAAGAGAGGCGCGAAGATTAGCAGCAAATCAAGTGAGAGGCCTTTCTTTACAAAATAAGAAATTCAAATCAGATTTGAATTTTTATACTAATTTAAAAACTTCATTATAGAACATGATGATATAATTGCAAACAGAATCTTTTTAAATTATAAATACTAAGATGAACTCACATAAAGAAAAACCAAATTAAATACTCACGATGATATAATACAACTTTTGTCAGAGCAAAGCGAAAGAAATATCATAATATAGAAATAAATGAAGATTAAAAGAAAGCAATGAACTAAATATATGAAAAAACATAGAAAGTAAACATTATCTGATGCTTCCAAGAGTGGAAGATATCAACAGACAATAGGGAAACGAAATAACATAATAGATAATAGATTGGTAATCGAAACATAATGATCAAGCCTAAGCGGGGAGAGATATAAAGTAGTAAATACCTTTTATGCAAATTACTTCAGCTTCATTCCTCATATTCTTCCTATTCAGCTTCTTTTTCGATTGGCTATAGATTAGATCAAACTAAACAAACAAATACAGACTCTCAAACAAATTTGAATCACTTTTCGAAAGTTTTTCCTTCCGATTCTTTTTCTCTCTATGTTCTCGACACCTAATCAAAAAGTTCAGTAAAACAAAACACATGATTCGGAACCACTACGACCAAAACCTTTAAACAAAAAGTTGAAGGCACACCAAAATTTTAAACCAAACACACGAAACAACAAAACCATAATTAAAGATTACAAGAAAATAAATAAGACGGATTATCATAGCCATGTTACATAAACACGGCTGTCTTCCCAAGAAACACAACGGCCAAACCATAGATATAACATAAATACTCAAACAGGTCGGAGGCATTTATATATAATTTATAATCTAAGGTTTTATAATCTAGGGTTTTAGTAAACATAATGGCCCAAGTCACATATCATTTATCGATCCATTGAAACATACCAAACCATATCGATATTAAATAATACAAAACCGCTTCAAAACCAAACCAATCGCATAGTTTAATTTAATTAATAATTTTATTAAAGATTGTTAAAGTAAATTAAAATGAGGGAAAGTAGTGTGACCTAAAGATTCTAAATAAAAATATTTTATAATGTTGAATGGGTGAGAGATTATTTAGGGCTTCTATGTTATCGACATATGATATAGATTATTTGATGATTTTTATAATTTTCATAATTTTTATTAAAAGTATTAATTTTTATTAAGGGTAATTGAAGTCTTTTCATATGAGGGGCAAAAAGTAATCAACCACAATAACTCTCAACCACAGCCCAACTTGCTTGCCAATTAATAATATGATAATCGTCATGAAATAAAATCTAATGAAAAAAAAAAAAAAAACAAAATTACAACGTTTTCGCTGTTGACAAAATAAAGATTGTTGTCTCCTTCCTATATTTGACCATGCCAGTGATTAATGTTCATATGGCCATAACCCATAACCTTGAAAGGCGTCAAAGAATAGAGTCAGTTAAGTCAGTTGAGAAACTGTTCTGAGTTCAGTTAAATAGCTCATCACATGATTCACATTCAACAGTGACAGCTCATAATAAAACAAAACAAAAGAAGAAGAAAAAACAAAAACAAAAAACCGTTGTTTGGTTTTAGGGATTGGGGGGAAAGGTTGCTGTGACGTCTCTCTCTCCCTATCTCCTTAACCGAAACGGCATGCATTTCTTCCTTCTTTAACTTCCTTTCTCCATTCCTTCACGACAACACGAAATAACTCATCACAATTTGTCATTCTGATGTTTGACCAAACAAATTTATTTAGCAAAAAAAAGAAAAAGTGACAAAAACCCAAACCCAAAAACGGTTAAGAATTAAGGGATAAAAGCGTCTTTTTCATCTTTCCTCCATATTCTTCTCCTGATTTTCCTCTTCTTCTCTTTTCTGGTATATGAACAAGTTCTGAGCTGTGACCATTAGACCAACAGCAGTCTTTACATCTCCTTTTACTTCTCTTTCTTGTTGTCTTTTCTTTTCCCTTCCTGTTTCAAATTCCTAATTCTTGATTTTGGCTTCAGAAACCGGCATTCGCATTCACATTCGCCATCATTTGCTCTGCCTCGGCTTGCTCTTCAGGTAAGTCTTTGGTCTAATTCTTACTTTTTCATTTCCTGTAGAACAGAAACACATTATTAGCTTTGGTTATATAGAACTTCTGTAAACAGTTCTCTCATTATATGAACAAGTAACCACCATAAGGATGATGAGAAGAAGACAGACTTAGGACATGACAAGCCCTGTTCATTTTCATTCCTACAATTAGTAAATAGCACCAAACTTTGACATAGATTTTTGAGTATACACCAAGTTAAAGCAAATTCAGGAAAAGCCAAATTATATTTTAATTTTTCTCACATTTATTTACATCTAAGAATCTAGTGATCTTTTTTAAATGGTAAAGGCTTGAGTACACGACTGCCTCTTCTTTTGTATCTGTAGCTATTTCTGTTTTGAGTTGCTTGTTTTGAATAATTATGACGATGGAACTCTTTATTAAAGATAACTGATTTTGGATTTAGAAGAAGAAGACGACTTTTGAGTACTTCTTACCTTCCATAACTCTCATCTCTGAACTCCTTTCATGAATTGACGTTCATTGGTTCTAAATTCTGTAAAGTCACCTTGCATATTCGAATACTTTTCGTTTTCTGATCATTTTGCATAAACGCTACCATTGTCACAGGTGCATAGGCCAAAAAAGACAGGTGTAAATCAAAAGCCTGTTCTGTCAGAGAAAAACATACATATGAATAACCAAGGAAGTCAGAATGTTGCAACTTGCAAGCCGGTCACTACATTTGTCCAAACTGACACCAATACTTTCAGAGAAATCGTGCAGCGCTTGACAGGCCCATCAGAGAACACTGCTGCACCAGTTCCAGAAGCAACAGTGATAAAAATGGCTACGCAAAAGCGGCCGACTTCTAAGCTCCACGAGAGAAGGCAGTGTATGAGGCCAAAGCTTGAAATTGTCAAACCTCCCCTAAGCTTTAAGCCCACTGGTACGACACCATCATCTAAATCTGGTAATACCAACCTTTTAACAAGTCCAGTGGGCACCCCTTCTTCATTGTTCTCTAACTTGTCCTTGATAGAAGGGGAGAAAGCAGAGCCAGATAGTTGTACAACAAACGTCGAAGAAGAGGAGAGAGCCATCAAAGAAAGACGCTTTTACTTACATCCATCTCCAAGGTCTAAGCCTGGGTATACAGAACCAGAATTGCTTACTCTGTTTCCTTTATCATCTCCCAATTCGAGTGGCAGACCATAAACTCGACAGATTAATCATAAGCTTGTCCACTGTTTACTATCCCAAAGATCATGTACATGTAGCGTTTCACAATTTAATATCCTTGAAAGAGAGAGGCTGTTCGCTTACATTGTCTCAATCAAGATCTGTCTCTGTCACATTTCTGCAATGTTTTTGTGTAGACCACTGTGATCTAGCTTTGCAGCGTTTCGCAATTTTCATCGATTAAAACGCCACTGGCTCTTTCATCTGAAGATATAAAGCGTTTAGTAAGTCGAACATACTGTTTCTCAGAGGGTGAGAACAATCTCCAGACATAAAGACATTCATTTTCCCATCCACTTCAAACCAGCTACATCCTACTGGTTTTTTCATTTCCTTCTTCTTCATTAGGTTTCTCAGCACCATCACGCCTTCCCATTTAGCATCTGCAGCATACATGTTAGACACTAGCACGTAGTTCCCGGTGTCTTCAGATTCGGCTTGCAAAAGATGATTTGCAACTGAGCGTCCCAGATCCATCCTATTATATGTTGTACACGCCCTTAACAGTGTTCCCCATATATTTGCATTAGGTTCAACTGGCATCTGTGTGACGAAAGAATATGCATCATCAAGTCGACCCCCACGAGCAAGTAGATCTACAACAGAAGCATACTGTTCCATTGTAGGTTTCATACCGTAAACCGTCCTTACTGAGTCGAATATTTGCAGTCCATCTTGTATTAATCCAGCATGACAGCACGCAGTCAACAGAGTAGTTATGAAAACATGATCGGGCTTGATCCCTAAGTCCATCATATGAGAGTAGATCATAAGTGCTTCCTTACCCATACCATGTACAGCATATCCAGCTATCATAGCAGTGAACATAACTAGATCTCTATAAACATCTGACTGGAAAACAGAATACGCATTCTTCAAGCTGCCACATTTCGCATATACATCTAGTAGAGTCCCCTTCAGGCGGATATCACCAAGTCCGCCCCTAATAATATATCCATGGCATTGTCTTACTAGATGCAGAGAGGCTATCTGCGCACAAACAGGAAGGAGACTCATGATAGTCACAGTGTTAGGCCTCATTCCTCGAGCTTGTACCTTACGGAATACACCAATGGCTTCATTAGGACAACAACTTTCAGCATAGATACGAACCATCAAACTCCAAGTGGTGAGATCAGTATTAGACATCTCACTGAAAAGAATCTGAGCATCATCATGACTTCCACTATTAACATATCCTGATAACATTGAGTTATAGGTAACCAAAGTTCTCCTCTTTGATAAACCCAGAAAAATCTTATGAGCGTATTCTACATTACCACATTTGGCATATGCGTCAAGCAATGCATTGCCAAGCCTGGGTTCATTTTCATCGTGTAAATGACCGGTCTTAACTGAGTAACCATGAACTTCTTTTACTTTACCAACTCCCAGTACACTTGTGCAGAATTTGACTATGCTTAAAATAGTAACAGAGTCAGGAATGAATGCTTCATTATATAAGCGGCGCAAGAGGTTCATAAACTGAGAACGTTTTGGAGTGTCTGCAAAGGCATCAAGTATAGCATTCCAAGATATTATATCCTTCTTGGATATCAGTGAAAAGGCCCAATATGCTGCACTTGTGTCACCAAATCTTGCGTAGAAACTAATGAGAGCATTCCCAACTGATGTATCCTCCAAGAGGTAAGAATGGTGCAAAACATAACCGTGGATCTCTTTGCCAACGGTCAACTTATTTAACTGCGCACAGACAGGAAGGATGCTGACGATAGTTACCGAATCAGGAGAAACTTCTCCCATATGCACCAATTTTTGAAATACATGCAAGGCTTTAAACCACTCACAGTTTGATGCATAACCGGCAATGACAACGTTCCATGTAACCAGATCTTTGGAACCCATCCCCGTGAACAATGAAGCTGCTTCTCCTATCCTTCCGACTCTCAAATAGAAACTCACAAGAGAATTGCATACATTAACATGAGTCTGCAACCAAGACCTCTGCACAACATAACCATGAATCTGCCGACCACTTCGATATGCAATGTTCTTGTCCATAGAAGCACAAACTGGCAAAACATTCGCAATCGTTGCATAATTCGGCTCTGTAGATTCCTTCAGCATCAGAGAAAACGATCTAAGTGCATCGGCCTTCATGTTGTTCTCAGAAAACCCAGCGATAAACGCATTCCACGAGACAACATCTTTGTCAGCTATACTATCAAACGCAGTATACGCATCAGGGAAAACAAGCCCGGATTTGGCATACATGGAAACAAGAGCATTCCCCACAAGTGTATCTTTTTCCAACCCGATTTTAATGATATAAGAATGCAAAATCTTCCCACTGTATGAATCCCCAAGGCGAACACACACAGGAAGAACAATCGCAAAGGTAACGGAGCTGGGCTTAGGCTCGCCTGCAAAGCGCATTGCTTTGAAAAACCTCACCGTCTCATGAGCACAAGAATGCGAGAGTCCGGTGAGAACAATATTCCAGACGACAGGATCAACACTGTTCATTTGCCTGAACATCTTCTGGCAATCATCCATCCTCCTGCATTTGGCATACATGTTAAGAAACGATTTCGAAACCTCGTTGCAGGCCATATGACCAAGCTTCGCTAAGCAGCCGTGCAGAGCACTCCCTGATGTGAGCTGAGACACTGAAGCGCAAGCTTTGACAACATCCGAAAACACTCTGTGATCAATTCCAAAACCAGACAAAGTTCGAAAATTCTGAGAAAATTGCCGTAACACTTCCATCTTTCCCTAATATATATTAGCAACTGGCGTTTATCAAGAAACCCCGCGCCATAGACCTTGGATCAGATATTTCCACAAACACCTGATGTGCAAGAACGATTTCCTTCCAAAACGATCAAAGTATAAGCGTTGCACATATGTGACACAGTGACAGAGACATAGAGAAACTAGAAGAAAAACATAATCTTTATCTAGTTCCAATTTTCAAGCAATCAAGCTGTCGTCGCTCAGTCTCCGTCTGCGCATAAAAAAGAAAGCGAGTGGAGTGGATTAAACTGTGAAGGGACTATTCCGATTATAATTAAAACTAACGGGGTAACTAAGAATATAACAAATTATCTAGGTCCTCACGTGAAAATATACTATTCTTTTTGAATAATTTTGAGAAAAAAGCTCCATAAGAGTATCTCTCTCCTCAACTCTGCTTTCCCCCATCGCGTCCAGTAAAGTTATATCAGCTTTGATTCGGCAGTGACGAAAGCATATTTTCTGCGACTATGGCGGCGCCGGCAGGTGAAACAGTGGCCGTGGCCGAGGCGGCGGGCGGTGATGGCCAGCCGCAGGAGCAGCGACGACAAGCTGGTGGGTTCGGGCAGACTATGACCGGAATCATTAGAATCGCCGTCTTCTGCTACTTTGCTTCCAAGTTCTTTTCCCCGAAACAAAAACCTGCGGATCCTTCTCAGCCATCTCAGCCTTCTCATATGATGTCCAATCTCTTTCAGAAGGGCGAGCCTTTGGTAATTGTCTCTGATTATTTGATTGGTTTCGCCTTGTCGCTTGAAACAAAAATACGTTTCTTTTTGAGCTCGAATCACACAATTTTTTTATTGTCAGAGTTTCTTCTTCACTTCGGGGTGGTTGAAACTTAATAAGTTTTGTTAAGAAAATTAGAAGAAACATATCGAAGACAGTGTTTTGCTGATCATTGAATAATTGAAAGCGAAAATTGTTTGGTTATGATTCTTAAATGCTAACCATTCTTTTGAAAAATCCAGGATATGTGGTTGTATCTTTCGGAGCATGATCAATTTAATGACTTTGGCAATGATGGTGCGCTTGTTTGGCACGAGACAAACATTCCTTATGTTGTGTGGAAGCCAGAGAGCACTAGGACCTTATCAATGAAGTATTACCCATCCGAGGTAGCTAGATATTTCGTTTGGTTCCTTCGACATTGATTAAATATTAGTGTCCGTTGAGTTAAAGATGTCTGTTGTTCCAGGCACTGAAGAATAATGGAAGTCTGTATGCTCATGTCTTCTTTGCTCGATCTGGTTTTCCTATAGATCCTAGCGATCCTGAATATCAACCTCTTAATTGTTTTAGCAGAACACACCGTAAGACTTCTCTTTCCTTGGAGAAAACAAAACTTCCTTTTAACAGTTGTTGATAGTTAGAAGATTCATGTATTCACTAAATTGGACGACTCTTTTCATTGCTTTCAGCGGTTGCGACTTACTTTCCAAAGCGAAAGGCAGACAAGAAGAAGAGTCTGTTGGGAAATCCTAAGGACTCTGCTGAATCCAATGCCGAAGTTGAGGTGTGCATCTACGAAACTTTTGCATATGCTTTTTATGTACTATTTGTCCTGTAATGAAGCCTGCCGCTATGGCACACATTCTTATGAACTAACAACACCAAAGCAGACTTCGCAGGAGGTTGATGTTCATGACTCGGATCTCAAGGATGAGGGCCCTGTGGAATGGATATCCTACTGGAAACCTAATGTCACAATTAACCTAGTCGATGACTTTACTCGGTAAGTTGGTAGATGAATAATGGATTTATGGCCTACTTTCTTTTCTTTTGGCCTCAGTCAAAAATGAATATCATAAAGACGTTTTCTAATTGTTTTCAGTTTCCTTACAGCTATCCACAGCATGGTGTACCACCAAACATTGCTCCTTGTATCCTTCAATTTCTTTAAGGATGGCGTGTTTATTATTGTTCGGGTTTTTAAAAACTCTCTATGCACATGAGTTGGATTAAACTCGTATTGAAAAAAGATTCTTTGCTTTCCTTAACTTTATTGGCAGACATGCAGGTAGAACCTACTACTGTAAACTACTACCCTACGGTTTTCTTCAATGAGTTTTGGCTGCTGAGGGACAAGCTGATTGCAATCAATGAGACAGTCTCAGAACTACCACTTAACCTGGAAGTAAGCCCCATAAGCATGACAAAGTGGCAGCTATTTGAGCAGATTGATCAGTCTTTCCAAATTCATCGTAGCTATGGAAGCATGCTCGATGGTGAATCTGACGAACTAAAGGTAATTCTGGTCCTCTATGCTCGGTTAGCTTCATAATCTGTCTTGTTATAGACTAAGATGTGCATCTAGCGGCTTTTATCTATGAATCCAGAAAGTAGGTAGAGAGATGTAATTGGATTTGAGCGTGATTTTGTTTTATTTTTGTTGTGACTAACTTAAAAACTTACTTGCAGAGGGTGTTTTTGGAAGGAAATCCCTATCTGTTGTGCGTCACAATGTTTGTTTCGATGCTGCATTCTGTTTTTGACTTCCTTGCTTTCAAAAATGGTAAACACCAAATAGAAGAACAGCTACTATCCTGAAATGCTTCTTGAAATCAGCTATCTAATTATCTGATGCTTTCCCTTGCAGATATCCAGTTTTGGAACAAGAACAAATCTATGGAAGGACTGTCTGCAAAGTCTGTTGTACTGAACTTTATCTGTCAGTTCATCATCTTCCTCTACCTGCTTGACAACGACACTTCATGGATGATACTTGCTAGTTCTGGAGTTGGTGTCTGCATTGAGTTCTGGAAAATAGGGAAAGCCATGCGCATAGAGGTACATCTAATATTACATACAATCTTGTTAACCATTAAATTAGAAAAATCAGCAAGCGACACTTTCAATCTGGTATTTTGCTTTGCATATATTGAAACTGTGGCAAATTTTTCAACTTCCCAGGTTGATCGAAGTGGAATGATTCCAAGATTGAGGTTCCACGATCGTGAATCATATGCAAGCAACAAGACTAAGGAGTATGATGATATCGCCATTAAATTCTTATCCTATGTGCTTCTCCTTCTTGTCGCGGGCTTCTCCATATATTCACTCGCCTATGAACGCCACAAGAGCTGGTACTCGTGGATCCTATCTTCACTAACGAGCTGCGTCTACATGTTTGGTAAAAAAGCCTTCAAAATTCTGTTACACGAGCTCAAAACTCTCTTGTGATTGATTTGAAACCAATGTGTTCTGTGTTTTTGCAGGTTTCATAATGATGTGCCCTCAATTGTTCATCAACTATAAGCTCAAGTCAGTAGCACATCTACCATGGAGGCAAATGACATATAAGTTCCTCAACACCATCATCGACGATCTCTTTGCTTTTGTCATCAAAATGCCAATGCTGCATCGCCTTTCTGTCTTCCGTGATGGTAAATACAAATCAATCTTTCCGCTGATATTGGTGTCTCTTAAGATGGTTTTGGAATTGACAAAAGTTGATGATGATCTAATTTTTGGTGGTGTTGTTGCAGATGTGATATTCTTGATATACTTGTACCAGAGATGGGTTTATCCTGTGGACAAAACACGTGTCAACGAGTTTGGTTTTGGAGGTGAGGATGAGTCTGCGGATACGGAGAAGAAGATCACTGAGCAAGACAAGAAAACAAACTAATATAAGCTTTTCGGTTTTGTTTTTTCTAAACAACTTTAACTCTTTTTCTGTTCTGCTTTAGGAAGTTCCGTTAATGCCATATAAAATGTCCAAAATAAATTTTGTTTTAGGTTATATATTAAGATAAGTTATATTCTCTTTCATTTTCGATTTATTGGACGTTTCACGTAAAAGTTGTGAGAAATTCTGGATATGTTCTTGTAATTATGAAATATTGAGGATGTTTTTTCAATATTGGAATATTATGTTGACCGATATCTATATTACATGGGCCGTAGCCTTCGTCTTTTCGAAGCCCATACGTGAACGTCACCGGTTGGTTATATGACAGAACCCGTCAAGTCCAATAACACCCAAAAATATATACACTGATTACGACGCGTTACTAACACGCGCGAAGAGTGTGCGCGTGGGAATGAATCAGATCAAACAACTCCACGCGCGCTGTCTCAGAACTGGAGTCGACGAAACCAAAGATCTCTTGCAACGATTGCTTCAGATTCCTAATATTGTTTATGCCCGAAGACTGTTTGATCTTCACCGAAACCCTTGTATCTTCCTATACAACAAGCTAATTCAAGCTTACTCTGTTATTGGCCAGCCCCATGAATCTGTCGTCCTCTTCAATCTCCTCTCCTTCGATGGCCTCCGACCAAATCACCACACTTTCAACTTCATTTTCGCAGCTTCTGCTTCAATTTCGTCAGTTGGACCTTTACGGATGCTTCACTCGCAGTTTTTTAGATCGGGGTTTGAGTCCGATTCCTTCTGCTGCACCGCTCTAGTCACTGCCTATGCGAAGCTAGGAGCATTGTGTTGTGCGCGCCGGGTGTTCGACGAAATGTCTAACCGAGATGTACCAGTGTGGAATGCAATGATCACGGGTTACAAAAGGCAAGGTGATATGGAGGCGGCGATGCAATTGTTTGATTCAATGCCTTGTAAGAACGTGATCTCGTGGACCACTATTATATCTGGGTTTTCTCAGAATGGGAATTACTCTAAAGCTTTAACGATGTTTTTGTGTATGGAGAAAGACAAATCTGTGAAACCGAACCATATTACTATCACTAGTGTTCTCCCCGCTTGTGCGAATCTTGAGGCATTGGAGATTGGCCGGAGATTGGAAGGCTATGCTAGAGAGAACGGCTTCTTTGATAACATTTACGTGAGTAATGCTACACTAGAGATGTACTCAAAATGTGGATTGATTGACGCAGCGAAACGGATTTTTGATGAAATTGGAAACCAGAGAAATTTGTGCTCATGGAACTCAATGATCAGTAGCCTAGCCGCTCACGGGAAACACGACGAAGCTCTTGAGCTTTATGCCCAAATGTTGGTGAGCATTTTATTTTGTTTCTTCAGTTCAAAGCATGTTGATTCTTTTGTTTTTGTAAGAGTCTTTAGTTACACAATGTTTTTCTGTTGGTACTTCAGCGAGAAAGAGAAAAACCAGATGCAGTGACATTTGTTGGGTTGCTGCTAGCTTGTGTTCATGGTGGGATGGTGGTGAAGGGCAAAGAATTGTTCAAGTCCATGGAGGAAGTCCACAAGATTTCTCCAAAGCTAGAGCACTACGGATGCATGATTGATCTCTTGGGGCGTGTTGGGCAGCTGCAAGAAGCCTATGATCTCATCAAAACAATGCCGATGAAGCCAGATGCTGTCGTTTGGGGAACCCTTTTGGGAGCTTGCAGTTTCCATGGAAAGGTTGAGATAGCAGAGATAGCAAGCGAGGCACTGTTCAAGCTTGAACCTTCAAATCCAGGTAACTGTGTGATCATGTCGAATATCTACGCTGCGAATAAGAAGTGGGATGGGGTTTTGAGGATGAGGAAGATGATGAAGAAGGAAACGATGACCAAGTTTGCTGGATATAGCTATCTTGTGGAAGAAGGAGTTGAAGTTCATAACTTCACTGTAGAAGATAAATCACACCCAAGATCTTATGAGATCTATCAGGTTCTTGATGAGATCTCCCGGAGAATAAAACCAGAGAAGAGTTACTTTGACTCTCTAGTCCAGCATGAACAAGTACAACTATGCATACGGTCGTAGAGATTTTGTTTTTCTGTCACTGTCCAAAAATATGATTGAATCTATTGTATTTTATGTGATATTGGTGTATTTTCACAATTTGATATTCAGTTTCATATCGAATTATTTGGTATACACAATCTCCACTTGAACCAAACCGAAACTACACATTACACAACAAAGTTTCCCAAAGGTGAAACTATGTAAAGATGTAGCTTTGTTTAAGTCTTTAAGCCTCGGCACATTAGCTTTTCCTGTGTTCACATACAAAAAGAAAGTTATTTGTGCTTCACGTGTCTGAAACTAATCATATGATGTTTAATATCTTATTCGAACCTCATAAAATCCCCCACAAACTAAGTAATAAAAAAACTCACTCAAGGAACAAGCTTGAATATTCACTAAATCCTTTACACATTCTTCTTACACCTAAAACGAAGAGCACTGCCGCAACACACGTGTTTTTGGGTTACCTATGAGCCGTTGGTGTACGCGGCATGGTGTACGGCATTTGACCGATGTTCATTGGTGCACCAGGAACCACTGAGCTAGGGACTGGAGCAGCATGGACTCCAAAAGTCATGCGAGGTGGAGCCGGAAGGTTCACTGGTATTCCGACTGCTGAGACCAGTGCTCCACCCACCGGTTGACCTATGGTGGGTGTTCCATACATAGGAGGTCCTGGTGGTGGTTGAGACGCGGCTTGCTTGGCTGATTTGTTTCCTTCTCCAGCAACAGCAGCAGAACCGGCGTTGTTGTTGTTGTTGTTGTTGTTGTTGTTGTTGTTGTTGTTGTTCTGACCAGTGATTGGTCCTTGTGGCGTTGAGACATCTGCGTTGCCAACACTAGTGATGTCGTGAATGCTTGATCGTCTTCTGTCTTTGTTCATTGAGTTTAGACGAATGAAATACTTTTGAGCATGGCTCGCGACTTGGGTGGGTGTTCTTGTTACCACAAAGTTACGAGAAATGCTACGCCAATCACCTTTCCCGTACTTATCCAAACCAAGAAGAAATAACCTGTAACACAGAAAAGACAGAGAATATTATTAGTTCACCAGAATCATTGCACAACCAAAAGGGCCCAATCTTCCGGGCTATAGTATCAATTATCAAACATGAAAGCACATAAAATCCTGCTAACAGAACCAGTCTAAAACCAACAGCAGGTAACCACATTAAAGATCTTGTATCTGCCATCCACGGCTAATCAGACAAATTAGTAAAAATTAAACTCTCACAGCAAGACTTGTAGACAATAAATATAAACTTCACTGTTGCACATCAATTTCGAATTTTTTGTTTTGCAAAGCAGTCCGGTTATAAATTTTATGCCACAGATCTTAACTATATAATCAAGTCTAGTTCTACGCTTATCTACCCTTTAAATATCCCAAAACCATTAGCGTTTTCAAGAGAGTAAAATGAAGACTAAACATTAGAGAAAAGATGGTCAGACTAACTATCATTTTCTCAAGGTTTCAGCATGATAAACAGCATCTAGCTTCAACAAGTGGAGAAATTGAAAAGATGGTCAAAATGGTCCCGGGGATTAGATAGCAACTTCCCATAATCTCTAACATAGTGGATGTAATGATATAGCAGCTAGGACATGGAGATAATGAGAATTTATGACCAACAGTTTTCTCTGTCCCATGCCAAGTTATCATTTCAATAAAATCAGAGCCTCTTGAAACTATTACGAAACCATAATCAATCCTTCCACTTTCTCCATAGAGTTACCTTGGGTAAAACCAAAATCAATCCTTATACTTTCTCCATAGGGGAGACCAAGAACCTAAGAGTTCCAATTAAGGTCTTGCTTCTAAGAGCACATTATGACTTCAAAAACACTAACTTCCTAAAGGTTAAATTAATGACATCCAAGGGTAACTAAAATGGTCACCTAGAGCGATAAGATCTATGTTCTAGAACACAAAGGAGCACAGAAACAGCAATAAGCAGCAGAGCATAAATAAACAAAGATCACCTGTGCTCTTCCTCTGTCCACGCAATACCCTTTCGTCGTTCTTGATCTGACTTTGCTTTACTTCCCTGGTTAGACTCGCCCGCATGACTGTTTCCTCCTTTCTTACTGCTTCCCCCTTCTTCACCAGCATGGCCATTCGATCCTTCGGGAGAACCATAGGCAGGAAGTGGCACACATCCCGATTCGATCCTACTAACATCTTCAACTAAAATCTCGTAATGTTGTTTAATCTGTTCAACACTTTTTCCTGGAACATCTGCAGCAATCTTCTCCCACCGTTCCTCGGATTCATCGGTGTAGCTCGCAAGAGCTCTCTCGAACGCAATATCATCCTCCCTACTCCACGCGCAACCATCACTAACTTCCTCCACAGTCATTTTCCCAATTAAACCTACCCAAAATTCGACAGAATTTACCCTAATCTCTCTCCAAAATCTGGGATATCAACCAGACTTCTGCAAATTTCTCAACTTTAACGAATTCCTCAGACCCGCAACTAAATCACACTTATCAACAGAACAGAAAGACAAACTTGATAGACTCCGAAGTAAACCAAAGCTGAGAAACACACCGAGAACTCAGATCTTCCAAGTATCACTGACCCTAGGACTTCGAATCAGAACTGCCTTCGGGAATCGAGAGAAAACCCTCGGGGGGTTACGTAGGAAGACGAATCGGGAAGGGAATATCTCTCTTCCTCCACAAAATCAAATTCCCTAAAAATAAGGGAAATAAACCCTGCAAGTATCTTTGCCTTACGCTACTGAGGAACTAAGACAGCGCACCGAAGAGAGGGGTTTATCTTATTCTTAAGAAACAGAAGCACGAAGAGATATCGGCGAGCCAAAGCAACATGGAGATTGAAACGCGGAAAATGAGGATATTGGCAGGAAAAAAGGTTGCAACTTTGTAAGAAGAGAAATTAAGGGTTTCTAGGGATTGCGCCAAGTTGAAGGAGAGAGGGATGGGGAAAAACCCAGAAGAAGGAGAGAGAAGGAGAGGTCAAAACGCCATTGTTAAAGAAAACAGTGATAACCATAAGCGCCCACACATTGATAGCAACAGTTTTCACAGCTCAGGCCCGCTGTTATTTACTTCTTTTTTTATTTTCTTTTGCCTTATTTTCTCACTTAAATTTTGTTGTTGTTTGATTTTGTCTTTTTATTTTGGTAAGTATATATTCATTAATTTTTATTCACCAGATTATACCAACTATATTTTAATAATGAAAAACCGTTAATCTTGGACATAATGTGAATAACATGTTACATTTTCCTCTACTTTCATAATGCTTTAGCATGTGCCAAGATATTTTATTTAGTGACATTTGGGGTCTTTGGCAATCATTGATACATAATAATTATTGTACTGACATGTAATTTTTTTGATCATAAGACAACAAATGAATTACAAACTATTTGTAAAAAATTTCAATCAGATTAGCACTAATTTATTGATACAGTAGTTTAAACAATATTTCTGTGATTAAAACAAAAACAATTGAAGCTCAGATACGAAAGCCCCGTTTAAATAACTAAAAAAACGACGCTTTTCCAACAACAACAAACAAACTATCCGGTTTATGCAAATTAGTTCTATATCATTTTTATGAGGACACTTCTTGATATATATATATATATATATACTTTGCTTTATACAACTTGTTGATCTCGTAATATCATCGAATAATGAAAGAAAATGGAAAATGGAAAAAGAAATAAAGTGGAGAGGTGGACAAAGAAGTTAGGGAAGATGTTGACGTCTTATCCATAAATATCCACCAAAAAGATCCAATCAGACCGGTCCCCTTCCCTACTTGTCCCATCAGTTCACAGGTCTGTGTACATTTATCTTTTCCCTTTTCTTTTTTTTTTTCGATTTCAAAGCGAATATATATTATCACTTCCATTTTTATAAAAATATATTCCATTGAGGAAACACCTAAAAATTATGGGTGGTTACTCTTTTTATCATAAAGATGCTAAAACAAGGAGAAAACAAAAACGCATTACACTCTTGCTTTTGAGGGAACAAGTCAGTCACACATAGATGTAGATTCTAGCCAATTAGCTACTCCTAGATTTAGATTCCAGCAATTGCTACTAACCACAATTTGGTTATACATTACAAAACCGAAAACCATCAAAATACATAAACAACGATACAAATTTAACTATTCAGCATACCCTATAGATATTCTCCACAATAAGCCAAAAAGAAGCATTGATTATTTAAAACCCAAAAAAGGAGCATCCTTTATTTCAAACATGAAAAGGTTTTGTTTGGTTGTTCTTCCCAAAATGTGCTCTCATAGTCATAAGAAAACAAGCAAGCATTAACGAAAGAAGAGTAAAGTAAAAGAGCACACAGAGCTCTTTCTGATACAACTTGAATAAAGTTTTAACATTAACCATTCAAACAAATACATTACCTTCTTCTCCTTCTGAAGTAGCTTTGTTTGCATCCCAAAAACCCTAATAATGTGCTTTCAGATTTTATTTCCATGGAGAATAATAGCAAAGTTCCCTGCAAAAGGTATAAAGACTACTATTAAGGACCAAAGAACCTATAGATTCAAATACTGACATACAAAAGTCTACCTTTTTTTTTATCGAAACAATCAACTAAGGCTGGGAAAAATCTAGATCTTTGCTTTTAAGTTTGAAACAAGAAATTAGAAGAGAGCAAGGACTGGCGATGCAAACCTGTGGTTAACAAAGGGGTTTTAAGCAGCAGCCTGTAGCAACTCCCTTTCAGCGCGTTCCCTGATCCTTCTCTCCATCTCTGGCCTAAAGTGTCTAATCAGACCTTGCACGGGCCATGCAGCTGCATCACCCAATGCACAGATTGTGTGTCCTTCGATCTGTTTGGTTACCTCGTGAAGCATATCAATCTCTTCCAGCTTCGCATTGCCAACTTTCATCCTCTCCATGATCATCCAAAGCCAACCTGTTCCCTCTCGGCAAGGAGTGCACTGCCCACAGCTTTCGTGCTTGTAGAAGTAAGACAGCCTCGCAATTGCATCCACGACATCGGTTGATTTATCCATCACAATGACAGCTGCAGTTCCTAACCCAGACTGGACAGCCTTGAGCGCATCGAAATCCATCAGCACATCCTCGCAAATGTTCTTAGGAATCAAAGGGACAGAGGAACCTCCAGGAATGATAGCAAGTAAATTGTCCCACCCACCCCTGACACCTCCGCAATGCCTCTCAATCAGCTCCTTGAGAGGTATACTCATCTCCTCTTCGACTGTGCACGACTTGTTCACATGGCCTGATATACAAAACAGCTTTGTCCCAGAGTTGTTCTTCCTGCCGAAACTCGAAAACCACTCAGGTCCACGCCTTAAGATGGTGGGAGAAACAGCCACTGTTTCCACATTGGTAACAGTAGTGGGGCAGCCATATAAACCAGCATTAGCGGGGAACGGAGGCTTCAACCTAGGCTTTCCTTGCTTCCCTTCAAGGCTCTCAAGAAGCGCAGTCTCTTCACCACAAATGTACGCACCGGCGCCAAAGTGGATGTAAACATCGAAATCATAACCAGAACCACATGCATTCTTCCCCAAGAGACCAGCTGCATATGCTTCTCTTCTCGCCTTCTCTAGATTCAAACGTTCGTTCACATATTCACCCCTGATGTAAATATACGCTGCACTGGCTCTCATTCCAACACCAGCGATCAAACACCCTTCCAACAACTTGTGAGGGTCATGACGCATGATTTCCCTGTCTTTACAGGTTCCAGGCTCACTCTCATCAGCGTTGACAACCAAATAGGAAGGACGTCCATCAGATACTTTAGGCATAAAGGACCACTTGAGACCAGAAGGGAAACCAGCACCACCGCGTCCACGAAGGCCGGATTTTTTCATCTCATTGACAATCCAATCAGTACCCTTGAGTACCAAATCTTTGGTCCTATGCCAATCACCCCTCTTCATCGCACCTTTGAGAAAGGGGTCGTGTAGACCATAGAGGTTGGTAAAGATCCGATCTTCATCCTTGAGACCACCGAAATGAGTCTTTTCCGGAGGAGGAGGAGGTGGAGGTGGCTGTGGAGTGGTGGAAGTGGATGCGGCTTGGGTGCTGAATGATCTCAAAGCTGGAGCCAATCTGTTACTTTCCTTCCAAATTGATACTGCCCTCTGCAAGCCGAGAATCCCCCTCACGGGTGCCTGTCATCGAATCCATTTTACATAGAGGTTATATAGCAGAATAGTTCATAGTAACACTACATCTGAAGACATGATCTGGTTCAACGCCCAAAAAAATTGTAACCCGAAATCACTGGAATTGGTAATACAGGAGTGTCAGAGGATGATCTACAAAGTAAAATCTATGTTTCAACATCAGGAAAACCAAAACGTAAGGAAGTGAATTAAACCACACGCTCAAGAAAAATCGGCAATCTAGAAGAAATATGAGCAGATCAAATCAGTCACAACCCGCTAGATCTAAATGAAAAAAAAAAAAGATATCGCATTTTGCAATTATCCAGCTAAAACTTGATATAGATGCAACAAAAAATGAAATCGAGTCTTCAAATTACGAAAACCCTAATATATGCGATCGGGAAAGAAACAAAATAGATGCATAACCTAGAAATGAAAAACGAATATCATCAAAGTGAGTGCTGGGAAGCTTATTGCGTACCATGGATACGGAATATCCGCGACGAAGTCAGAGAGAGAGAGAGTGGTCTTTGTCCCTGAAGCGAGAAGGCCACGCGAATGGGAAGTAGAGGAAGAAGCAACGGAAGGAGTTATAATCCCTGCGCACCTGAGACCGACGAACTCGAGATAAACTGTTTGGTTCTGATTAGTCCGCGTCTTCTTGATGTTAACTTCTCTATTTTGCATGGGCCTTTATTGGGCCTAGCTAAAATACTTTGGGCCGGAATAATTGCATTTAAAAACTAATTTCCTAAATTTCCCGGATCGGCGTTTAACCGCCTCAGGCCGGCGACAAACAGAGGCGGTGGTTAGAGAGATATAGCGAATCGTTTTCTGGTAACTCGAAGCGGGAGTGGAGCAATTTTGATCAACTCGTCCCTTTCGATTACAGGGTAAGTTCCGTCTATCTTTTAATTTGGCGACAATAAGAAATTTGTTAACCCTAAAATTAAAGCGTTCGTTACAAATATTTTCTGATGGTTGATTCGTTGTATTTAGGTTTCGAATTTTGATTCCTCGGGTTAAAGAAGTTCATTGGCTTCCATTGACTCTGCCAATATTGATTTTTCAGATATAGGTCTTCCCTAGATGCGTCTGTTTTCTCTCGTCTTGAAAGGTAGCGAATCATAAGGCATATTATTGTAGAGAATGTTGCTTTGTATAGATATGCTCTCGAACTCGAAGTTACCAAGAAGTATGTGTGTGTTTAGAAGAATCCGGTTTTTCAAGTGTGTGTATATTTGCTTGTCAATCTCTATTTGATTTGTTGCATATTCCTAATGTCATTCTCTGACGACTGCTCTACTTGCAAGCAGGGGATACTGGTGCCTGTAGAAACGCAGGAGAAACATAACAAACTTGGACTTGGAGCAGAGAAACCTAAGAAAACTGAAATGTCTCAGTCTAGATTTCCTCAAAACATTGAAAAAGTCAGTGATGCACATTTGAGTTTTTACCATTCTAATTGTGAAGAATTGTTTGTATATATACATAGTTTGACAATGATGTTGGTGAATTCAGGTGTCGAGTGCTGTGGGAGAGACTGCTGGATCAAGCAGCTCATGGGCTGCAATCAATTCTTCCAACATTGGGTTTCGGGTATTTTTCTTGAGCCGTGTTCTATCTGGGATGTGTTTTTCCCTTAACTTACAATAGTCTATGTGATGCTATACCATTTGTCTAAAATTGGAATATGCAGCTCCTAAAGAAGCAAGGGTGGAAGGAAGGCACTGGTCTTGGAATCGCTGAACAGGTAAATTCCCATGTTCTTGTATCAGTTCTGCTTCCGTCTAGTTCCCTACTGAATATTAGGTTTGTTATATCATCGTCCTTCAACGTCTACAACCTTTTATTAGCCTGCCTACTGAATATTAGTTTTCTCTTGTGTTGTTGTTGTTTATAGGAATCGTGTTCCCTCTGTACTAGTTTCTCTACTCAAGTGTTTTTATTGTCTTTCTAAGCGATTTATCCTCTTTCCAAGCAGGGTATATTGGTGCCTGTGCAAACAGAACCGAAAAATAACAAACGAGGACTGGGAGCTGGAAAAACTATTAAGAGAAAAGCGTCAAAACCTCAGGCTACAGAGTCTGGACACAGCGAAAAGGTATGTTTCTAGTGCACGCATGCTTCTCTCCTCTTTTGTCTCTAAGGCATACGACTTATTTTCTTCTTACTTTGAATTCCAGGATGAAGAAGTCCCAAAGAGAACCAAGAAACTCTCTAAGAAAATGCGGAAGATGATGAAGCACGAAAAACATTTACAGGAAAAGGAATTCGAACGAGCCTTCTTTAGGGAGTTCTGGCCTGATAATGTATGAACAAGGTAGCAATCTTTTTGTTTCTTTTCGACCTTTCATGTTCCAAAAGGTTGTATATGTACTTAGAAATTAGAAGGTCTCTGTTCTTATGCAGCAAAATTAATGAGAATTTGATTGTTTGCGTTTACTGTAATGAACACACAATGTTGGCCATTTTAAACATACAAAAATTGTTAATTCTAAACGTTAACGCTAAACAAAAAGCGAAGGCACGTCTGTCGTTTTTTCGAAGTATGTAAAGTTCAGCATCTGAAACATTATTCCGTTGATTAATCTACTTTTTGAGTTTGACTGCCGACAAACAAAAAACAAAACCTGTATTTGACATTTCGTAAAATGAAAATACCAAAGAATTATGCGACAATGTCAAGCAGAGGTTTTCCTTGTAAGATTCTAATTTCTATGTTCATGTGACTTGCATTGGTTTTGCGCATGCATCTAGCATGATCCCCTACTTTTCTTGTCTGCTGAATTCACTGGTCCGTTGTGTGATTTACTAGGAATTATTTTGTAAACCAATGGGCCTAGTTAAGATAAGCCCATTACTAAGCCCAAATAAACAGAATTATATATCATCATTCTTCAGCTTCGGCGATGAACTCGATAAGCGGCTTCTGTAGAGCTCCGCCGCATTCGAAGCCGTAAACTTCAACCCAATAGCTTCAACAATGGCGTCTCTTCTCCTACCTTCATCTCGACTTCTTCTTCAGAGCCGAAGCCAATACAATGACCAACCCCAGCTTCTTCCTCGCTCCGTCCCCCAAACACCATTTTTCGTTTCTTCACCCTCTCTCCGTCCGTTGAGACCGAGTCGTCTCTCTGTTTCCGCCGCAGCGTCGAAGAAACCATCGGAGTTGTTCACGGAGGCGGCGTCAGACAGCAAAAAGCAGCCGGCGAAGAAGAATTTGAGCGAAGAGGAGGAAGTAGAAGAGGAAGTAGAGGAGGATATGTTGTGGATTCAAGAGAAGGCGTTAGACTTAGTCGAGTTCACTGGATCGGTGACTCAGGCGATTCCAGGACCCCGAGTTGGAAGTAGCAAATTGCCGTGGATGCTCGCCGTGCCGTTGGCCTACGCCGGCGCAACTTTCGTCACTGCCTTCGTCAAAACCGTTAAGAAGTTCTCTTCTCCAAAAGCCCAACGCAAGAAACTGGTCTCTCATTCAATTCTCTGACGCTGTCTTTCTCTCTCTCACTCTTGTGATCCTTTACTTGAAACAAAGAGCTGATTCGATATTGGTTCTTGAATCTCTCCAGGTGAATCAAAACGCAATGCTTTGCAGATCTATAGATGAGCTGTTACAGAAAGAAGGAACACTTCATAGCTCTGAGCTTAAGGCACTTGAAGAAAAGGTGCGTGTGTAATTATATCACATTCAGAATTTTGGTTCGACTTTTCTTTAATCATTCAAATTCAGAATTTGACATGAGAATGCTGGTTTTCTCTACATTCAGACTGAGTTTAACATGGAGGAGATATTGCGGAAATACATTCGTTATGCCTTGAATGAGAAACCGTTCAATCCCGACCTTGTTGCAAATCTCATTCACCTCCGGAGAGCTTCTGGTTTGAATGATTCTCAGATTCCTGAGATTTTAAATGAAATCTCTCGTCGTATTGTCAAAGAAAAAGGTTAAAAGATAACATAACCCGACCTAATGTATAGAGTGAGCGTCTCCATTGTTATAAATATAATCTTATTTATTGCTGTTGGCATATTCTGGATTTTGCAGGTCCTGTTGTGATCAATATGCAAGGGTTTACAGAAAAGGGATTCAAGAGAAAACTCGCCGTGCAGGCGCTATTTGGAAAAATCTACTATCTTTCCGAGGTAACAATGAGTGTGGAAACATTACTTCTACTTGAGAGAATCTGCTTACTCTTTTAACATCTATTATGAGATTTGATCAGTAAGTCAAATATGCGTAGTGTGTTTTTGTCGGTGTGATAGCTTGTTTCTAATAACTATCTCCTCTTTTCAACAGCTTCCTGACTTCTGCTTAAAAGACAACTCCTTGATTGTCAAGGAAATATTCGGAGTTACAGAGTAAGTTGACTCTCAAATTGAGCTTCTTGAAACGGAATAAGAATCTTATGCTTTTGCAACTTTGCCCTTTTCTACAAAAATTTCAGCGAAGACGCAGAGAAGCTGCGGGTACACGCGCTTTCTGAAGCTGGAGACCTAGACTCACTTGAGAAAATGGTGGAATTTGAGAAAGCAGCTGATTCTTCTTCGGATAAAGAAGATTCAAATGAAGAAGACGACTCTAATACTACTCGTTAAGATATCTGCTAAACACTAATAAGATTTTTCCAAGGGGGTTGTTCTTCTTCTGTTGTTTGACTTAATCACAAGTTGTTCATAGCAGAAAGACGTTTGCTTCCAACAAAAGAAATTGTCATCTGCCATAAAGCATGACAGCTTGTAAAAGAAGTTTACTGCATCTAAAATGCAGTACAACAATACAAGTCGTGGCTTATTAATAGAAAATTTGTCCGTTTAATCTAAACTCATACAGATATGACGAAAGACTCAAAATACTTGTCTTCTATTCTTAGTAAATGCTCAAATGTTAATTTACATTAAGCCACAGTACTAAAACTCATAAAAAAATCAGTTTCCTCGAGTCCAATAGTTGTTATCCTTCTTGATCAGGCTTTGCGCTTCCCACCAATAAAAGTTTTCATCAAACTGCCTCCTTGAGATTGAATGTTCTGACAATTTCCCTGGCGTGGTCGTGTTCGTGGAGGTCAACCAGTATTCTCTTTAACCGGCGGGCAAGACCAGTGGTTTCCGCATCGTCCAATCCCGAGGCAAGCCTTTTCTCGAGAATCCCTTTAAGTGTTAGAATACAATCCACAAGAGGTTGCAACGGCCGACTGCACAACCGAGTAAAATGTTTTAGTATGTATCAAGGCGTAGTTGCAACATAAAGTGCTAATTTCCTAATATGAGATGGCGATATCATGTGAAACAAATGAAGATAAACAATGATGATGATTTGTTTTAGGCGAATGAGATTCCTAGAAAAGCATAAAGACCATATAGCCTGACCAATACTCCTAAATTTTGAGGGAAGTGCCTAGACTTTTGCAAGATAAAGTATGTAATGTACACATCTCAGTCCTGATTAACTTTCTTTACTCTTGCATTAGCACTCATGAAAAAGAATAGCTCAACTTTTCACGCAGAAGGATTGTAACTTAAAGCGAACGAAATGCAACAGATGATTATGTGACATGTGACTATGACGATTCACTAAAACACAATTACGAACCATGAGAAATACGATGTGTGAGAAATCATTGTTACCTGTGGGTTCTTGTGACGCTTTGTCCTGTCCATACTCCAGACAAAGAAGCAACGATCTTCTCAGTTCGTGTGACAGCATCATGGATATTTGACGCAATGCTTCTCACATGAGGTAGGACTTTTCCAAACAAAAGGTCACTCAGAGCCAACTTCTCCAACACAGGAAGCGCCAGGATGTCTTTCCACATGCATATATTTCTCATAAGACGGACTGAAGTCCCAAACCTATATGCTGCTACTTGTGGAGTATTAGGTACGGCTTTCAATACCAGAGGATCCCATGTCGGAACCTGGAGAACAAAGAAAGAATCAGAAGATATTATTAGTCCAGTGTAAATTACTCATAACAGCCTCAACGAGATTTTTTCAGGAAATAAGCAAGAGATGTGACAAACTCAAATTCATACCGTAATAGCTGCGATGGCTTCAACAAGACGAGAACGAATAGCAGCAAATAGCTCTGCTAGGGCCTCGCTTGAAGCAGAAACGTAATTTGTCACCAAGCTTGTAGCAGCAACTGCATTTAGCGTCTCCCGGGTGCTAAGTATATCCCAACAACGAACTATCTGATGGTGCAAAATAGGAATCGCAACCTTTTCGACTAGCTCAGGGACTAGGTTGGCATCAGTATCATCTGGTGCAAAATCATCCCCGTCTTCTGGCTTCCCATAATCAAATAACAAGTCATGCCTGGAGACATAAACCACGAGTCAGATTGCTTCCACAAATATGAGATCAACAATGGTTAGTTCACACGCTAATAAGAGACTAATGCCTACTAATTAAAATATTCGAGGTGTGTTTTGACAATATGGAAAGATGGATATCATGAATAGCTTACCATTTCATGTCAAAGAAATCCACATGTTGATGAAGAGGATCCCATTTCAAAAGCTCCAATCTTACATAAGGTGAAAAGATGGAAGGAACGGTCAAAGACATGTAAGCATCTCGATAAGTAGATGAATAGTCTCGCTTCCACCTCTCGAATCTCGCCTTCACCCTTGAAAGCTGGGAATAGTCTTCAGATGCATCACTGAAGACCTTATCAGCACACTGAAGTAATTTATCTCTGAGATCCTTATATGCCGAAGACTCGCTATCACTCTCATCAGTGCTTGATTCTCCTTCTATTTTCAGATAAGATCCATCAACCTCCATGGCTGATGCACGCTTATTTTCAAATCGAGCTCGCCTTTTCTGGCGTGCTGCAGCCCTCTGCTCCGCTTGCCTGCGCTTCTGCAGGTTCTCGTCTCTGCCCAATTCATCAAGCTTAACTGGTTGTGTCTGCTGTCTTATAGAAGCAGAGGCAGCCACCGCGGCACTTGTGGCAGCAGCAATCACTGAAGTACTGCTTCCTTGTTTGTTAAGAACTGCCCGTGCTGCTTTCACAGCGGCCCCTAGCTCTACCATTTCATCATTATTATCTGCAATTCTCCTTTCTAGGATAGCTGAAGCATGTTTTTCATTAAGTTCCTTCATCTGATCTTCAATTTCCTCAATTAAGGAACCCTTTTCCTGCGATAGAAAATGCAAAACAGAATTAGGACCAATCCCGTAGCAGAATTTAGCGTAGTTAAATTATTTATATTGATGGAAATGAAAGCATCAGATACAGATATCTGAGGGGTATACATTATCTATAAAGTGAATCCATAGAGCTCTATATATGAAAGACATTGTGTTGTATGCAATGTATGTAATAAAGAGATCAAGAGATGCAGTAAGAAATAGTAGGCAATGTATTTCAAAAGAAAAGTAGACAATCCTGCAATATAAGCAATATGTATACAACTATTGGCATAACATTGTATAAGAGCGTACCTGCATGAAGTCGCAGATAACAGAAATGAAGTCTCTGAGTTTTTGCATGAAGACATACTTGTCTCCAGCTGCAGCCAGCGAACTTTCAAGAGCTGTGATACTCATCAACGAGGCAGTCAAATTCTCATCTGTCTTGGTAAGCGAGGACAAGGTCTTTGCATGAGATTCCTGGATAACAATCAAAATAAATGCAGGTCATCAGAAACCAAATTCAATATAACCCATAACCATATCAGTCTCATAACTAGTCAATAGCAAAAAGGCGCTAGGAAAACCTCTGCGGTGAGCTATGTTTAAAGATTCACCTCAACTAATAATCAATTAGAATACTAAAAGAAGGCAGCAGATAAATAAATAAGAAGAAGCCAAGTTCATAGTGCAATACCTTAAGCCTCTTAATATTGTCTTGCAATGCTTTTTTGGCAAGCTCGGCTTGTTGTGACATTGGTAATGCATCAACACTACCGGCTGGACCAATGGTAGGGGGCGCAGAAACATGTGGTATACCGGCATGATAAGCATACATCTGCGGCTGCTGTTGTGGTAGTGGCTTTTGTTGCGGATGCAAAGGCACGCCGATTCCATTACTACTTACAGTCCTATGAGACCCTTCATCGATTCTTTTACCAATACCCTTCTTGAACTGCTCCTCCTCCCACAACTTCTCTTCTTCATCCTCATCCTCATACTCATACAAACTAGTTGTAGTGGACTCTTTAGCTGTAGGAGTTTCATCGACGAAATTAAACACAGCCTTCCCATTACTTTTGTGAGTGACAAAACTTCCCTGAAAGTCTGCATCCTCATCGCTAACCCCTTCAACAGCAGAGTGATAAGCGGCACTACCATCCAGTGATATGAAATCAGGTGCCGGTGCTGAACGCGGCTGCCTCATCTTCTCCTTATTGGCTCTAATAATCGCCGCTTGATCGGAAATCGCATCTTCAGGCCGATCATCTTCCCCTTCCTCATCGAAGTCCAAATCCGAAACCTGTTTGACCACATCCTTGAGACTCTGCTGCTCCCGCTCCTGCGGAGGTTTGATTAAACCCTTAAGCACTACCTTCGGCTCGGCGTTTGCACTGGGGCGAGAGTACGGAAGCGTCCGTGTGTTCTTTTGGAGCTCTAGCAGCGCTTCTTTCGTATAAGAGCCGGCCTGAGGAAGCACGTTAGAAAGCGGAGTCATGGTGGATGAAGAAGAGGAGGGACGCTGTTCCTTGGTGGAAGAGTTCAATCTGTGAGAAGATCCCGAAACGCCGAGACGCGAAGAAGATCTGCTTCGGTCTCTACCGTTCTTGGGCTTTACCGTCACACGGGGAGGTGCATCTTCTTCGTCCTCGTCATCGGCGAAGCTGAGGAGTTTCTTCTTCGGGTCCGAGGCTGGGAGTTTTTTAGGTTTCGACGAGGAAGGAGCCGCAGACGGTTTAGCCGCGGCGGTCGCATCTTCGTCGCCGCCGTCGTCCCCGCGCCGCCGGAAATTCCTAGGACGGTTACTTGACATTCTCTCTCTAGAATTAGGGATTTTACAGTTAGGGGTCGAAGCTCTGAAACTTTGAATGAGAGAATTAAGAGTAATCGTCTGTTTTTTCTGATCCTATTCCTTGTAATTCCTCTCGAATCCTATATGTAGAAAGGAAATACTCGAAAGTGAAGGAAAAGTTAAATTAAATATTGTTGCGTTTGAAACAATAGACCCAACTTTAATAGAAAAAAAAATGGGTTAACTTCACTAAGAAAACAGTTTTTTTTATTCAAATCCAATGATTTTACGAATTTTAAAGCAAATAGAATTGCAAAGCTATGTACAATGAATGAAGCATCGTGAGAATGGAAAAAAAGAAAAGAAATAAATGTTGCAAATTGCATTTTCTTTTTTTCTTCCACATATAAAGGGTTCAGAATTAAAAGCAGCTTTAGCCATCTTTCTTTTGCTTCCATGCCAAAGGAAGCAAAAGGAAAAGAGGATGATGAAGAAGAAACAACATAACTGTTAAAATAGTTTAAAGAAAAAGCATCATAATCAATTCCCATTGCATCGGTGAATCACACCGTTGCTAGTACTTCCTTGCATTAGCTTCTTCTGGTTCGGTGGGTTAATCCGGTCAAGTCCCCATATCCTTATGGTGCCATCATCGCTTGCTGAAGCCAGCATGTGAAGGTTCGTTGGGCTCCAGCTCACGCAGTTAACCGCTCCCGCATGGCCTGGTAGCTCAAGGATTAACTTCCCTGTAGATCTGTGCCATATGTATACCTGCAAATCACAAAAATGTAATGTCATCGAAAGCCACAGAGAGAACAACTAAATACGAGAAGCAGCCATTCTTCGATGCTGATAAACACGGACTGGATTATGATCATTTGGTTGTGTTCTGTCTAAACTAGTTATGTTTTGAGTAAAACTCCACTCCTCGTCATTTGATTTAGCCATGTTTTCTGATGTGGTGATGATATACTATGCTCAGAAAAGAGCGGACTATTACCTGAGAATCTTCGCTTCCGCTAGCGACGAAAGCTTGTTTATACCCACCAAAGCATGATCTGATGATGAATCGTGAACGCTTGTGGCCTTTGTATCTCGTCACAATCTTGGGGTCACCTTCGATATTCCAGAGACGAATCTCCTGGTTGTGGAGATTTACGAGAAGATATTTGTTGTCATTTGAAAGCGAGAATGAGGTAATCATGTCTTCCTCTTCGATCAATCTCTCAACTGTCGCTTCCCTATCAAACAGGGATATGACGGAATCCTTGCATACGCTTACGAGCCACTTCCCATCATCCGTCATCGCTATATCTGATACCTTTTGTGTCCTCTGACCTTTCCAGCATTCCATCTCTCTGCCATCTAAATCCCACATGCAGATGCTTCGGTCCGTCATCCCGGCGATTATTCCCTGCCCATCAGGATACCATCCGCAAGAAATGGGACCCATACCGTTTTTTTCATACATGTGAACACAGTCTCCTGAATCAACATCCCAGCGTCTGATCACCTCTTCGGCTCCGCACGTAAGAACTTGGCGATCATCAGGACTCCATAAGATCGAGATCACGGGTTTCTGATGGCCCACAAGTGTATGCTTCAGTGATATGTGCCCATCTGCGTCGATCTGAAAAGTACATTCTAAGTTAATCAGCAAACAGGTTGCTTCAATTAGAATACGTAAACAAATCAGAACTATTAACAGGTTATATAAAACTCAATACAGGTGTGCCTTGGTTGGTAGGTAAGTCAGCATTACCTCCCATATAATAGCGGTCTGATCCTTGGAAGATGAAGCTAAATATTTGCCGTTATGTGAGAATTGCACGAACCAAACTTCATCAGTATGCGACTCCAAGATCTGAACCATTCACGTAGAGAGAACTTAACGAAAGTGATTTATGTCATTAACGCACACATGCACTGCTAGTCAGACTAAACTACAAACATAAAAAAGAGGCCACAGGAAGAAATTGGTTAATCAGAGGAACAAAAGTACCAGTGACAGCAAAGAAAAATGTTATACATAGCCAATGATGGAAAAAGAAATTAACCGAAAAAGAAAAGAGGGATCAGATTGAGACAATTATCATCTTCTAATTCTTTCTCGATGACCTCTCAAGGAAGTGGAAACGTTTGCAGCACGCTGTGCTTTCCTATAGTTTCGACAAACTCATGATCACCAAGAAAAGAAACTACAACAAGGTGAAGGATACAGACGTAACCTTAACAGATCAGAGCAGTCTAACCTGAACAGTCTGAGAAGGAATTTGGTGCTTCCCGCATTGATGGTCAGAATACAAAGACAAATCGCTATCCAAAGTATTATGGAAAACACAAGAATCCCGCTGAATATGGAGTGAACTCTCAACTAAATACTCCAACCTCTTTTCTGGGATTATAACCGAAGCAGGAAGCAGATTTTGCAGTTCCTCCAGAACCTTGGACCTTGAATTCACACTTTCTTTACTTGGACCCGAAGTGGTATGCGATATAAAGCGTGAAGGTGATATAAGGGAGGAAGCGAGCTCATGGACACGCTTTGTATTAATATGAAGAGGCACAATCTCATTCCTCAAGGTGCCTAGCGCATCAACTATCTTTTCAATTTTGAGAAGCTCCAAGAACTTTTGCTCTAGGAGCAAGAATGACGCGGATTTGACCGCGTTTTCATCTTGCAGTCCGATTCTCTGCAATGTTACAACACTTTCATCCCATTTCCCGTCCTTTACCTGCTGCAGAAACACCTTAACGAGGGAATGATGCAGGGGAATTCCGGATTCTTCCTCCAGCATAGCCCCGGCTTTATCATAGCCAAGTGAATAAAGAGCCCTAGTGATGATCCTAACGAATTCAGTTTTTTTAATAACCCCTTTGGAGCCGATAGTATCATCATCCCCTTGGGAGGTCAGAGGCCTTGCCATCAGGTCTCCCAAAGAGTTGTTCACACTGCAACCTCTAATCGAAGAGTTCCCGGAGAATCCGTTTGGTTCGTCAGCAAGCCGCTTTGCACGTTTCAAAGGAGGTTCAGTATCCTCCACAACTCCCATGAAATTCCTAGTTCAGCCCATATAACTATTCTGCACAGACATCAAACGAGACCAAGCTTTGAGTGACTGCACATTATATCCACAGGAGAACCAAAGAAATGCTATTTTTTCAGAATGCCAGTTAACAACAACAGTACAAGGATTCTACTTGATCACAATCAGAGGTATGCTATTAAAGACCAGAAGCCAAAATCACAAAAACTCGTGTAGATCTGCTAGCAGTATATATAGTGGTTATCGCAAGGAGATTAACATTCAACTCTTGAGAATAACAACAACATCAAACCCAATTGATCAAATCAATAAAAGAGTTGAACTTTACTTTGTTCGATCGGAAGAACCACCTCTCGATCGGTTCACCGATGAAGCAGAATTTTAAGACAGTGAATCTAAAAAACGCACAATCGATTCAGTCACAATAGTCAATACTGAAAATTAGTCAATTAAACCACCAAAATCGACACAGTACACCCCAGAAACAAAAAATAATAATTGAGCAATCACAAAAACTCAAATCGTAGAATCAACATCGAACTAAATAGAGCAAGTGGCAGTGCGTGATGGAGATCAATTAACGATCTAAGAAGCAAATCAATAAAAAGGGGATTGGTAGAAAATCCAATCTTACCAAATAAGAAGCAAAACCCAGGAAGCAAAAGATAAGGTTTGGCGATGGCAGATTTAGAGAGATAAGGTTAAGAGGCAGCCCAGAAACAAAGGGGTAAATTGGTAGAGATGCAAAAGCGGTGAGAAGAAGATAGAGAAAGGAAGTTCTGGAAAAGAGAGAGAAGGATGCGTTAAAGAAGAAGAGAAAAGAAGAGAGAGGAAGCGACTCAACAATTAAGGGAAAACTACTAAATTATAAAAAGAAGGAAGGGGAAGAAAGGAGGCGTGGCTGATTAGCGGCCTGCTCTTCCCAACAAAACTATGCACTTTCGTCCTTTTTTATTTACTTTCTTTGGTCTTTATATACTTTTCACATTTACCGTATTATTGATAAAAACTTAAAACATGGTAAAACCGGTGTCGAATCAGCGTAACAAACGGATTAAATGTAGTAGTTTGGTGCATATTCATTTCATTGGAAGATAATCCGTTTTTGTTGATAACAACAACAATATTGAGGTACTAGATAATCACAAATATTGGAAGATAATCCGTTTTCGTTCACAATTTCTATATGTTTTTTCTTAAAACCAATAGTTGTTATATCACTATAGTCTCATTAAAAGACTGCATGCTTTATGAAAGAAAAAAATGATTGTATGTGTTGTTTGGTAGAAATATGCAGTGCGTTTAGGATTTGATTTTAGGTTGTACTCAAATGTTATGAAAAAGTCTTAACCATTTTGAAAATCTTACTTAGAAAAAAAAAACACAAATAATATTAGCTTGCTTCTGAAAGAGCCAATGGATCAACAAAGAGAATAGATACACAATATTCAAATAAGCTTCTACTGATTCGTGGTACAATGGAATGTATATTAGAAGAAACTCCAAATAAGAGGTGAAGGCTTTGTGGTAGTAGGATCAAACTCAACTTCATGTCAATTCTACCTTGAAATCACTATTATGTATGTATTTACGTGCAGAAATTACAAGAGACGCTAAGGATACGTCATAGATATCCCGGTTTAAGCTAATGCTGGTTAACGTTTTAATTTTCACTCCAAATATTGATGTCGTACATTTTGAAGATATGTAAACTACACGAAGGAGTTGCTTACTCTCTCTGTTTCCTTTTACAAGTGCGAAAGACTTTGTTTTTCATTGTAATCATATCAAATATCATTAATGCTGCATTATTTTCATTTTTGCTATCTGAATTTCGATCTTTCCTTGAGACTGGTGATATTTGGTTGTCTTGTCGAGATTATATTATATTAAACTTAATTATAATAGCTGGAAATTTCTCTTTAATAGTATTTGTCTTTGTTGCTCTTCATTATTTCAGGTAAATTAAGACAT